CAATGAAAATTTATGAAATTAGCAGAAACTGCAAAGAAAGCTACCTTCGCTATTTTTGACACACAATCAGGCCAGCTTCCAAAACACTCTATGGGCTGATATTTGTGTCAGTAGAATCAGAATTATTTAAACCTGAATTTGAATTACTCAACTTGAATAATCGCATTAAAAAACTGAATTTGAATAGAATAGTTTGAATTTGTATTATTTAACTTGAATAATTGCATTGAAAAACTGAATCTGAATAGAATAATTTGAAACTGAATTCCTTTAACCTTCAAACTGAATGTAATATTATGAAACTGAATTCAGTTGCAACTGAAACTGTATTTAAGCCTCACTAAAAATTCAACTCTTTATGTACTTTCACTTTCAGTTAGCGCAATCAAATTCACTTCTCTCATTTCAATTACAATCCACAAGATTCAGTTTCAAAGACAAAGCCAGTTCAAGGTCCTTCAGGAAGAGCAATTGAGTGCCTGAAAACAATAAGCCTGGTTCCATTACATTACATTTATTCATTTAGCTGAAGCTTTTATCCAAAGTGATTTACAATTGCTATACATGTCAGAAGTTGCACGCTTCTGGAGCAACTAGGGGTTAAGTGTCTTGCTCAGGGACACATCGGTAGATGGGTCACAGTGGGGAATTGAACCCGGCTGTCTCACACCAAAGGCATGCACCATCACCAATCCCATCTGTTCCATCAGAAATAATGGCAAAATAAGCTTCCAACCTGATTTATTACCTCAGTAAACACTTTTCTGATCTTAATAGTCCGTTTCAAGTCTTTTTCAATACAGCATGATGTTCATTTAATAAATTTGTTGTCCTATATAGAGGAAAATAGCCGATAAAGCAGGTTATGCTTTAGGTTAGGATTACCTTATGGGTATTCAACACCATCACTTTTTTGCGGCATGGTGAAGCTTGACAAAAGGCATCATTCTCAGGTTTGTATAAACTTATATAATATAAGAAATAGATTTATATACAAGTGATAGAATGCCTGTTAGGCTTCCTTGTGAGTGAGAAGTAGATACCATGATGACCTGTCAATCAAGTTAGAGTGACTTCTATCTACTGCATTTAAATGCAAATTTAACCACCACAATTAAAATCACACAGTTAAAATCACAATTAACGTGAATTATGGATGCACCTTGCGAACCAAGCTAGATAGCTACATGGTAACACTTTGGTCAGAATGGGCTTTTGTTAATCCTGCCATAAATGCACTCTCTTCAGTTCACTGCACATGGTATGGGTATTCGAGCAAAAATATTGCATTACTTTAAGCACTGACTGAAACATGGCTGTGTCCAAAATTAACTTAACATAAACTGCATCCTATCACTTGTACTTAAATCTTTTTCTTATGCAAGTTTATACAATCCTGAGAATGGTGACTTGTCATTCTTTACCATGCTGAAAACGAATGCTGTTCAGCTTGAGTACCCATAAGGTAGCCCCACCTCAAAGTATACGCTACTTTATCGGCTATTTTACTCTAAATGGGACCAAAATTCACAAAATGAACATCATACTGATTAGAAAAGGACTTGAAACTGACATCATAAACTCATTAGGAAAGAGTTTACTGAGTGTTTTTTAACTGATGTCAGTTAAGTTTTTAACTGAGGTGGGAAGCTTATTTTGCCAGTATTTCTGATAAACTGAGCTCTCAATTGCTCTTCCTGAAGGACCTCGAACTGTCTATGACCTTGAATCTGAATCTTGTGGAAAGTACATAAAGAGTTGACTTTTTAGTGAGGCTTAAATACAGTTTCAGTTGCAACTGAATTCAGTTTCATAATAATGCATTCAGTTTATTGGAATTTAGTTTCTAACTAATAAATTCAATTTCAAATTATTCTATTCAGATTCAGTTTTTCAATGCAATTATTCATATACATGAATACATATACAAACTATTATATTCAAATTCAGTTTCAGATTATTCAAGTTGAGAAATTCAGATTTAAATCATTCAGATTCTACCAACACAAATATCAGCCCATACACTGCTTCATGTAAATCCTTCATAATGACTTTTATTCTAATATGTTCTGTTCCATTTCTTTCCTCTCAGGCTCAGAACTGCCTCACCAGCCTTTACAAGCTGGACAAGCTGCAGTTTCGACAGACAATGCGCGAGTACGTCAACAAGGACTCTCTTAATAACATCGTGGACTTCCTGCATGCGCTGCTGGGCTTCTGCATGGAGCCCATTACTGACAGTAAGTGTGTGAAGTGTGTGCGAGTGGGACCAGATGCAGATCGTGACAGACAAAAAATTTGCATATGCGCAAATAACAAATTCACAGATAGCATGCACCAGGGTTTGACCAATATTGATTTTGAATGCTCATATGATTCAAATTAGGTGTGATGTTACAAAAAGTCAATAATCTGTGCAGTAGGGCTGCTAATCCTACGATTATTTGTTATATCCATTAATCTGCCTATTTTATTTTTCCATTAAGCAATTGTTTGGTTAGAAAAAAGTGTAGTAGTTTACAGCTATGCCACCAGCTGTGTTAGGCTGAACTTAGGCATAGCAGTGACGTCCACGCAAAAGTCAGCATGCTAACATGCTCACTCTGACAGTGCCTACGTGCTCATCATCTTGTAGTCCGTCACCTTCAGCTGTACTTTGTGTTTATTGTTAATTAGCAAATGTTAGCTTCCTAACAGGCTAAACACTAATAGTGAAAATGCTAATATCATATCTACATAATATCAGCATGTTAACATTGTGAACTTGTGAGCATGCTGACAGCAAATTTTCCCATCTGAGAAGAATGTTTGGCATTTTTTTTCTTGAGGGAAAAACTATCCATTTTCAAAATATTGTTTCAGCGCTACTGTGCAGATGTTGACACTCAAACAGACGTTCATCATTAAACAATCATATGCATTTAAATCTATATCACATTCAAAGTTCTAATGACGGTGCTACATTACAGAGCAGTAGAACATTTTGGAATTTTTTAGCAATTAATCACAAAGCTGAATTGCACTACCGCTATCTCACCCCGTACTCACATTCCAGCGCTATCTCTGTTTTTATATATGTTATTTCCCTCCCTCCTTCCACTTGTCTCTGCTTGTCTGTGTCCCTTTTTGTATCATCCTCCTGCTTCCATCTGCCCTCTTTTTCTTCATCCACTTAAGTGAGCTGAATCCTACCTTCCTTACTCACTCGTCCATTCTGTACACTTGCCAATCCAAAGCTTTGCTCATTACATTTCTGCTCAATCGGTGGCTTTATTGCTGAGCATTGAGACCCATTGCACATGCCAATTCAGTTTTGCACTGAAATTTGAAGTATTTTGTATACAGTAAACACACTACTGTGCAAATTGGCAAGTTACTGAACCGATGAGTGTTTTTAAATTCTGAAAGTGAACAGGGCACCTTGTTTAGTTTTTGTGTATGTGTGTTATGTTTGCGCGTGGCAATCTGTGTGTGTGTGCGTCTCAAGTTCGCCTCTTTCCGGAGGTGGGGGTGCCACGTCCTTTCTGACACCGCATACATGTCTGTGCTGGCCTGATGTCAATCAACTTGTGCCCCGCCTCTTTTCTCTTGCAGAGTACGGCAGTGCAGGTGAGAGGTCCAGGAGGGCGAAAAAAAGAAACATCGGTAGATACACATGATCAATAATCAATAACAGTCAATAATATAAGCAAATAAGATCAATACACTCACCCGATCAGACCCTTCCCTAGGCACCGCTTCCATTGCTGCACCCTTCACTCTCTCCGAAAGTGACAAAACTCGCCTGCAACTCCAAAATTTAGACTTGTATGATTAAATCTGGTATTCATAGAGCTTTTTTCCCATAATCAATAAGTTTCATCTAACTGGACCAAGAGAATAAGCACCCTAATGTATGTTTTTATAGCAGGCCTTAGTCACTTGCATGTATTCCTTACCCCTTCCAAGAATCCTTTTCAGTTTGCTTCTCCACCATATGCTTTTCTTTTGCCCCACCTCCCCCTTCCCTCCCTGTTTTACGGGCTCAATGTTTTATACTCAAGCTGGTCAGCTGTCAATAATGTTCTCCCCCTGCTGACTAAACCACCCCCTGTGTGATCCGGGATCTCCCCCGCCTTCCTGTTGCTTCCAGACAAGGCGGGCTTCGGGAACAACTTCACCACAGGGGACAACAAGTCCGTGGCCCAGACTATGGAGGCGGTGGTGGTGGGCTGCATGTTCAAGTCCCTCATCACCCGCTGCGCCTCGACCACGCACGAGCTGCACAGCCCAGAGAACCTGGTGAGTGGTGTGTGTGGGTGGGTGTGTGTGAGTGAAATCCTGTGTCCATCTGCCTCTCTCTGTCTGTGTTTATTTTCCTCTCTCTGTCTGTGTTTATTTTCCATTTTTCCTATCAGTCTCTGGGGCTCTCAACTGATATGCGAGTATTTGAAGGACTGAGTCCTTCAAATATTCGCATATCAGTTGTACTCCCATTAGAGTCATTTCTTGTTGCATGATGTTGTAGCTGAATTATTAATAGCTAATTTTCTACTGAGCCTAAAGAACAATCACTTATGCTGCCTCTGTTAACGCCTTGTCATACATGATTAATTGGACTTGAGGTGTACTTAATCTCACTCAGTGAATAAAGACATTAACTTGAGCTATTCTCATCCTTTGCCTGAACATATATTTGACATTTATCTTTTTGGAAATGGCATCCCTATATTAAGGCACCTTTTATATTTGTCATCCAACTGATACTAGCACTATCTACATGCAGAATCTCAGAGTGCTCAATCATTTGAGTTGTAGTTTCTCTGAAAGACAGACTTGCACAGTAATAATAACTTGCCTTTTGTGTCTCATCAAAGACCTAATACTTTAAATTTAAGACCAAGGCAAGCTTATTTTTACAGCCTCATTCAAACACAGAGGCAATTCAAAGAAATGCATTAGAATAGTGTTTTAAGCACAATGTAGAGGAGAATAAACTAATATAAATACAATAAATAATGTACACTGAAGTTCCTTTGAACAACTTCCTATGTCATGGCGAAGAGTTGATCTTTGATGCCACGCCACAGACACGCCCACTGACGAAAACTTACAGATAGCACAACTTTCATTGTCAATGCCTATAGAATGCACGTTAGAAAATTTAAGTCGATCTGATTAATTCCCTAGGAGGAGTTTGTTAAAGTACGGACCTTGTAAAAGGCCATAAATGGGCTGTAATTGCACATTCAAATCAAAAAGGCTTTTTTGTGCGTCTTGGGATGATATGTACCACACAAGTTTTGTGCATCTGGGTGATTCAGTGCACAGGGGCTGCATCTTTGAAGGGACACTTCCAGATACCAGCAGGTGGCGCTATGAGGTTGAGTGAATTTTGACCTGTAGATGTGTTCAGGTTGTGACCATTATCAAATGTATGAAATTTGGTAGAGATATGAGCATGTACAGTGAAGTTGCACAACTTCCTGTATCATGGCGAAGCATGGCACTTCGCTGCCACGCCACTGCCAAGCCACTGCCAAGGCGTTAACCGAAAATCCACAAGTTTTACAACATGGCCTCATCAATGTGTTATGGGTTTCCTGGGACAGTTTTGAAGTTCATATGTCCAACCTGGTAGTAGTACATTACAGCGTAAAACGTGTCATTTCCTGTTGCCAGCAGGTGGTGCTATGACTTTGGGTGAATATTAGCATATAGGCTCAGGGCGGGACTCTTATAGTGTATTCCAAAATTGGTGCAGATGTGAGCATGTAGATTGACGTTTATGGCGAATCATTGATTTTTGGACCCCACGCCACGGGAACTCACCGTTCACACAACTTTTAATCGTCCACAGGTTAAGACTGCACAGCACAAATCTGAAGCCGGTCGGACTAAATCCTTAGGAGGAGTTCGTTAAAGTACAAAGTGTGTAAATCGCCAAAAATTACCATTAAATCCAAAATGGAATTATGTGCAAAGTTTGGTGAATTTTCGAGTATGTTTAGGCTCCCAAAATTGGGGGAAAAAAAAAAATAGGGATGGTTCGTGCTCGGGCCCTAATAAATGCTCCGTATTTGTATAGTGCCTTTCTAGTCTTTTTGACCACTCAAAGTGCTTTTTACACTACATCTGCATTCACCAGTCAAACACATTCATACACTGAGGCTAAGTGCTCAAACAGAAACTAACATTCACACAAATTCATACACTGGAACAGCCGCCAGGGGCAATTTGGGGTTCAGTATCTTGCCCAAGGACACTTGCCCAAGGACAGCCTGGGGGAGCCGGGGATTGAACCACCGACCTTCCAATTAACTTTAGACAGTCTTTCAAACTTATGCTTTATATATATATATATATATATTATATATATATATATATATATATATATAATATACACACACACACACAGTATATGTACTTTATATACGAAAGTCTATGGTTATGCTACTGAGCTATCTAAGCTACAAAGCTTATGGCAACACTTCTACAGAAATGTTAGGTAGTATGTAGGGTAATTTGGATATAATAGCAGATACTTTTCAACACAATTGTAATCAAAGCATTATTGTTATGTAAAACGGCTATAAATTTTAGTGATTTACATTTTTCTGATATAAAAATATGTCTTCCATATATGAAATGAAAAATGATCTTCCTGTGTAAAATAATGTAGCTGAGTGGTGACGCAAATCTCAGTTGAGATATTGTCCACAGTAAATATTGTATATATCTGACAAAAGTACTGAAGGAAGGCAATTTCCCTAGGAATTAAGGGGTCATTTTTTTACTCACTTATGGAAAATTCTTACAATTTGATGCCCTTGAAATCATCATCTACTTAAGCCACAATAAATCAGTGACATTACTCATTAATACATTCAGTATTTCTAATTTAAATAAGAATCCCTAAATCCAATAAAACGTGATGTTTTGCACAAGACATTTTCTTCAATCAAACAAACAGCACATGCTTTCTTTATAAGTCTATGTGGATCACTCTTGAGGTACCATGACCTCTCTGTGGTGCCTAGAAAGCCTCGTGGCTGGCAGGACTGGTGTGCGTTGGCGGAAGATGACACACTTCAAGGCAGGCTTTATTATGGCACAGAATCAGAGGCCACCCACTCACAAGCTGGAGCTGGTGTCTTGACAAACTCGAGCGTGTTCATATATGCCACCCGTTTCTGCATATGCATGTGCAAACATACATGCTGTTTTATGCTAACAGCATAGTGATGTCAGCCTGATTCTAGGCCCTAGCAGTCAATTTTCTTTGTCTTTTTCTACCTCTGACGCACTGTTGTTCACACACCCCTCGACTCACACGTCCCTCACTCTCACTTATTTGCCACCCTCTTCCTTCCCAGGGTCTGTACTGTGACATCCGCCAGCTGGTGCAGTTCATTAAGGAGGCCCACGGAAATGTGTTCCGCAGGGTGGCACTGAGCGCGCTCCTGGACAGCGCAGAGAAGGTCACCACCACCAAGAAACCTGAAGAGAAGGAAGAGGCCAAACTGCCCGGACCAAGGAGGTACTGGCCCATCAGTGGGCAGAAATGGTCTCACTGACATCACGTCCAATCATAAGCTAGTAAAAGTGAAATCTCCTAAAAATATCTTGCAATGCTCCTTTGTCCATTGCTGCTGACGTGCCCTTGAGCATAAAAACCCCCAACTCCCCCTCTTAGGTGTTAACAAAAGATTTTTCATCCAATCACAGTGATTGGTTGCAATAGATTTTACTTTCTCCTTTTCTGACAAATCAGAGCAACGCTTCTCATCACAGCTGGCTGTTTTTGATTTCTTTTATGTTTTTTTCCCCCCGTCCTGTTCGCATCTGTTTTTCTTGCTTGAGCGACTGATTTGATGTGGCTGTAGCACACAGGTCCGCAGCCCTGCGGGCACCTCCACAATTTTTGCCTCATCATGTGACCAAACTTGAAATTAAAGTCACATGACAGCATTAAAACGACTCAGATTCAGATATACACAGTATTAAGTAATATAATAATGTTATAAATTGGGAATTTTTGAATTCATAGGTTGATATGGAAGAGGAAATTAGTTACTATTAACAATAATACTATTAATAATTAAATAACTATATAATAACTCATGGGATAGCGTCAGGAGAGTTCAGTTGGTGTCTGAAACAGGTGGCCTGAGCGCTGTGTCTGTGTGTTGGGGTGTGTGCGCAGGTCAGAGGCAGGTGTGTCCGGGGAGAAGGGTCAGGTGTCCAGTGCTGCAGATGAGTGTCGCAGCTACATCTCCAGTAGACCCCCCCAGACACCCGAACAGTGAGTGTCCACCTCACAGCATGTCCATATAGCACCATCTATGTGGAGCTGCCATTTCTCTGCTCAAAATAGGAAAAACTTTTATAAACTCTTCCTGTTGCTCCCTCTGCCCCTTCAATAAAGAGCCGATCACAGTGCTAAACATGACATTAACACTAAAAGATGTACAATTGTGTAAAAGCTGAAGTTAATTTTTTTTAATCCATGTGTAAACATTCAAATCCGACCTCCCTTCACTCCGTCTCTGTACCTTCAGTGATGAACACATCCCGGGTGCTCTGCTTGGCAGGAAGGACTTTTGGAGGAAGATGTTCAAGTCGCAGAGTGCCGCCAGTGATACCAGCAGCCAATCAGAACAGGACACCTCAGAATGCACCACTGCCCATTCTGGCACCACCACCGACCGGCGCTCCCGTTCCAGATCCCGTCGCATTTCACTTCGGAAGAAACTGAAGCTACCAATAGGTGAGAACAGAAATTTGCAACAAATCTATGTCTAATTAGACAGATATCTGAATCCTCACTCAACCATGACAATTTAGGGGTTTTTTTTGAGAGCACAAAACCTATCAATTCTTTCTGTGTAAATCATTTTAAGATCCCAATATAAATGCGACAACAGAGAGTGCATATAACAGTTAAAAGAAAAAAGAAAAGGAAAATAATTACATTCTTAACATGATTGTGCTTATAGTGTATGTATAGTACAGATTAGTGTATATATATTTACATTTTGATAGTAAACTTTGAGGAATTGCCTTTCAGGAGAAACTGCAGGAGCATCACATTTTCAAAAGCTTTTCAATAACAGTTACTATTTTATTTTGGGCAGGTCTGGCTTAGACACTAAAATTTACCAAAAAAATACAAATTTAACAAAATGTCAATTTGACCAAACATCACAGTGAAAAATTAAAATACATTGTTTTAGAACTATATGTGTCCATTTTCCTGTTAATTTAACATACATTCTAACTACAGCTTATTTTTAACTACAGCAGTGAACTCTCTTAAAAAGTTAACTATAAAACTTATAGTGTGTCTAGTTTGGGTCAAAGATATAGGAATTGTTTTACTTGTACATGCTAACAGGGCAGAACCATATTGACTGATTTCAGTGCCTAACAAAGCTACCAAATAATTTTTTTTACAGTGTATTACCATGACCATACCTCATTGCATTTTCTTTCCCACTGTCACCTTGAAATTCACTCTTAACATTATGTATTTTGTATGTCTGACATTGGCATTGGAACATGCCTGCCACGAGGCCAAGTCACTTCATCTCTTTGGTCTGTTTTGTGTTCCTTTTTGTACCTTAGCATGCCGTGGGACTGTTCGCCTACCACTCACTCTCTCTGTCTTACGTATGTGGATGTGGAACCATCTTCATACAGTATATGTTTCATGTCTGTTGGTGGTGTTCATCTCTCCCAATGTGCAAGGGGTTCCAGACCTGGGTCAAATTGTTTTTGCAAATTGTATCAGATGGATGGCGGCTTTTTTTCCACAAAGGCAAAGGCACTAGACAGCTAAGCTTAAGCAAGAAAACCGGCATTATAGCAAGTGAAAGCTAGCTGGTGAGATAGCCATGGCTAGACTTAGCTAAAGCTAAAAATGGACTTACTGATTTTTCTCTAGCTATTATCAATAATTGAGACATTCTGATATGTTAATAAACCAGTCTTTTAGTTATTCAGTATTCTTTTTTGGAACATTTATTCCAAAATGGCAAGCTAATCTCCAGCTAAAGCTAAATTTATGTTAGCTCAGCAGAGTTCCAGTAACAGCCGTCTCAGCTTTTGCCCCTGATGAAATTCATGCAATGTGTAGTTAGTTACCTACATTTATTCACATAATTAAACATGATAAAGTGTAGATTAATTTAACACACTGGTTTTCATTTAAATATTGACATTAGACAGGCAGACTGACACGTAACAAACAAGACACATTTAAGCTTTATGAACTGTATGTAATGAAGTTAAAGTTTATTTTCTAAAATGCTTGCTTTTGCTTTTATTTTTTATATAATTTTTGTCTGTGTACTCTGTAAAGCACTTTGGGTTGCCTTTGGATATGAAACATGCTATTTAAATACATTTGCCTTGTCTAAAACAGACAAAATCAGAAGGATAGGTTAGCTTACTGTATTTTCATCTTGCATTCCATGAAGATTATCCAAACACAGTGTCTGCATTTTATAGGTATTAGTGTTGTGGCAGTAATGTTTTTTGGGTAAAATAATCAGCCTTAAAAGGCATAAAATTAAGGCATTACAACCTTTTTATCTGATACACAGTCTGCCAGCCAGTCTGAAAAAGTCTCTTGTTACTGCTCTCTGCCTTTGTTACGCACTACTCCATCCATCTGCCATCTACGTCTTTTAGTGTATTAGCAAAATCCCCTCAACTTGTCTTTTTTTTTTTATTCGCCTGAGAAAAAGCAACGTTTTTAAATGAACCTCGGTCTGTGAATCTTTGAGTTTAAATACCCTGAATGTATGTGACCACATTAAATGATAAGGGAATGGTCTGCCTGCTCGTTTTCCTTCCTCTGCCCAACCCTTGTGTTTGTGCATGTGTACTTGCCTTCATAACCTAGTGTGTACAGTACATGTGTGTGTGCTTTATACCTCCTTTTGTTCTGTAGTGTAAATTTATTTTATTCTTGTGTCTCCAGGCAACTGGCTCAAGCGTTCCTCCCTTTCTGGGCTGACTGACGGTGTTGAGGACCTGCTGGATATCAGCTCAGTGGACCGACTCTCCTTCATACGTCAGAGTTCAAAGGTCAGGGGCTCACTGCCACTATACAACACTGGGTGGTATCATAGCTTGTTCACAGCTATAGCTTACATTAATATAATAATAAAAACAAAATATTATTAGATGAATATTTCACATTTTTTATTTATACACAATTGTGTATAATGCTGCCATAGCGAGAGAGTCAATAAGCATTCATAGCCAGGGCTGATTCCAGCATTATTTAGACCTGGTATATTTAAATTTGACTACTTTTGAGCCAATATATAAAAAAATATTATAGTGTTTGGTAATTTATTTAGATTTTGTTTGTTATAGGTATTACACTATATTTTGTGTGTGTGTGTTTAGGTGAAGTTCACCAGTGCGGTAAAGCTGTCAGAAGGGGGTGCGGGGGGGCCAGAGTTCGCCAGGGACGAGGAGGAGAATTTCTTCAAGCGGCTTGGTAAATGGAGGTCTGGCAGGAGGAATCCATCCAAGCTTCACCACACAGAAGAGAAAGATGGTAGACCTCCCCCACCCCGGGGTGCCCCTATGCCCACCCACGCTCCATCGACCTTTGTCTATTTCTCTCTCTCTTCCTGTCCCCGCCTCTGTTTGTCGGTGTGGTGTTGTGTTGTGTCTTGCCTCGCAACTCGTGGTCTGTTCTCTTTCGCCATTCTCCATGTCAGCTCTGCCGGATAGCTGGCTGCTACACTCTGTTAGCCTGAATGTTTTCAACCCATCAGTGTCTCTCGTTTGTTAAAAAAAAAAAAATTACACTTTGAATTTCAAAATATTTGGAATTATCTTTTTGCTGAATGGTCTGCCACAAGTTAACTTCCAAAAAGTTTGTGTAAAACAATACAGTTGTAAATAGGCTGCACTTATACAGCGCCTTTCTAGTCTTGCGAACACTCAAATCGCTTTACACAAGTGGCTCTTCTTCTACTGCAACTTTGTGTTGCATTACCAACTCTACATTCCCTTCTTTCCAACTATGCACGTCTTATTCTCTGTAACAAGGAACCCCTTCCTCTGTCTTTCACTTAACGGTGGAAAGAAAGGAAAGGAGGTGTGTGGGAATAACTCATCTACGAAACCATCTTTCTACTGTAGAGCGTATTTCTGTGCTATGTCAAGCATGACGCTGTCAGTGCTCTCTCTGTCTCTTCTGTGGTGATGTCTGGTGGTATTTTTCAATGCCTGAGTTTCAAGTGATAAAACAGAATATTAAACATACAGCGCTCTTCTCTACGGCTACGGTTACACTTGTCATTTCAATGTGATTTATTAGATCCCATTATAAAAAATATATTGCGTAAGATGGCTGTAAATGGCCTTTGCCGTCAAATCTGCATAATATTTCTTCACTACTTTCCATGTGATCGTTTTTTTTGTGAGATTACATAGTAAATTGAAAATTCAAGTGTAACCACTGCCGATGGCTGTGTGTCCATCTTTCACTCAGCTTCATTTGTTGGTGGCTTTCCGGTGCTTTTTGTTAAATGTCCTGGATGGTGATGTTGCTTCATGCAATGTCTGACTATATGTAATCTTCAGTGCTGTCTTTACTTTGCAAACGATTACGTATCCCAATTTGCTTGTTTTTAACAAAGGCCCCTTCACTTGTTCTGCTATACTCTTCTCTTCTCCGCTTTTGCTCTTTGTTCATCCCTCTGTCAGGACCCCACGGTTTCCAAGAGCGTCTAGCAGCCAGTCAGGAGGCCATGAAGAACAAGAATGTAGTGAATTTGGGCGCCATTCGTCAGGGCATGAAACGCTTCCAGTTCCTCCTGAACTGCTGCGAGCCGGGAACCATACCTGACGCCTCCATCCTCGCTGCTGCTCTGGACCTGGTATGTTTTAGAGTCCACTTCTTGTATTATGCAAATGATGCTTCAGTTTTATGTCTTCAAAGTTATGTAAGCGCTGACGTTAAAATCTACTTCCAGGAAGCTCCAGTTGTGGCCCGGGCCTCCCTCTTCCTTGAGTGCGCCCGATTTGTCCATCGCTGCAACCGTGGCAACTGGCCAGAGTGGATGAAGGGCCACCATGTAAATATCACCAAGAGAGGCCTGTCCAGGGGCCGATCACCTATCGTGGGTAACAAAAGAAACCAGAAACTCCAGTGGAACGCAGCCAAACATTTCTGCCAGTGGGGAGACGTGAGTTTAAGATTTCTCAAAAGCATCTCTATTTGCTATTATCTAGTGTGAAAATTTATAATATGGCTTCAATGAGTGTAAGAATCTGTTCATTATGTGTTTTATCCACTCAGGCCATCGGCACAAGGCTCAGTGAACTCTGTCACTGTGACAGCGAGAGCCCTGCGAACATCCTGGGTTACATTTTTGATGAAGAGACCAAACGGAGAATGAGAAAAGAAGACGAGGAAGAGGACTATTTAGATGACAGTGAGTCCGAATAGTGTTTAATGCCTTTAACATCTCTGTGGTGGATATGGTTTTATAAAATTTTCCCTTTTTACAGAAGAATCTACATTCAGTTAAATCTTTTTTTATAGTTCTTCCTAAACTAATTTAAACACGTTTTAAACATTAGATTTAAAAGGTGTCAGCTTAATCTAAGTGCAATAATATGTAAACTGTACATTTTCAATTTACAAGATTGACGACGAAAGAAATCTTAAAGGTTCAGTGTGTAAGTTTTAGTGGCATCTGGTGGTAAAGTTTGCAAATAACAACCAACAACTTACAGAACGTTCACCCTTCCGTTTGTAAGCACATAGGAGAAGCTACGGTGGCCGAACGCTCTGTCAGCTCTTGTGCTAAATAATGTGTGGTCCTCCATTTGTCCAAATTTCACTTTTCTTCTTATTTGTAACAAACCAGACGACATCTATTACTACCACTACTACGTCTTCTTCTTCTTCCTCTTCTTCTTTCTTCATTGTATGTATTCAACATAGTGACGAAACACGCTCTGGAGAGCCATTTGTCTATTTGGGCTACCATGTGAGAGGACCCGCGGTGTATGTAGATAGAAATGGCTCATTCTGAGGTAATAAAAACATAATGGGTTCATTATGTAAGCTCTTTATATGCCACTGAAAACATAGTTATGGATATTGCATTTCTGTCAGTAGATCCTCCTAAATATTACACACTGAACCTTTAACTCAAGGTTCCCTTACCAGCTTTTTCTGGTGCTTTAACCATATCTCATGGCCGCCTCAGCAGATTGTGTTAGCTCAGTTGTCATTATGTGAAGTTTGGGACTTTGAAAAGCCACTGAGCATCCCTCTGAGGGCAACCACAAGATATAGTTGAAAGCTGCAGAAAAATCTAGCAAGTGGATGTAGAGTCAAGTTTTTTTTTTTGTTTTTTTTTTTACGGTTCCCAAGTCAAGAATTAATTTTAAAAATGTTTTACTTATGCATCTCTGTATGTAGTGAAGCAACATAAAGTTGTTATTATGTTTTATCCATCTTTTACAACATGTGTTCTAACCCTATTGTTTCATCAATCCCGACCCCGAAGACACAGTGAATCCTACGAAATGTGGCTGCCCCTTTGCTCTAAAGATGGCTGCCTGCCAGCTGTTATTGGAAATCACCACTTTCTTGCGAGAGACCTTTCCCTGCCTACCCCGCCCCCGCACTGAACCACTTGTGGTCAGTCAAATCTTCTGTGCAAAAAATATCTGTATTATCTGGACTTACACTTCATATCTGCAAAATTTTATGTATCAATATTCTGTGTTCCTTGTATCAGTGGATACTGACAGCAATGAGAAATGAAAATAGAATATGGACAGAAAAATGTGTTTGAAACAAAAATATGTAATATTACATTTACTCCCGTGGGCTGTAGGATCTGGACAGCTGCCGCATGCGTCTGGACCCGGAGCTCGGCCGCCATCGCTATGAGAGGAAGATCAGCTTTGCGGGCATCCTTGATGATGAGGATGGACACGATTCGCTCAACAGCAGCAGCCATACGCTGAAGTCAGACACCACCTGCGATGACAAGAAGACCCAGGAAGCTCAAGGTGAGATCTAGTGTCATACAGTCCTAGGCCATTTGGTTTATTACTGTCATGTCTGCTTATTATCATTTAATCATTTAGACGATCTCTTCCCACTTCCCTCTTCTCCAGCGCCAATCCGTAAGATTCGTATCGGAGGCTCCCGGCTGCTTCAGATCAAAGGGGCTCGCAGTTTCCGGGTAAAGAAGGGTGGCTCCTTGTCCTCCATACGCCGGGCCGGGAGCCTCAAGAGCACCAAGCTGTCCCGGCAGGACTCTGAGTCAGAGAACGACGAAGGGCTGCTATCACAAACACAAAGCAGGGACACTGTTACTGACATAGGTATGACATGGACACAACAATAACCTGGATGACCATATTCTTTAACTCCATGAGGCATTGCACTCTGTAATTTCCCATGAATGTTTTCTGAGTAAGTGTTATAGTTAATTCAGTAATGTTTGCGACATGCACCATTTAGAAGTGCAAATCCTCTTTGATTTAACATCTGAACATTTCAGCTATAAGAGTTAAAATGGCATACTTTATTGTTTCCTCTTGCAGGCAGTCCCTTTAGCACCAGTGAACCCAGCATAGAACCAGAGGGCCAGGGCTCAGGAGGAGCAGAGGACAACTACCACCGCAACATGTCCTGGCTCCATGTATGTCCTGATATGTGTGGAAATGTATGTGTACATACGGTGTCTGTGCCATCCCTTTCCTACACACTGATTCCTCCTGCCCTTCTCTTCTCTTTCTGCACAGATTATGATCCTACTGTGCAACCAGCAGAGTTTCATCTGCACCCATATAGACTTCTGCCACCCACGCTGCTACCAGCACCACAGCCGCTCCTGTGCCCGTCTGGTACGCGCTATCAAGCTTGTGTATGGTGAGACGGTGGACAGCCTGAGAGAGGACAGCGCCTCCTCTGGTTACACTGGGGCACGTGCCAAGAAGAGTAAAGAGGTGGGTGTCACTAACTATCTATGAGGTCGTTTCTGTGTTGGTTCCTAAAAGTCTCTTTGCCTCCAGTGTTCAGACAAGTCTTGCCTGAGGACCCCGTCTATGAAGAGAAGACCCAATGACTCCACCACAGAAGGGAAGAAGGATACTGGCATGCTCAAGTACATCCGAAACCAGGTGAAGTAGCTTTAAGGGTGAATTTTTCAGATTAAGTCTTCATCAAAAAATCTATCCATTCCACCTTCTGTCAGGTCTCATACACTAATTTATCAATCACTCTTTAAACAGGATTTTATTGTCCCATTATAGAAAAATAAAAATACTGGATACAGTGGGTACGGAAAGTATTCAGATCCCTTTAAATTTTTCACTCTTTGTTTCATTGCAGCCATTTTCCAAAAATCAAAAAAGTTCATTTTATTTCTCAGTAATGTACACTCAGCACCCCATCTTGACAGAAAAAAACAGAAATGCAGAAATTTTTGCAAATTTATTAAAAAAGAAAAACTGAAATTTCACATGGTCATAAGTATTCAGACCCTTTGCCGTGACACTCATATTTAACTCAGGTGCTGTCTATTTCTTCTGATCATCCTTGAGATGGTTCTACACCTTCATTTGAGTCCAGCTGTGTTTGATTATACTGATTGGACTTGATTAGGAAAGCCACACACCTGTCTATATAAGACCTTACAGCTCACAGTGCATGTCAGAGCAAATGAGAATCATGAGGTCAAAGGAACTGCCTGAAGAGCTCAGAGACAGAATTGTGGCAAGGCACAGATCTGGCCAAGGTTACAAAAAAATTTCTGCTGCACTTAAGGTTCCTAAGAGCACAGTGGCCTCCATAATCCTCAAATGGAAGACGTTTGGGACGACCAGAACCCTTCCTAGAGCTGGCCGTCGGGCCAAACTGAGCTATCGGGGGAGAAGATCCTTGGTGAGAGAGGTAAATAAGAACCCAAAGGTCACTGTGGCTGAGCTCCAGAGATGCAGTCGGGAGATGGGAGAAAGTTGTAGTAAGTCAACCATCACTGCAGCAATCCACCAGTCGGGGCTTTATGGCAGAGTGGCCCGACGGAAGCCTCTCCTCAGTGCAAGACACATGAAAGCCCGCATGGAGATTGCTAAAAAACACCTGAAGGACTCCAAGATGGTGATAAATAAGATCCTCTGGTCTGATGAGACCAAGATAGAACTTTTTGGCCTTAATTCTAAGCGGTATGTGTGGAGAAAACCAGGCACTGCTCATCACCTGTCCAATACAGTCTCAACAGTGAAGCATGGTGGTGGCAGCATCATGCTGTGGGGGTTTTTTCAGCTGCAGGGACAGGACGACTGGTTGCAATCGAGGGAAAGATGAATGCGGCCAAGTACAGGGATATCCTGGACGAAAACCTTTTCCAGAGTGCTCTGGACCTCAGACTGGGCCGAAGGTTTACCTTCCAACAAGACAATGACCCTAAGCACACCGCTAAAATAACGAAGGAGTGGCTTCACAACAACTCCGTGGCTGTTCTTGAATGGCCCAGCCAGAGCCCTGACTTAAACCCAATTGAGCATCTCTGGAGAGACCTGAAAATGGCTGTCCACCAACGTTTACCATCCAACCTGACAGAACTGGAGAGGATCTGCAAGGAGGAATGGCAGAGGATACCCAAATCCAGATGTGGAAAAACTTGTTGCATCTTTCCCAAAACGACTCATGGCTGTATTAGATCAAAAGGGTGCTTCTACTAAATACTGAGCAAAGGGTCTGAATACTTATGACCATGTGATATTTCAGTTTTTCTTTTTTAATAAATTTGCAAAAATTTCTACATTTCTGTTTTTTTTTCTGTCAAGATGGGGTGCTGAGTGTACATTACTGAGAAATAAAATGAACTTTTTTGATTTTTGGAAAATGGCTGCAATGAAACAAAGAGTGAAAAATTTAAAGGGGTCTGAATACTTTCCGTACCCACTGTATACAAGCTTGTTCAATATGAAGATTTGTGTTTATCCCAGCCTTTCCTTGGATATGTGATTTGTTGTCAGTTATGAGTGTCTGTAGGTGTGGTGACTGCATTTTACCTTGTCTGCAGTTTAGTTTCCTTTAAAGCACAGACTACAAATATATTCATTCACATTCTACCATAAGAAGCAATTACAGAGCATTTCTAACTTCTAACCTTATTTTCCTTAATGTCCTTTGTCAAGGACCTAAAAAAATACTGGTACTCCCGAACTGCTGTTCACCAGATTGTCTTCATTCCTCTCAGGTGATGAGCTTGTCGCCAGCTCCTCTTTCGCTGCTGATCAAGGCAGCTCCCATCTTGACTGACGACATGTATGGAGACGTCCAGCCTGCAGCCTGGGAGCTCTTGCTCAGTGTGGACGAACATATGGCCGCTGCTGCGGGTGAGTCAGCCATCAGGCTGTGCATCACTGATCTGTGGCTCTCTTCTGGAGGTGCCCTTCAGAGTTTATAAACGTCCCTGATTATTAGTATGTAAAACATTTTGTCCTAGATATATGTCCTAGATATTCCTATTTTTTGCCCTCTCTCATTATATACCCCTCTCCATCCCCTTTCCACTCTTTTGCCTTTTTTGACATCCCTCTTTTGGCTTCAACCACTTTTTAATCTTCCTCTTTCCTGCCCTTTCCATCTTTGCTTCTCTTGCCCTCTTTACCCCCATTTTTTTATTTCCTTCTCTCCTCATTCCTCCCCCCTCCTGCCCTCTCTGAATCCCCTCCAGCTGCCATGTTCCTTCTGTGTGCGGTAAAGGTCCCCGACGCGGTGACCGAAATGATGATGGCGGAGTTCCATCACCAGGAGGCCTGCCAGCGCATCAACTCTGTCCTGAAGTTTTACACGCTGTGGCGTTTCCGCTACCAGGTGTGGCCTCGCATGGAGGAAGGAGCCCAGCAGATCTTTAAGGTACAGAAAAATAATGGTGTCATATTTATATTATCACCAATGTGAAAGTTCTGTTTCCACTATGTCCCTCCAAAGGTTTGTCCAGAATTGTTAATAATTGACTTTATGTTTGCTCAGTTTGGCTGTTATATGGCTAAATATTTCATTTAGAACACACACACACAAACACACACACAAACACACACACACACACACACACACACACACACACACACACACAAAACTAGGCTACTTTAAGCCGTTTTTCTTTTGTTTCAGATCCCTCCACCCAGCATCAACTTCACCCTGCCATCTCCAATACTGGGCATGCCCTGTGTCCCCATATTTGACCCCCCCTGGGTGCCTCAGAACACAGGCAGCGTTCAGGACCCAATCAATGAAGACCAGTCTGTAAGTCTGAGCCCCTGTTCACATGGGTTGCCTAATATGCATATATTTACTTATATATAACTTTTGTAACAAGCACTTAAAAACAGCTACAACATTTTATTTCTAGTACCGTATTAGTAATATTAAAATGTATGCCCATACTTTAGACTGACTGACTTAAATGCATCACAAACTGACCTGGGTTGGGTTGTCAGGTTACTTTAGATTCAAATATTAAAGTGTCTGTTAAACCAAGAAAACAATGTATTTTATGACTTACCTATAGCGGTATCTAGCCATGCAGATTGCATTTATTTAATTTGTCCAGGTTTTGAGACATCCAAATTTTCCAGAGCGTTGGGGACACTGTTTCTGGAAAGGCACATTGCTGTAATTTTTGCGGCACGTCTCAATGGAATGACAGTATTAGTTGTTTGGTCCTCTACTTCGTTCGACACTAAAATATCTTAACAACGATTTGATGGATTGTTGTGTAAAGTTTGTACAGACATTCATGGTGTCCAGAAGATGAGTCCTGCTGACTTCGGTGATCCCCTGATTTTTGCTGTAATGCCAAATCCCTGCAAAACTAGTAACTTTCCATCAGCCTGAATTGTAATTAGCATTTGGTGCTAATGAGCAAATGTTAGCATGTTAAGCTAAGATGGTGACCATGGTAAACATTATGCCTGCTCAACATCACCCAGTCATGCTGTGTGACAGCAATGACATAAGGATTAAGCTGTGCTGAAGTGCAGCCCCACAGAGCCACTAGTATGGCCTCAACTAGTATGTGGACTCTTAGTCCTGTTAAAGGTCTTTTAAATTCTGTGTATGTCACTAATTAGATTTACATCCCCTCCATTGTGTTGGGGTGGAGGCAGACATCTCACAGATCGATATCTCAAAATGTGGTCAAACTAAACTATCAACATGGTTAGATAGTTAGAACTAGGGGTAAGTGGTGAGGTTTGCTTTTTCATAATTTAGGTGAACTGGCCCTTTAAATCCCATAACCTGTGTAGAACATGCCACTTTTGATATCTTATTTTGAAACTATTGAGTCCTTCTTAACCCCACAACATGCCAAAATCAGATACAATGCACTTTAGACTGCTTTCAAATATGTGTTATTGCTATGCAAGTGTAATGTGAACAACTGCACCAAGAAATCTGCTGATTTAAGAAAAATATATGTAATACATTTTTAAGGTCAGAATAGTGATTTAAAGTTCTATAACAGATTTCTTGGTGTTTCCTTTTACTTTCTTGTCTTTTTTTTTTTGTTAAAAAGCATGATTATCAAAATATGTTTAATAGATTTTAATAACAACCTGCGAGCACCTGTTCTATAATTTATCTATCGACTGTCTTTGTTTTTAGTACTCCACATTAATTCAGTCAGTCCATACCATAGTAAGTTGGTATTTCTGTCCGGATGTTTGTGCTGATGCATCTTGTTACCTCAGATCATTAATGACAGGAGGGGAAAAATGTTTCTAGCCCATTGGGAGCTGTAGGTTTTCATCATGGATTAGAAGCCGGGGCAGTTTCATGGGTCATTTCAGAAAGTTGCATCTTGATCAGTAAGACACACCACACTCAGAAAGTGTTCTAGCACTTGCTCTGATTTTAAGACCAAAAATAACAGCATGCATCGGACATTCAGACATTTTGTGTGTGTTGTGCTGTGTATGCATGGTCATTGGATGAGAATGACTTTGCTGTGTATGTTTTTCATATCACGCGTTCAGGCTATTTGGATATGTATGTGTATGAGCACTCGTGCGAATGCTGTGAGGCATTTACTGTACACAAGATACAGTAAATTCTCCAAATTCCAGTCTGAATACATTTATTTGTGTCACAATTTGTCATGATTGAAATAGTTTTCCTATTTAGTACTTCAACAGTGTTCTTCATGATGCTCGGGATAGCATGAGAGCATAGAGATCAATGTGCTGGAGGAGAGTTACTGTATTAATGTGTTGTCATTTTACATTAAAAAAAAATGCTCCTCAGATGTAACGTAAGCCTAGAAAAGCTGTGCACACACATTTCTGGAAGATTTAAGCGGGCAATTTTGTATCAATTTGTGCATTCCCTCATTCTTAATCTTCTGTATGTCTGAACCCGTTGTTCCGCCTCTGTGCCGTCTGATCCAACGCCGCCCCTCCATGCTCACCCTTTTCCAGAAATCCTTCTCGGCGCGGGCAGTGTCGCGCTCCCACCAGCGAGCCGAGCACATCCTGAAGAACCTGCAGCAGGAGGAAGAGAAGAGGCGTCTGGGCCGCGAGGCCAGCATCATCACGGCCATCCCCGTGGCTCAGGAGGCCTGCTACGAGCCCACGTGCAGCCCCCCGCCTGAGCAGGAGGAAGAAGGTAGGGCAACCAGGCACACAAGCATTAATTATAAAGAACAACAAATGTTTGATGGTAATTGCCACTGATACTCTGTGCCCTGATAGCATGTTGTCTTTCCTGTATCTGTGCCGGTCATGTCGGGCATTGATCCCGCCAGCAGAAGAAGTGGTGAACCTGGCATCACGCCGTCTGTCCGTCAGCCCATCCTGCGCCTCCAGTAACTCCCACAGGAACTACTCTTTCCGTCGGGGCTCTGTGTGGTCTGTCCGCTCATTGGCCAGTGTTGAAGGTATGAAAATAAAGAACCCCAGACGTTGAGGACGTTTGCCATCAAACTCTTTTTGTTTGTCAAGTAAAACTTGAGCTTATCTTCCTTAATGGCCACTGAGGCGTTTTATTTGTTAATTTCATCTTTTGTCACCAGATGAAGAGAACACAACCGAACACACTCCTACTCACCATATGTTACAACCGCCCCAAGCCGTCTTCCCAGCATGCATCTGTGCTGCAGTCCTGCCGATAGTGCACCTCATGGAGGACGGGGAGGTGCGAGAGGATGGCGTGGCTGGTAGGTGTACAATAAATAATGTTGAAATAAAAGGGATAAATTGTACAGAATCTAACCAAACATAGGAAATACATATATTGACAGATTTCTCTACGTTGTATCATCAGTGAATTAGCAAAAAAGGCATTTGCATCAACATTTTTCAGATTTCTTTCTAATGTGTGAGACTCCTCTCTAAATATTAAGCCTGTTGATGGAATTTTGTCACATACTGTACTTGCAAGTAGAAATATTTCCTTCAATGTTTCTTCAGTGAGTGCTGTTGCCCAACAAATCCTCTGGAACTGCCTGATTGAAGATCCGGCCCTGGTCCTCCGCCACTTCCTGGAGAAGCTAACAGTGAGCAACCGACAGGTAGGTGAACAACTGCAGAACAAACACAGCTGATAAATCAGAGTAAGTGCACAAGCTGGAGGCATAAAATGTAAATTTGTGGAATGTGATATTCTTTGTGTTGCAATGCCAGGATGAGCTGATGTACATGCTGAGGAAGCTATTGCTCAACATCGGAGATCTGCCGGCCCAGACCTCTCATATCCTCTTCAACTACCTGGTGAAGCAACAGATAAAACTCCTATACTTACATCTTTATTTGAAATTATCTTAAGTACTCTTTAAACTCTCCGTCTCAATTGAATCTCCTATAGGTGGGACTGATCATGTACTTTGTGCGGACTCCATGTGAGTGGGGAATGGATGCCATCTCGGCCACGCTGACCTTCCTGTGGGAGGTGGTTGGCTACGTGGAGGGGCTCTTCTTCAAGGACCTCAAGCAGACCATGAAGAAGGAGCAGTGTGAGGTCAAACTGCTGGTCACTGCATCCATGCCAGGTGAATTTACAGATACTGCATGACAGTATCATTTGTTTAAGACCCCATTGAGACTCCAAATCTCATTTAGAAGGTAGAATTTAAAGTAAAATTTAGAGAGATGACCCAAAGAAAGATACATTTATTTTATTTAATTAGGATGATGTCAATAATACTGTGTTAGATAGAGATATATATATATATATATTTTTTCCTTGTGCATGGTCGATGCAGGAACAAAAACGCTGGTGGTACATGGGCAGAACGAATGTGACATCCCAACACAGCTTCCAGTCCATGAAGACACTCAGTTTGAAGCCCTGCTCAAGGTAAGGACAGCAGTGCTAGAGGAAGTACTCTGATCCTTCAGTAAAAGAAACAGTTGTAGTGGGACAACGGTGTGGATTTGTGCAATTTATATTAAATAAATTTGGAGCTACTCCAAATTCCTCTTTTCCTCTCCTAGAGAGGAGCAGGGGGGTTAAAGATCAACTTTCAACAGACTGCTGCAGAGAGAGGAAGGGGGGTGGAAAAGTTGCTTTCTCTAAGTGCTATTCTTTAGCAGTTGATTGTAAAACTGGCACCTTTTTGATTCCGAAGCTGATAACACGGTGCCTGACTGTTAAACTGACAAAAGGGACACTAGCCAGCGATTAGCATTTCCCTGAACAGCCTATCAAAACTGCCCCCCCCCACACACACACGTAACCGTGGCAACTATCCTTGCTCTGTATTTCATTACCCCATCAAAGGGATACCCCCTTTTTTTACGCCTAAGTGTGACATAATCCAGGACAGCCGAACTTTAAATAAACAACTGCAGGCTCCAAAGACCCAATGCATTAACTGCTATCTGTTGTTGATATTAGTGCTGAAAAGAATCTAAATAAGTTACTTTGGCAGTGTTGTTATTTTCAGCAAGATTAAGGACACTCCTTCATTTAATGTGTAACCAATGCTTGTTCACAATACTTTCTCACACAATTCCTTTAGAAATGATAAAAAAAATGTCATACTATACTCTTAATCACCAGCTTGAATTTAAGGCTGAATTCCGCAGTTCCTAAAGAAAGATTGTTTTGGTTTAATCTAAGCTTTCCTCATGTAACCTGAGCTCCCCCAAGTGGACGAAATAAGTATTACACACCATCGCAGGAAATGCAGTTAATGTATAAATGTCACCCACTTATCCTGAGCAATAATGTGACAATTGTTTCCTGTTACCAAATGCTTAACTTAGAACGGTACAACTGTTTGACCACTGAGGTTTGATTGTGGAAAATATTTGATTATAATATGCGCAAATAGATTTTCTTTTTAGACATTAAAGTTTAGAAAGGCAGTCCCTCGGGAAACCTGAAGCGCCCCCTGGGGGAACCACGCCCCAGACAACAAAAGAGCGACACGCGACGTTGTTTGCTCTCTGCTCTGCTCTCTCTCTCGGCTCCTCTCCTCTCGTCGTGCTCTGGGCTTCCGCTCTGCTCTCTGGACGCTTCGGCACGCGTCCGGCGTGCCTCTCCAGGCAACGCCCTAAGAATTCGACCAGCGCAACAGGCCTTTGATCGCTTGAAGCTACACATGCGAAGTGCCGCGACATCGATCTGCCCCTCAGTTTGTTTTATCTTCTTTCTTTTGTTTTGTTAAAGTTGTCAGTCTGTTAAGTTACACTGGACTAATTCAGGAACGACCAAGTTCCCTTTTAAGCTTGTTCGTCGAGCCAACTTCACCGAGATCAGACCAAGCCACGTGGTCTCGCCAGCGGCAACGAAGGAAACCTGAAAACAGCCGAATTGCCAGACACGGAGAACCCCGGAGAATCCCTAGCAAAAAGCCAGGATCGGGCAGCTAGCATGGGACCCGTGCAACAAGCCAAAGCAGGCCGTCGACAAGCCGTAAGACCTAACAAACATTCTGTGATCAGGGATGTCCTGTAATGTTAATAATCTTTTTAACTCCGAAACTCATAGCTTACTTTCATTAGTTCTCCTCTGCCATATGAGTCAAATGCAATCAAACCTCCATTGCTCAGCCATTGTTTATTTTCCCTGTATTTAACCACCCTTTTATATCGCTTTAGTTAGTTAATAAATTCACTGTAATCAAGAACTGTGTGTGTGTTGACTATCTCCACGTCCCTGCCAAGAGAATTGACCCTTTAGATATGAGACTGACTGACTGATTTAAGATAATTTAGGGATCACTAGTAATAATTGTATAATTATTAAAAGCTACCTAGAGGTCCGGAGACTCTAGGATAATAACAACTCCAGTGGTGCCCCGAAACGAGATTTTTTTGAGATTTTCTGAATATTAAAATTCATAATTCTCAAATTTATTAAAATTCATAGCTAATTTAGCCATGCTACACAGTACAACAATGTAGAAATACTCCATTACAAGGCAAAAGTACTTATTACTAGGATATGACATTATCAGATTTTTAATGCTGATGCTGGAGTTAGTTTTATCTATAAGGTAGTTTATTCCAGGGGTTATCAATCTAGGGGTCGGGACCCTTAAAAGGGTCACAAAGATAAGGGGATAAGGGGTCGTGAGAGCAAATGGTGGGGAAAAAAGGGAAAAACTGTTACATAAATTTACATTCATACTTGGCTGTCTTTTACATATTGTAGTCAAGGTATCGCGGCTCTCGTCCACATACCCTTTTCATACCCTGATTCAGTGAAGAATCAGATTTGCTATTATTCTTAATTATTCACAATCAGACTCAGCTATAATGGCCAAGTATGCGAACACATGCTAGGAATTTGGCTCTTGATGTACATACACAGAACAAGCATAAACAAAAAAGCTCTGGAGGAAGCAGACACAGACTACAGTATACAGTAAATAACACACCATAGATAAAACTATTATGTATATGGTGTAGGTGGACATGATATACAGTATATACAATATGAACATCTACTGAATTACAAAAATGATAAATAAATAATAATGAATAGTAAAAAGTATGCAGGTAAATGTTAGAATCAGAGTTACTGGGTAATTGTAAAGGGATTGTTCCTGACACTGTCTGGAGTCAACTGTTCATCAGTGTGATGGCCTGTGGGTACAAACTGTTCCTGTATCTGGTTGTTTCGGCATACAGTTCTCTGTATTGCCTACCAGAGGGGAGAAGCTGGAACAGGTTGTGTCCAGGGTGGTGTTGGATCTGCTGTGACGTTTCTTGTGGAATTCTGTATTCTGGCTGAGAATCAGCTAAATGTTAATGTCACTGAAGTAAACATATGGGAGATGTTCATGATCTTTTTTCCCCCACAACCAGGAGTGCCTGGAATTCTTCAACATTCCTGAAGCCAGATCGGCACACTACTTCCTCATGGACAAACGATGGAACCTCATCCATTACAGCAAGGTAGACACGTCAGGTTTTATTTTGAGCTGCCATTTTTAACACTTTGGTAAACATGTTCACTGTCCAGTAAAACCAGGTATCTGAATATTTGGTCTGAATTATCATTTAAAAAAGCTAAACAAGGTTGGTTTTCTTATGCCATGAAAAGTTGACATTTGTGTTTTGTTTTTTATTGAATATACTTGAGGAAAAGTCACAGGAGGTTACCTGGTGTAATAATCTGTTAGTTATCGAGAGAGAGGGCGAGAGAGCGCATCTTGAAGTACAACCCTGGCAGCGAAGGAGCTAGCTAAAATTGTGCAACATGTTTCTATCTACCTCCTCCAGACCTATGTAAGAGACATCTACCCCTTCCGGAGATCAGTCTCTCCCCAGCTCAACTTGGTCCACATGCTGCCCGAGAAAGGACAGGAGCTTATCCAGAAACAGGTATGGAATATTTAAAGCTTGACAGTTAAAACTGCATGACATTAGCCTAACCTGCCATAGAGAAGTAGAGATTTTTCCTGAATCTGTTTTGTTTTCCTTCCCTGTTCTCCTTTTTAGGTGTTTTCCCGTAAACTAGAGGAAGTTGGCCGGGTCCTCTTCCTCATCTCCCTCACACAACGCATCCCAGCTGCACACAAGCAATCCCATGTCTCCTTGCTGCAGGAAGACCTCCTCCGCTTGCCGTCCTTTCCACGAACCGCCATTGATGCAGAGTTTTCGCTGTTCACTGAGCAACAAGGTGAGATGGACTCGAAGTGTATCATAGGACACTGTAACAGAAATCATTCTAGTTGATACACTTTTTACTGAATATTGACAGTTTTTATTTTCTCCCCCTCCCCACTCTCCCAGGTAAGGAGCTGTTTGGTATGGACACCCTCCACAAGGTGCTGTGGATCAAGCTGCTGGAGGAAATGTTTCTGGGCATGCCCAGTGAGTACCCATGGGGCGACGAGATGATGCTGTTTCTCAACGTCTTCAACGGGGCTCTGCTTTTGCACCCGGAGGACAGCTCCCTCCTCAGGCAGTACACAGCCACCGCCATCAACACCGCCGTTCACTTCAACCACCTCTTCTCCCTGAGCGGTTACCAGTGGATCCTGCCGACCATGCTACAGGTAAGAACACACAGAGGGTACAGGTGGACCAAGAAAGACAAAGTTGCTCATTAAAACTAACAAAAAAACACAAATGTAGTGACAAATCAGGCCGATATCTGGCATCTTGAGATGATCTGCTTGCCCGTTACCAGATCCTACATAACAGCTAATCTAAAACCAATGAAATGTCTATTGTTATACTTTAGAGAAAAATGCAGTTCAATGACATCAGTTCTGACAAACCGTACCCCACTCTGCCTTCAACACCAGTCACATTCTGAAATCTGCAGCCGAACCCAATATAGGTTTCAATTTTGTGAATGAATAAAAATTCCATATAAAACAACACATTACTGGCTCAGATAACCACGTATATTAGATTGTACTCTGCATGGAAAAAAGGAATTATACAAGACTTTCTGCCGCCCTGCTCTCTAGATATCGGCATCTGCCAATGAAAAACCCATATCGATCAACCACTACACAAACGCCCTCTTAGTTGGGAAGAAGTAATTAAATGCCATAATGTATGCAAGTTACTGTTGCACAGTCATTCATGTAATCTCTCTTGGTTTAATTCACATTTTATCTAGCCAAAAGTTTGATTAAAACTTAAGCATTTTAATGGAATCCTTCTGCAATTTTTTTTATTGATCAAAGTAATTGGTAACACCGATAATTTACAACAAGCCCAGATACCCAAAAGCAAACAAAACGCGCACAAAAAGTCCATCCATCCATCGTCAACTGCTTATCCTGCGTACAGGGTCGCAGGGGGCTGGAGCCAATCCCAGCTGACATCGGGCGAAAGGTGGGGTACACCCTGGACAGGTCGCCAGTCCATCGCAGGGCCACACATAAACAAACAAACAATCACACTCACACCTAAGGACAATTTAGGGTCACCAATCAACCTAGGCCGCATGTCTTTGGATGGTGGGAGGAAGCAGAGCACCCGGAGAGAAAGGCCACAGAAAGGCTGCCCTCAGCAAGAAACGTGTTTTTACATAATTTATCGTCATTCCTATTCAGTCACATGTGAGACTGGTCATTCCTGTTTAGTTCAAATAGATGACGATAAATAGTAGGCAACGCATAAGGAGTCGGACAAGTCACTAAACTGCACCAAAGTATCTAATGAAGCGAGCAAAGCATCTGATGAAAGCAGCCGGTAAAATCAGCTAACAAAAGAATAATGAAAATTATTAATATGATTAATATGATGGAACTCAGTGACCAATCTGTGACGAGTGATGTGACTTGCAAATAAAATGTATGCAGTATTGTTAAAGGATATCAGAAGAGGAAATAAACGGAAAGCCAAGAACTGAGCGTCAACTTTGATACAAGTTACATCATTTCAATTTCCCTGAAACATTTGCCTACTAAATCCCAAGACAACATGATCATATTCTGGGTTATTCAATAACGAATTTACAATCAGAATAAATAAATATAAATGCAGATAATATCAACATTGTGTCAGTAGAAATGATCCTGTGCCTCTGAGCAGGACATACAGTAACCTCTAATTTTTCATGTGCAGGTGTTTGTTAAACAGGTAACTGAGAATCCTGCTGCTCTGCACGGATAACTGTGAGACTTTTAGTACCAACACAGTGCACATGTATGTAGACACAAACTCTATCAAAAATCTCACCAACTGTTAGAACCCACTGACAGCTGATCCATCTGTGATCAACTGTCGCCGTCATCAGAAACGGACGTCGCTTCACGTGACGCTTCGGAGGAAAGAACGTCTCATGTCTCTAAAAACATATTTCCTCATTCCTTCTCTCCTGGCTTGGTTTCCTTGCGGAAACAACACAAGGGAGGGAAACGTGATGCAATTAAGAGACTTGAGAAGCGCCTATAGAGCAGAGTTGGCAGCCATCTTAAATATGTCTAAGCCAGGCCGAAACCCTTCTAAGAACCTGTCATCTCTGTATTGTCATGACAGGTCTATTCTGACTATGAGAGTGACCCTTTACTGAGGCAGGGCATCGAGTTCTGCTGCCGGCAGTTCTACATCCTCCACCGCAAACCCTTCATCCTGCAGCTGTTTGCCAGTGTGGCTCCGCTGCTGGAATTCACAGTAAGACCACTGAGGACACGCATCCACATGTTCAAATTCATTTACAGCCAATGGGTATTTTAAGGTTCTCGTGTCTATATCTCCCATCGCAGACCAGCACTAGTACTGGTCTGTCTAAAGGAGTGTCAGCCCAGTGTCTTTTTGACCTGCTGGTCTCGCTGGAGGGTGAGACCCAGGACGCCCTGGATGCTCTGGAGCTGGTAAAGGCTGAGAAACCTCTGCGCTCTCTTGGTAAACTGTCAGCCACCTTTATACACTTATTGTTGTCTTTTTAAATGTGAGGGTAGTGTCAGTAGCAATGAACAAGGCCCAGATACCAGCCTTTACAAATGATATACTAATTATTTTTGGAAATATCCTGCTAATATTGTTTTCAAATACCTGTGTTTACTTTTTTTGTTGCAGATTTCTGTTATGGTAATGAGGACCTGACCTTTTCCATTAGTGAGGCCATCAAGCTGTGTGTCACTGTGGTTGCCTACGCTCCTGAATCCTTTAGGAGGTATGGAGACATATTGAGGAGGCACCTAGGGCTTTCCCTCTTCTTCCTCTCTGCTTGTATGTTCAGATTTTCTGCCTCCTGTGTACGTCTCCAGTCTCCAGATGCTGATGGTGCTGGAGGCCCTGGTCCCCTGCCACCTGCAAAAGCTGAAGAGCAACACGATTACAATGGAGTCGGCCTCAGCTGCTAGGGATGAGATCGCAGCCATCGCTGCTCTGGCCACATCCCTGCAGGCCCTCCTCTACAGCTCAGAGTCCCTCACAAGGTCTGACCATCAGAAATGAAACAAAGAGCACAACAAAACAAGTCTGGATTTTTGTACTTGAGAGGCCTTTTTTGTTGCATAGGAATGTTTTAGCTGCTTACAATACCCATAAATGTATTCACACCTCCTCCACAGGCCCATGACAGCTCCCCAGATGTCCCGCTGTGATCAGGGCCATAAGGGAGGCACTACAGCTAACCACGCCATGTCAGGAGGGGTCAACACCAGGTCAGGACTATAACATGATCAATTGTAGGAGATCATTTAACTCACCTAGTTGCAGAAAAGATGGCTAGAGCGCTGTTCTGGAGTCCAACAGACAAGACTGAGCTCCTGTTTGTATGCATGTACCCAGGGACAACCTCCACCTGCTGGAGGAGGGCCAGGGCATGCCGAGGGAGGAGCTGGACGAGCGCATCGCCAGGGAGGAGTTCCGCCGGCCACGGGAGTCCCTGTTAAACATCTGCACAGAGTTTTACAAACACTGTGGGCCGCGACTCAAAATCCTGCAGAACGTCGCTGGTGAGCCACGGGTCACAGCCCTGGAGCTGCTGGACATCAAGTCTCACATGAGGTGATGGCTCATGACTGATTTCAAATCATGCTTGATCAGATTTATTGATAAACATTTGTACGTTGATTGTTCTCTTCCTGCAAGATGCTTAATGGAAGGACGAGAGCGACTCATTCATCTTCACCACCTGCATTTTCTTTTTAGTCAGTTAGGCAGAGGTCCAGTTAAAAAAGTAAATTTTTAACAACTAGCTGAGAGTTGCTTTTGGGGGCTTTATCCTTAAAATAGCAAAATATACCATACATAGTTACACTGAAGGTGTGTCTGTGTGTCTCCCCCAGGCTGGCAGAGATCGCCCACGCCCTGCTGAAGCTGGCGCCCTACGACACGCTGACCATGGAGAGCCGAGGGCTGCGGCGCTACATCATGGAGATGCTGCCCATCACCGACTGGTCGTCAGAAGCCGTCCGCCCCGCCCTCATCCTCATCCTCAAGCGGCTGGACCGCATGTTCAACAAAATCCACAAGATGCCTACCCTCAGGTGCGCTCGCCCACAGGCATTATGCACCAGGTCTGTTGAATACGATCCCACTTCTTTCTCTGTCTCCCTGTGAGTGTATCGTGCTGTGCCGGTGCCGTGGTGTGTACAATAGCTAGACGGCTTCTTGGCACTGTCCTCTGTAGTGCTGCCTTGGTGGGTGCTGTACCGTAAGTGCTGCTGTGGCGTGTTTTTGTGCAGGTACTTGTGGGCGTGGTGTGTGTGCAAGAGGAGTTCAATAAATAAAATAAATACCTGGGTGTATGAGGATGTGTGTACTGACAATGGATCCCCACGGCAGTGTTCCCTCTAAGCCAGGGTCCAGCCTGGTATCATGGAAGATGATTCATTTCAGAGAAACACAGTCAGTTTTGGCTGGTGATTGCATTTTTCATACATAAAATGCAGCTCAAATAACATAAACAACATGCCTTTTAAACCTGTAATAAAATGTTCCAATACAAGCAACTATACCAGAAGTGGAGCTGCGTCCTCTTCCATGATGTAAGACTGAACCCTGCTGGCTCAGAGGGAACACTGGTCACAGGTGTGCGCCTCACACCAGGATCTGTTGCTGTAGTGTCTAGCTGGCTATGTTTGTGAGCTTTGCTGTGTCCTATATTTGCTGTCCTTTCGGCCTTTATTGCAGTCATAAAGGTGATGATTATATGGCAGGGAATATTAATAACGAGGTAAGTGTTTCACCGGTATCATTCTCAGCATTTGGTGGTTTCCTCCTCCGCTTTGTAGATTTGTCGATTTGATCTTATGCCACATTCAAGTCATTAAAAAATAAAATCTGATGAGGTAGAAATAAGGTTAATGTTTCCAGGTCAACATCTTGAATTTCCCTTTTCATCCTGCATGACATGAATGTGGCATTTGAATTTTATTTTTTTTAAATCAAGGTGCTTTTATTTGTTTGGGTGTGTGTTCTCCAGGAGACAGGTGGAGTGGGAGGCGGCCAGCAGCCTGATGAGGGGATCTGCCTGACCCTGCAACGGCAGCCAATCATCTCTTTCCTTCCACACCTCCGCTCGCTGATCAACGTCTGCGTCAACCTGGTATGGTAACACGCAGACGCGCAAAACCTTCTAGATAATTACTGTTTACTGATGATTGGCATGTGTTGCCAGGTGATGGGTGTGGTTGGTCCCTCCAGTGTGGCAGATGGGCTACCTCTTCTCCACCTCAGCCCCTACCTATCCCCTCCGCTGCCCTTCAGCACAGCAGTGGTCCGACTGGTTGCCCTGCAGATCCAGGTAGGCCCTTATTCACCTGACTGGACATCCATTCTTCGCTGCACTGATTTTACGTTAAAGAATTTTTAATTCCTCCAATTTCCCCCCACCCCCCTCCAAGGCCTTGAAGGAGGACTTTCCGCTCAGCCATGTGATCTCACCTTTCACCAATCAGGAGAGGCGCGAGGGGATGCTGCTCAACCTACTCATTCCCTTTGTGCTCACTGTTGGCTCTGGAAGCAAAGGTAAGAGCTTACAGCTTACATCCACTTTTTTATTTTGTTCTTTGTGCTCTTCTGTTGTTTTTAAGCTGCTACTCTACTATAAATCTAGGTTATTTAAAGGATGCAATTTTCATAGAGGCAATTTTCTTCATTGTCATATTTGGTATTGTTCTGATCTTGTGACATATGGTATATTGTGTGAATTGTAATAAGTTACTTATTACTACTTAAAAAAGTAATTATATAACTTACACTACACCCCCCCACCCCAATCCCAAAAAGTGACTGACAACCTGTTTAACAGCTCATTTTAGAAATGAATCCATTTTACAGTCAACAATCTACCAATCTAAAAGCATTGCAGCCTCTTAAACCAGATGTTGTTGTAAAAATATACAGTGTAGGTTATGTATTTAACAAAATAAAAAACAAAGCAAGTCACTCCCGACTTTTGAACTACTATTGTTCTGCACATGCCTTTATAAGAGCAGTATTCAGTGTTTTTACAACACATAAATTGTTGCTTAACGTCACACTCTCGACACGTGCATGCATCACTGGCAGTAGCGGCCTCCCAGTCAGCGCCAGAGTTTCATTCTCCAAGTTTCAAATTGCTGTGCTGCTTTAGCAGATGCTTCAGTACATTAGATGTAGAATTGTTCCCAGTTAAAATCTTTTTGCTGGTTGCACAAAGTTTGCAACCGATGACGATCTTTGACTGACAAACTCAAAGTAACGTCAGTATGTACAGCTGTTGAAAGAACGCCTATCTCCTTGCTCTTCATTCTTCCTTTAGCTTTTTGGCTAGCAGCTGACTTTAACAACATAAGGTCCAGCTTCTCAACTTGAACTGCCCCTGACCTGCCGCGCAATGGCGCATACACGTCAAGGGCAACAACACAAATCGCATTCTAGTAATAAAGTAATGCTGCATTACTTTGATGAATAACTGTAATATTATTACTGTTTTGGAAGTAATCCCTTACACTACTAGGGGAAAGTAATATTACTTCCCAACGCTCTTGGTTAACATTCAAACCTGCTGTAGGTCCTTAACAGAAACACTGCTTGATTAAATGGCCAAAACATAAACAAAGATCTGTTGCTTGCTAGCTTGTTTGTATTTTCACTCTTTCAGTTTCTCCTTCTGCAGATAGCCCCCACCTGGAGCCACCTGAGATCTTCCTGCTTCTCCAGACGGTCATCAATATCCTCCTGCCACCTCGGATCATCTCCACCTCCCGCACCAAGAACTTCATGCTGGACGCTTCCCCAGCTCACTGCTCCACCCCGGGCGACACGGGGAAGGACCTGCGCAGGGAGGGATTAGCAGAGTCCACCAGCCAGGCTGCTTATCTGGGTATGAATGAGAAGTGGACAGCATTTTATAGCTTCTCTCGTTCCTACCACTCATCCTCTTCCCTTCTTCTCTCGCTCTGCAGCTCTGAAGGTGGTGTTGGTTTGCTTTGAGCGCTCGCTGGGAAACCAGTGGTACCGGCTGAGCCTGCAGGTGAAAGAGATGGCTCTGAGAAAGGTGGGCGGCTTGGCCTTCTGGGACTTCATTGACTTCATTGTCCGGACCCGTATCCCTATCTTTGTCCTGCTGAGACCTTTCATACAGTGCAAGGTAAAGAACCAGTGAATTTTGTCCATTCACCATAATTGCGTGCACATATGTACAATTTGCCTGTGTGTCTTTGTCTTCCTAACTGGTCCTTATATGTTTATGTGCGTGCAGTTGTTGACCCAGCCTGCTGAGTCCCAGGAGGAGATTACAGCACGTCACCACATCGCTGACCAGCTGGAGCGACGTTTCATCCCGCGACCTCTCTGCAAGAGCTCCCTGTTTGCAGAGTTCAACAATGAACTCAAGATACTCAAGGAGGCTGTGCACAGCGGCTCTGGTCAGACACCAAAACTTACATTTCATTTACATTGTGGAAATCTGTCTTTTTAAATGTTGTTAACTAATCTGTTTTTAACCCAGTCTTCTGTTTGACTCTGCCCCCCTCTTCAGCTTATCAGGGCAAGACGTCCATCAGCACGGTGGGCACCTCTACATCAGCCTATCGCCTCAGTTTGGCCACAATGTCGCGCTCCAACACAGGCACCGGCACAGTCTGGGAGCAGGACAGCCAACCGTCACGCCAACCCTCCCAAGACACGCTCAGCCGCACCGATGAGGACGATGAAGAGAGTCAGGAACATTTTCACACCATTGACAAGCATTTTCACATTTGTAGAAATCCGAACTGAGCTCACAGCCCTCCATCCCTCTCCCTCCAGATGACTCCATGAGTATCCCCAGTGTGGTGAGCGAGCACGAGGCGTTTTTGCCCAGGGTGATGGCACAGCGTCGTTTCTCCAGCCACGCCACCGGCTCGGCAGCCTCGCAGCAAGAGGCCCCCCGCACCACCATGCTGCCCAGCCACAGGTAGCATTTCCAACACGTACACATGCATGCACAGAAATACACACAGAATCATGCATGTACAAACAAGCACAAAGTTTAACTTTTCTTCAAGTGTTGTTTCTTTTATAGCCATGAAGAGTTTTGGGTATGTACACAACTGAATGCACACAACCATGTCCTTGTTTAAATCTGAGGAAGATCCTTGTCGGTTCAAAGCATCGGCTGTTTAATAAATTTAGTGTCTTGGCTTGTGAGCCTTGGGCAATATCTTCTTGTTCATGATTTGTTCTGCAATTGGCGATACAGGACTAAAATAGTGAGCTGGTGTGCACACAGAAATAATCTCACTGGGTGAAACCTCAAGTAGGGCTAATAAAATAAGGTTTTCATTCACTTGTGAATTTTTATATATCATTTGATTCAGCTGAACAAAGGCAGAAAAAACGACAAGCAACAATTTATTTAACTTTCAGTACTTTACTCTTCAAACTGGCTTCAACCGCTGAGGTCGGACTCAACCTTTGAGAGTATTTCCTGTTTGTTTCCAGAGCTGCGCTGCCTTCAATAATTGTTCGTGTACAATTCAAATTTGGGATGTTTATGTAATATGTAGAATTAACATTTTGAAAAGGATCAACCAGTCATATCCCATAACCACAGTCATTTTTTTCTGTGTATATCTCTGTCGATTTATAATATTTTTATTCAACAGTCTCAGAGCAGCATTGTGAAGTAGCTAACACTCTGTGTCTGGGTAAGAATGATGTTGTGGTCAGAGCGAACGCCCTGGCTTCCCACCCCGCTCTCGCGGCTCAGGCACTTGGGTGGTGGTGGATCTCGACTACGCTCCCTAAACTCCCATTCTCCCCCTTCGCCCCCCTTTTTACAGTGAACCCAATGTGCTAGATGAGTCCCAGGGCCTTCTGCAGGAGGGTAACCTCTCTAGGTACAGTGGCCCTCTCTCTGTGTGTGTCCCATTGGTGCGTTCTTGCATCTGTCCGCCAGCGGGAGGGGCATCACCTCGGGACGGCCTCCTCTACTGGCCGCCTCACCGTTGATCACTCATCCACATCCAATCAAACCGCCTTGGCCCGCCACGCCCCCTCCCCCCACTTACCTGTCTCTATCTCTTTCTGTGTGGGTCCAGTGTGCCTTGTCTCTGTCCCCTACCCCTCCACTTCCTTTTGAGCTCCACACTGACCCTCATCTTCTCAGCTCATCTGCTGTGCTATCCTAACCCCCCCCCCCCAAAAAAAAAACAAAAATACATAGAGGACCCCCTCAGCCCCGAGGCCAGGGAACTCTGCCTCTGTTTCTCCTCTGTTAGCTGTGGGTCTTTACAGTTGATGTGCCATCAACAAAGTCAGCCTCTCTTCCATTGGTGCCATGGTGTTTCATAGTGTTTACGTGTCTATCAGGCTTCTCGCTGATCAAATTGGGCGTCCTACTCTGGATACCAATCTGCAGGGGCAAGGGGGAACTGGGGTGGCAACCATAATACAAGGAACTTTTTTTCTTAGTCCAGTTTTTCTTTTGCAAACTTCAAATCAGTTCTAGCTCTATATAATGGCTGAATTACAAACTTATTTTAGTGTCACTTAAAAAAGGGGAATTTAAAATGTATGACGGCCAAAATAAACGATTTAAAAAAGATAATTAGCATTTAGCAATCATCACACAAGTTTCTATTGTCAGCGTTGCTACTCCAGCCCCTACCATCCCTTGTTGTGTTTTCAGTGTATGACATCATGGCAGCACTGTTTTTTCTGCACTGTGATTGGGTGTCTTGTAGCATACTGTGTGTGCCGTGTAGTGAGTGAATAAGTAGAATAGCAGCGACGTGTTATTGTGGTCAAAGATGTGGTGAGTGAGCGAGCACAGCTGGGGATGCGGTTGCCCTTTGTTCCCTTCGTGGTGATGTAGTTCTGTCTTTTGTGTGTGTGTGTGTGTGTGTGTGTGTGTGTGTGTGTGAATGCATGTGTATATGTCCATCTGACTGGTTGTAACAGGGTTGCCAGTGTCCAGAGTGAACCGGGCCAGCAGAACCTTCTTATCCAGCCTCCGTTAGGAAGAAAGCGAGGCCTCAGACAGGTGTGGACGTCAACTTTGTCTTTCATGTTTTTTTTATTTTTCACATTTGTCATATTACATACATGCTAAAAGATTCTAAAATATTAGTGTTTGCTGAAGAATGCATGAATGGAAACACAGCTAACACTCTGTACTGGGTTGCACTTCATTGTGACTTCCCCTGCAGCTACGTCGCCCTCTGCTGTCCATTCCAAAGAATGAACCACGTGGTCGATCTGGAGCGAGGCTTTCTACAACACGTAGGAGCATCCAGCCCAAGAACAAGCCACTGGGTAACAGCACACATGCCTTCATCTGTGTGTGTGTGTGTGTGTGTGTGTTAATGTTGGTGACTGAACACAAGTTTGTAGGTTTGTAGATAAGGCCCCATTCACACTACTCCGTTTTTGTTTAAAAATCGAGTTTTAAAATGAATACAATCTCCGTCCACACCAGCGTTTTAGCTGCGTATCAGAGTTGATCTCTGTCTACATTAAAACTATGGAAAACACACATCTAGTGGCCGTTCACGTACACTGGGCATGCGCGTGCCAGTTTCAACATGAAGCAGATGGTCTCTTCCGTAGTTACAGAAGATCTGACGAAAGAATAAAGTAATAAAGACGAAGACTCAGACCAGATTATTATTTTTTTTTGCACGGACCAATAATGAGCTGGGACTGTCACTGAATGTAACACACAAGTGTGGCGGCGGAAAACAGACTGGGAGTCGCCGCAAAGTAACAAGTGTAGGCAGATAAGTGTTATTTGCACAGTACAGAATATTTTAATAAAAATAACAAGTCAAAAACACTGTCAGTAGCACCGTGTGTCTGCTTTGAATGACTTATAAGACCCAATCAGAGAGCTAAAACGCCCTCCAGAGTTTCAAAATGAAAAACGGGGTCGGCAGCGTTTTCAAACTTGTCTGTTTTAGGTCTTCGTTTTCGCAAACGTAGCAAAAGGACTCTGTTCTAAAACAAAAACACAGTAGTGTGGGTGGGGCCTAAGTGAGGGTGAAAGCACATCTTTGTCTGTCTTGAAATTTAAAAAAAGATTTAGTGACTCACTGAAAAATGACCAGACTTACCCTGCACTTCAGATCACGCACACAAGCCAAATCGAGACCGTTTAATACAGTTAAAACATAATTCTCTTATTAAAATACTATTCATTTCTGTGTGCTGACTTGAACTGACCCGTCCTCCCCATTAATGACCTCTGTCTTTGTTCCAATGTTGGTTGTTGTACCACGTGTCACCAAACTGACTCTTCTCACTCTGTTCTGTCTGATGCCTTATGTTTCGAAATAAAGAAACTTTGTTGGACTGTGAAGGTGAGACACAACTCTTAACCCTTCCTCTCCACCCTGCAACGGCCCGCTCCTTTTATCTGCAACCTCACCCAATAGGGCGCTCTGCATGTCTGTCTTGCATCCCCCTCCCAGTCCCTGCCTAACCCTCCTGTCCCATCCCTGCCTCCACTCTCTTTGGTGGTGCTGATGTGTTAGCGAGTCGCTAGCTGGCACTGTCGTCTTAGTTTTGACCACATGCGCATGCATGTGTGCCCCACAGCGCATGGAGACCAAAAGAGGTCAGTGACCTTTACAGAGAATCAAAGCCAGCAGCCGTCTGCACCTCCCAGCGCTGTGGACCCTCCAGCTGAGGTCAGGAAGGCCAGTCCTGCCGTTTCAAAGTCCTCAACGCTGGAAGTGCCCTCTGCCTCCTCAGCCACAGTCACTGCCGACCTGCACGGCCCTGCTAACACACAGGTAGGTCCAGCAGAGAGGACTGCAGCAGGGGCGGGTAGGTAACTGTTGAAACATAACTTCTAAACTGCTTGTCCTGAAGTGGACAGTATTAAAAAATAAAAAACACCTTTTGTTAAATAAATAATAACAAAATACGTAGTATAACCATCCTTTCACGGGATATTACTACAAGTTTTTATTTAATTTTAGCAGTTTTTATTTAAAAAAAGAACTTTACAACATTCATAACACCACTTTTCATCACAATGTCTTTGTCTATCAAAACAAACTGGTCTGAGCCAATTATGTGATCAGTCACACTACTGGGTAACACATAGAAACAAAAATGGTCTTCAGGAAAGGTACATTTTGAACTAAAAATCGCTGGAGTGAAATTAAAATCAGCTGCAAAAAAATGTGAAGTGAGGTTAAACAAAATATTTGATTATTTTTTACATTCATGTTTTTATTTCATAATGATTATTGATGATTATTTCATAATATCTTATTTTATATTTAATACTTGGGGTCTCTATACGTTTAGTGCCACTAGACTGGCTGAAAATGGACATTTATGTTACATTTTTAAAAATATCAAAACTGAAGATTAAGACAATTAATAGATTAGTTATGTACTGACAAAAAGAGGTGGAAATATTAAAGTACCTATAAGGTTGGTTTACCGAAATTACAAAAAACATATTTTCCAAAGTGACCTGTCCTGTGTACCCTGCCTTTTGCCCAATGTCAGCTGGGATTGGCTCCAGCGCCCTGCGACCCTGTATGCAGGATAAGCGGTTGAGGATGGATGGATGGATGGATGGATGGATATTTTCCAAAGTAGTTACTCTAGTGGCATCTAGCCATGCAGATAATTCAGCTTTGTTCAACCCAAATCAATGGAGGTGAATGGATTTTTGTTTTTGATGGTTAAAACACTGATTTTACATTATTTAAGACATTCTAGTTGCTTTGGATAATCCAGAGTTCACTGTGACAGCTGCATTTAAACTACTTTTCAAAACAAAGAAATAGTCCCTATTTAAACTGTTCTTTTAAAAAGAAGACCCATTCACCTCAATTGTATTGGTATGGTGGCAAAAATGTCAGAGATATTTCAACATACAGACAAATAAATCGAAACTCTGCCTGACCAGACTCCACTAGAGGAGAGGAATAAAAGTTTAGATTGTTGTGTAATTTGTGCGTACTGTCCCTTAAGTGAGGAGGCTATGTCACTGTAAAAGCTGAAACTACAGGAAGAAAGTGTTTTCTCCCCCAGGTCCCTCCGGCCATAAGCAGCAAGGAGAAGAGAGAGCAGTGGGGCCTCCGGAGCAACCTTTCCCCTCCCCCCTCCATCTCACGCCCCTCCACCCCAACACCCCCATCCCGAACCTGCTCCCCACTGCCCCTCTCCCGAACCTGCTCCCCTCTCACCTTGTCCCGCACCTCCTCTCCTCTCCCTCCACCGCTCCCGGTGCTGGGCTCGGCGCCGGCCCCGGGGCCCCCGCCACCACCGCCTCTGCCGCCAACCCCTCTCCTGCCTCCCCCACCACCTGCGCCACACAGGATCAGAGAAAGTCCTGGGGACGAGGACACGACGGCACTCCTGCCTCGCAGTGACACCCTGCTGCAGCTCAGTGAGGATGATGGCACAGAGAACCCCCTCCTCACCCCGCTGCTGTCCCACCCTTCACCCCGCCGCTCACCCCGCCGGTTGCCCCTCCACCTCTCCCCCGTCGACCTGGACCTGGATGAGTCCCACGTCTGAGAGGATTGTATTTTACTTTGTGTAGCCCAAGCCAAATGCCATATAGATACCTGCAGGGTACGGATAACAGGGAGGCTGTGCGGCACAAACTTCAAAACATTTAAGAGCAAGAGTGTACGCCGATTGAGTGACAATGCACAAAGTACATAGTTTGAAAGGAAGGGAATGTACAGGCAGAAGTGTGGGTGTTTTCCACGCTAACCCCCTGCCTCTTCAAGTGTGTCTGTAACCCACCGACTTGATTTCTGTTCCATCTGTAGCCCGCAAAATCCTAAAAGCCATTTCTGTTTTCCCCTCAGCCGGAGGGTTGAATGTACAGCCTACTTTAGCAGCAGTCTACCTTATTGCTTGTCTCTTTCATCATAGAAAACTGAAATCATGCTGGATTTTTAAGTCGACCCGTGCTGGTCTATTCTACCCCAAGAGCAAAGATTTATTTTTTAATTATATTTTATGACATACAAAGTATTAATAATGCTGGTAAATATTCAAATGTTAATAGATCAGAAATGGTTAAATTATTGATATTAACCAATTAAAGCTTCAAATACTGTCAATTTAAATATTAAAGATGTCTATATTTAGGAGATCCATATAAATTTAAAAAAGAAATACTATAGCTTGTACAGTTCAGGAAGTGCTGCAAAGGTTTTAAAGGTGTATTAAGAGCCATTCCAAAGCTATAGGAGAAATGAGCACCCTTTATTAAATGACATAAAGTAAATATACAGTACAGTGTATGTATATTAAAGATTTTATGTGATTATATGTAACAGGATCAAGAAATTGAGAAGAGTTTTTCAGTGTGTTGATTATACTGTAAAATGTCAACAGAACAAGTTAAGTAAATTTGAAATTTCAGTAGTAAAGGTTAAAGTTCGTTTAACCATAATTAAAGCTAACATAAAATAAATTTAATAGGTTATTTTATAAATTTTTAAATTGAATCATGATGGGGGGCAGCTAAACCCCTACTAAAGCTAAATATCTTAGCAGAGTAGCAGTGACCATCTCTAGCTTTTGTGCTGAACTTATCTTTAAATTGCATATCAATTTAGTTATTACACTGATATCAGTATAAATATTTATAGAGGACAAACAGACAGCAAAAGAGCTTTACATAATTCTTAAAGCTATGATCAAAATATATTAATAAGCAGGACCAAAACTTCTTTTTGGTTTGAATGGGTTTTTTCCCCAATAAATCCTTGTTTTCTCAACATAAATGCCAGAAACTTTCAAACAGCAAATCCACCATTGACTTGTTCCGTGCAATGCAATCATAATGTCAAACATATCCCATTTATTCTACAGTGTACCTTGTTCTGCTCACAAGCAGATTTTATTTGTGACCAAAGACTGTATCTTTACCTTGTGTTTCTGTGGTCTGAAATATCAATTCTGAAAACCTAGAACATTTACAAAAGACCCAGAAGACATTTAGACATTCATTTTGTTCTGATGTTGCAGTGCTGGTCACGTTGTTTTGGTTTTCGTGTCTGTGATGTTGTCTTGCGCTCACTGACTGTGATGAAGCGATGCAGTATAGATGGCTGTTACCTCGTTGCTCATTCCATGCCTTAACAGAGGAATATCAACATGTCTGTTTTATATGACCTCATACCTCCAAAATTTCCACGTTTAAGGAAACCATACCGTTGCACGTTCCAGTAATCAACATAATTATTTATTTTACCCTGCCTTCCCCTTCTGACAATGATAATGTTAAATCACATAATACAAGATCGATATGTGCCATAATCCACACCAACGCACTGTGAGTGTTTTGTTATTTGCTGCTTCTCTACTATATGTCAGTGTTGTATAACATTCTTTCTTTTTACTATTAACACAAATCAATTAACACACAATAACAGTAATTGAAATGGTATTCCTAATGAAAACGCATGTAAAGTCCCTGTTTCTACTAAATTTAAGACCCAAAATGTGTGACATTACCATTGTGTCTGTATTGCAGTCCTGTCCTGTCCTCTGAATCCGTGTCAAGTCAAAAAAATTTCAAATAACATATCTATCTTAAATCCATAAAACACACTATACTGATACATCAATGCCATGTTCATGGTTTTAAAGTCTTTAGAGAAGTACAAAGAAGTTTTTAGTGTCAGAGGGCCACTGAGCTGTTGAGTCTGAGTTCCCTTTAAATGTAATGTGTCTGTGTCAAATTACGTGTTTGTGCAAAGTTATAATAAACTACAGTATATCAGAATATTTCTGGAATATCTAAATAAATAGATATTGTTTACAATGTTGTTCAGATTTGTCTATTTCTAACCATGTGGAAAACATCAAGTTCTAGTCTTGTGGCAGTTCTGTTGCAGTTCACAAGGAAAACCTCTAAACAATATTTCCGAAAACCAGTACATCCAACAGATGCATAGTTGCAAAACTTCCTAACGCCAAACTTCATGTTTCATATCTAATTTTCTGAGAGTAGGAATAATACCTGTTTTCTTTGACTGTGGTAGACAGCAGTGCAGGAGGTGATAAGCTGTAATACTCTGACTGGTGTTTTGATCTCTGCTGAGTCATTGATATTGCCTGCTATAATTGTCTACCAATCAATGTGTCTCTGAATATCAAGTAAGTTCATGTAATTTTTGTTTGAAGTTCTGAGGATGTGGGTTCTGTCTTCACTCTTATCAGTCAGTTTTATAGTTGGATGTCCAATGGAAACAGTGAAAAGCTTTGAGAAAAAACAGTAACGTGTCTCAGATCAGATAGTTTAGAGTGTTGGGAGCCTGATCAGAAGTTCTGAGGATGTGAGTTCAATCCTTATGAGTCCTAGTGAATTTTAAAGTCCAACACCCAAAGTGAAGAGATAAAAGCACTCAGAGAAAAGGTTCAAATGTGAAGGGGACTTGGTGGCGTGGTGGGTTCATTTGTGACTGTAAGGTGCGACCAGTGACCAGCGTCTGATTCAAATGGATGGAGAACCAAGATGGGCTGGCATTTTATTGAAAGATGAAGTTTTGCAACTACAACGCATACTGTGCTAGCTACATTGCTCTGTTGGCAATAAGGATGGGAGCACACGCTTCAAACACTTAGGTAACTGTGATTGGATATCAATTAATGTTAATGAATAAGATTGAACGTGTTTGTGTAGTTCTTTCATTGGCTTGTAGATCGCATGCATTAAATGCACTGAACTAACTACAAATTACACATCAGCTGTTACCTAAACTAGCATGCTGTAATCCCACTTGTTCAGCTAAAGCTAACACAGTCCTGGGCTGTCTCTCAGTACGAACACTGGCTTGTTAGTCATTCTTTAAAATTTCACAGTGAAACTCTTTAAAATTTTAAGTGTAAGACTACTGACTCCCAGACCAGTTCAAAGCGTTTCATCCCTACTCTAACACTATATTCTGTGAAGTTGACCTGATTGCAGCTGAAGGTTATTTAGAACAGGGAATATAATCTGGGCCTGGTCTTCCAACAGTGTCTAACAATAATCAGGCAAGACTTGTTTGACTCAAGTTTGTAAACCATCGGAAAACGTCTGTCAACAAGCCCAGGGCCAGGGTTCGAGTTAAATAGGAGCCAGTGGGAGCTCAGCTCCCAGAAGGAGGCCTGAGCTCCCATGGAAGCAGTAAAATCATGCATCTGTGGGGGTCTCCAATTCATTTCTCAACAACCATTATTTTGAATCACAAATACTGTATTTTTCATTGTAATTAGTACCTACTATTATTTACATTAAACAAAATAAACAGACTTAAATGAACACACTTTCCTAATTAACTACGCCACGCATCACATGATTGACAGGATGGCTGCACTTCTCCACCATCAGCCACTATTGTGCACATAGTTTTGACCAAACAGTTTGTGGCAGCGAAGATGATAATGATGATTTAGCCTAGAAGAGTGCTGAATTTGGGCTGTCAGTGAAAGTTTGGTAGATGTCTAACCATAGCCCAAAAATAGTCTAGTCATCAATTAGACCACCATTGAACAGCTACATATAGACGTGTATTAGATGGTGAAAATGGGTCTAGGCTAAAACAAGGTTGAATTTGGGCTGTCAGTGAAAAGTTAATAGACATCTAACCATAGCCCAAGAATAGACCAAATACACAGCTTTTAAATGACTACATATCTACCTCTAATAGACAACAGAATAGTGGCTAATGGATTGTTTTGGTTGGTTGGTTCTCACAAATGGTAATCCGTCCAAACAAATTAAATATAGAGATTTTATTAAGAAAAAGGATTACAACGTAGACAACTTAAGATAATACAACATGATGAATATATAAAGGAATTATTGATAAAATATTATAAATACAAAACACTTTATATACACACACACACACACACACACACATATATATATGTGTGTGTGTGTGTATGTATATATATATATATATGTGTGTGTATGTGTGTGTATATATATATATATACACACACACACATATATATATATATATATATATATATATATATATATATATATATATATATATATATATATACATACACACACACACACACATAATATATATACATATGTATACTAACTTTCAAGTCTCGCGTTGCCAGTAGTCATGTGTCAGTAGGGCTACAGCTGCCATCTAGCGGTTGAAAATAGTAATTGCATTTTATTTTAAATTAAAATGAAAGTTAATGCAGGGAACGTTACAGCGAAAATAAAGATAATTTAAATGTTTCAAACGTTTACTTGCATTTGATGACATGATATCACGAACCTCAACAGCTGCATGGGTGAAAACTACATGTAACCCATTTGGTTTGAAACAGGGCTACAGCCAAGCTGTTGATATTAGACCACTGATTGCCTCTATTTCGCAGGGTGGGCTAAAAACAGACTACACGTAGCCTGTCCAAATAAGAGCTAAATCGTGGCTACAGATAGAATGGGGTACAAAAATAATGGGATATCAACCATCTCACGTGCTGCCAGGGCAAAACCCCACTTTTAATCATTTTTGACTAAAAGTGGACTACAAATAGCCGGTCTGTCTACGAGTTAAATCGTATCTACGCACACCCCTTGGTGGTGGGAGTATTCAGAGTGACAGGTGAGTTTCAAATCATATCCGTTAAATAGGAAGAACTACAATGACATCTATCTGAATGCATCTGTTCGGCTTATTTACCTAATCTCCCCCACTCTCAACCACTAAAAGGAAGCAGTGTTAAATATTATTGTCTACTTATGCAAATCATGTGGTAACACATATGCAAAAAAAATGCTGTGCACATTTACGTTCATTAAAGTTTATTAAAACCTGTGTGACGGCGATCACACAGTAATAAGCCCCGAATGATTATTGCATCTGTGTGTTTGTTATTCCCTGCTGCAGCTACTTGGGTTGGAGGAGACTTTATCATTGGGATTGCAGAGTCGGTGTATGACCCCTCTAAAGGTCTAATCTGGGCTCTTGTTCCTCTGCAGGTCTCTATTTCCTTTGTTATTGGTAGGACTCTTGAATACAAATCTCAGTAACTTTTTATCAGAAAATTGTATTTCCAAATGAGGCTCGCCCACATTGCTGTCTTGGTTCGGTCCTCTAACATTTAAGGAAAGGTGTTTGAGCCTATCTTGGTTTGATTGACAACGGTCTGTTGTGGGTTTTGCTTCATTCAGGAATGTTAGTCTTTTTTTGTGTTTTATTTATTTATTTTTTAAAGGTGGATTGTTCTTTGCAAAGCCAATGAGGGAGAATAATTACATCAGCATGATGGATCCATTTCAGAGAAAGTATGGAAAAGCACTGACTGTGGTTTTTACCATTGTTCCTGTCGTAGCTGAAATCATCTGGATTCCTGGATTACTGATTTCTTTGGGTACAAATATGCAAACACTCAAATGCACAATTTCACTGACTGACTTAATCATCCAGTTCATCATTCATACTTATGTGTGCTGTGTGTATGTGTGTGTTGGCTACAGGGGTGACCATGAGCGTCATCTTGGAGCTGCCATTCAGTGTTTGTGTCTGGATCTCTGCTGCAGTGGCCATCATCTACACTGTTCTTGGAGGTCTCTATTCAGTCGCTTACACTCATGTCATCCAGCTATCACTGGTGCTTATTAGCTTGGTGAGTGTGCGCACTGACTTCTGATTTCTCAGTGCAATGATTGTACTTGTATGTGTGTTTTGGAAATGTACTGAAATAAGAGCACACGCCTCTCTTCACAGTGGCTGTGTGTCCCTTTTGTTTTTGCAAGTGGTGTTTATACTGACATCACTAAAACAGCATTCAACCACACACATCAGGCCTCCTGGCTTGGCCATCTTCAATCTGATGAGCTCTGGATATGGATTGATAATTTCCTAGTGATGGTAAGATGAACAACCGCACAGTATATTAATGTGACTGCTCGTATTCCTTCGTGATTTTTTAAATACAGAAATGCAGATAAGATGAAATGTATATATTACCAAAGAAACTGAACTATAAAACTTCGCAACAGAGCTGCAATAAACAGGTAGTTAATAAAACTGTGATGACCTTACATTATGTGTTGCCTCCTGATATTAGAGCTGCACTAAGCTAAAATCAACGCATCAGGTTATGTATGACATGCTACAGTGGTGGACTCGGGCTGTCTGAGGTGCAAGGGTGAAAAACAAACACCAAGCCCAACAGGGCGTAGAAACTGAATGACACCTTTCAACTCATGCCTTTCAAGTGTCGACAAAAGCTAGCATGGACGATCTGTATTCTCGAGCGCCCCCGGATACGAGGGATCCACGCAGCATAACTTCAGCAACAGTTAATCACAAAGTTCTATGGGCACATTTGGGATTTTGGGCCCTGGGCATGTGCGCAGTAGGCCCATGTGGTAATCCTTCCCTGCTCACAGGGGCACCTTGGAGGGCACGTTACCAGATTTCCTTACACAAAGGGGCACCCATTAGGGCATTGCATCACATTTTCTCTAATGCTAGGGCACTCTAATGCACATAGGAGCACCCTGGAGGGCAATTTAAAAACATTTCCTCACACTAAAGAGCACTCTAGGGGGACTGCATCACAATTTTGTTATTTTTTATTAGGGCATTGCATCTCATTTTCTCACACATTAAGGCATTTTAGAGGACGCATCATCTTGTTTCATTTACAAAAGGGCATCATGTTGTATTATCTTAAGGATTTCAAAAGGGTTTTTCTAACATGGGAGAACATCTCGGGTTACGTATGTAACCCTTGTTCCCTGAGAAGGGGAACGAGACACTGCGTCGGTGACGACACTATGGGAACGCCTCTGGGCGTGGCAAGGCTGAACTATGAATGAAACTACTCCAATCCCATTGGTGTTACTAGAACGGTAGCGTGTGACGGCGTAACCGGAGGGGTATATAAGCACACCGGCACACAGGACACATTAGCCCTTTTCTATGAAGCAAGGCACTCCAGGTAGCATGGGCATGGAAAAACACATTGTCGGAACTGATTACCAGACATGGTCTCTACTGCTTCGTCAGGATTTCCAGGTAAGACAACAACTTTCTTGATAGTGGAGCTTCCAAACATACTCAGAGTGCCTGCTGAATTAAAAAAAAGGCTAATGTGTCCTGTGTGCCAGCGTGCTTATACCCCTCCGGTTACGCCGTCACACGCTACCGTTCTAGCAACACCAATAGGATTGGAGTAGTTTCATTGCGCATCGCGTCGGTTACGACACTATGGGAACGCCTCTAGGCGAAGCAGGTCTGAACGTGAATGAAATCACTCCAATCCTATTGGCTTGTTGCTAGAACGGTAAGGTGTGACGGAATAACCGGAGGAGTATAAAGCACACCTGTACACACTCATGATTAGCTTGAAATATGAAGCAGGCGCTTCAGGCGGGGAGAGAGGTGCGGCGGGCCGACGCAGTGTCTCGTTCCCCTTCTCGGGGAACCAGGGTTACGTAACCCTTCGAGGGAACTACGTCGGTTACGACACTATGGGAACGAGATACCCACTAAACTGTGCCGAAAACCCCGCCTGCCCCTGTGTGCAATAAAGTGGCATGACTAAGAGGAGAGCGCACGAGTGCCAGGTGCCGAAGGAAGGTCAAGACTGTAAAACCGAATGAATGTGTGCGGAGTGGCCCAGCCAGCCGCTAAACAAACATCCTGCAAAGAAGCCCCGGAAAGGAGGGCTCGAGAGGCCGCCATGCCTCTGGTAGAATGAGCCCTCACAGCCACAGGTGAAGGCAAACCGCGCACCTGATAGGCCAGGGAAATAGTCTGAACAATCCAGTTGCTAATAGTATGTTTGGATGCAGGGAGCCCGGCCCTGGGAGACCCAAAACACACTAGCAGCTGGTCAGCCTTCCTCCAACGGGGAGGACCTCAGAGTGTAAATACTCAGTGCTCTGACAGGGCAGAGCAGATGAAGTCTCCCATCCTCCGCCGTCACATGAGGTGGAGGATGAAATGCCTGCAGCACTGTGGACCCTGCCGCACAAGAAGGCACTTTAGGGATGTATCCTGAACGAGGGTGCAGGATAGCCCTAATATTCCCCGGGGCAAACTCCAGGCTTTGCGGGGAAACCGAAAGCGCTTGGAGATCCCCCACCCTCCTCAGAGAGGTGATAGCAAGGAGAAAGGCCATCTTGAGGGTCAAGTGCTTAGCCTCAGCTGACTCCAGATGTTTGAAGGGGGCATCAGCCAACGCCCCAAGAACCACTGCCAGATCCCAAGTGGGAACCTTGGACCGAGTCGCAGGTCTCATCCTCCGGGCACCACGGAGGAAACGTACAACCAAGGGAAGTTTCCCCAAGGACCCCTCCCTCAGAGGGGTGTGGAAAATAGCTGCCACCTTGAGGGTGGAAGGGGAAAGACCAGCAGAGAACGGTCCTGGAGGAACTCAAGTACCTGAACCACCGGGCAGGTAACAGGGTCCACTGGCCGCTCCCTACACCAAGTGGAGAAAACACTCCACTTCAGGCCTTACATCCTCCGTGTGGACGGGGCCCTGGAGCTCAGGAGGGTCTCGACTGCTCCGGCTGTTAGACCTGCCTCTAGGTACTGTGCCCCCTCAGGGGCCAGACCCACAGTCGCCATATGGCGGGGCAAGGGTGAAGAACCCGGCCCTGCGCCTAAGACAGCAGGTCTCTCCTCAGAGGGACCCGCCACGGCGGGCCGTCCAGGAGCGACATGATGTCCGAGAACCACACCCGGGTTGGCCAGAATGGGGCTACGAGCAGTAGGCCGACATTGTCCTGGCGGACCCGCTCCAGAACCCCGGGAGCAGAGCGACTGGGGAAAAAGCGTACCCAGACCCAACGGGGCTGGAGGAACGAGAGAAACCATAGCGGGCAGTGCGTAGTCTCTTGAGACGCAAACAGATCCACGTCTATGGGGCCGAACTCTTCGCACAAGAGCTCCACCACTTCGGGGTGAAGTCTCCATTCCCCGGGCCTCAGCCCCTGCCTCGACAGCAGGTCTGCTCCCTGATTCTGCGTCCCCGGGAGATACATCGCCCTGAGCGATAGTAACCTCTGCTGGGACCACAGGAGGATCTGACACGCCAGTCTGTCCAGAGGGCGCGAGCGCAGACCGCCCTGGTGATTCAGATAGGCCACCACCGCTGTGTTGTTCTCTTCGGAACGAACCAGGACGTGGTGGCCTTGGAGATCGGGCAGGAAACTCCTTAGAGCCTGGAACACCGCCAACATCTCGAGACAGTTGATATGCCACTCGGATTGATGCACCTGCCAGGATCCCCTTGCAAAGCGGCCGTCCATGACCGCGCCCCAGCCCGTGAGGGAGGCGTCTGTCGAAATAACCAGCCAGCGACAAGACCCTCCCAGCACGGGCCCCTGGGACAGGAATCAAGTTTCCTTCCAAACTGACAGGGAACGAAGACACTTGCGCGTAACCCAAATCAGACGGAGAGGAATTCCCTTCGGGGAAAAACCCTTGTTCCTTAGCCACCACTGCAGTGGGCCTCATGTGCAGCAGTCCAGATGGTATTACGCTGGACGCAGCCGCCAGGAGACCCAACACTCGTTGAAAGTGTTTCATAGTGATGGCGTGGCCTAACTTCATCCCTTTTACGGCAGCCAATATGGTGTCGACACGTGCCGGAGACAATTGTGCCCGCATCGTTGTCGAATCCCATACAACCCCTAGGAACGTAGTCCGTTGGGTGGGCGCCAGCACGCTCTTCTTTGCGTTGAGCCTCAGCCCTAAACGCCGCAGATGAGCCAGAACGACATCTCGATGCCGAACTGCCAACTCTCAAGACTGGGCTAGGATGAGCCAGTCGTCGATGAAGTTGAAATCCGGATGCCCTGGAGCCTCAGCGGGGCCAGTGCTGCATCCATACACTTGGTGAATGTGCGAGGGGAAGTGCCAGGCCGAATGGAAGAACCCGATACTGGTAAGCCACACCCCCGAAGGCAAACCTCAGGAACTTCCTGTGAGAAGGACGGATGGAGACCTGGAAATAGGCGTCCTTTAGATCTATCGTGACGAACCAATCCTCAGATTGGATGTGCGTCACGGTGGCGGGGATGATGAGCATCTTTAACCTGAATCTCCTCAGAGACCGGTTAGAACCCGCAGATCCAAAATAGGGCACGCAGCCCTCCGTCCTTCTTGGGGACTATGAAGTACCGGCTGTAGAACCGGCGTCTCTGTCTGGGGGGGAGACACGTTCCACGGCCCCTTTCCTCAGCAGAGTACGAACTTCCTGTCCCAACACCGGACCTTGCTCCGGGCGGACCACAGTCCAAACCACCCCCTCTCTTCTGTTGAATTTGGAGGGCGGGTTTTGAACTGTAGTCGATACCCATCTATGGCAGTGCGCAGGACCCACGGAGAAATGTTCGTCAGGCTCCGCCAAGCCTCTGCAAAGTCTGCCAATGGAACCAGCCCCTCGGGGCTGGTGGTCAGTGTCTCGTGTGATCTTCTGGTGGACCCCTGAAGCCCCAGAACGGCAGGGGGGAGCCACCGAAGATCCATGGTGAGTGAGTCGGGGCACCGCCTGACTGCAGACCCTCGGGGCAGGCAGTACGGCGTGGACTCGATGGTGGCAGGTGCGTCCTGAACGTGTAAACGGCGGGATAACGTTACCTGTTGCCACGGCGGAGGGGACCTCGGTCGGCCTCCGGGGGGGGGGGGGGGGGTGCGGGAGGGGAGAAAGACTCCCCTACCCCGGTCTTCCCTGAGCTCCGTCGGGACTGGATGACGGTCCTCAGATCGAGTCTCTCAGACGGCTGAGGGTGAGAGCGCCGTCTCGCTGCCCCAGCTCCTCGGGGGGCCCCCGAGAAGCGACACTCTGCTTCCTCTCCTCTCCGTAGGAGCTCGTAGAGGGAAGGGACCTACGCCTGGCAGCCTCAGCTGCCTTGGGTCCATACCGGCGAGGGAGGTACTGGCGGAACGCTTCGCCCTGCGTCTAACGCTCCGTGGTTCTGCGAAGCTCCGCCAGATCTTCCTCAGAGGGACCCCCCCTCTGAACCATCTCCTGTAGCAGGTCGGCTTGGTAGGCTTGAAGCACCGCCATGGTGTGCAAGCTCGCACCTGCCTGGCCCGCTGCCATGTACGCCTTCCCCACGAGCGTGGATGTGGTGCGACATGGTTTGGATGGTAACGCCGGCTTCTCCAGGGAGGACGCAAGTCGAGGGGAGAGATAGCTCGCAAGCGCATCCTCCACCCGAGGCATCCTCCCATAACCACGGTCCCTAACCCCCCTCACATTACTATAGTTCAGTGATCGGGGTGTGGAAAGCCATGTAGAGAAGGGTCTGCCCCATGATTACTCAGTTCATCATGTAAATCAGGAAAGAATGGCAGAGACCGGCGTGGAGGTGGCGTGTGGTGCTTAAGAAACCTTTCATCAAGCTTACCACTAGCCTGTGGTGTCTGCTCCTCCTGTGGCCAGTTGGTGTTGAGCTTAGCCACGGCTCTAGTCACCACCTCCAGCAGCACGTCATAGTCGGGCGCCGCCAGATGACGCTGCCCCGACACCCGGAAGTCATCGTCCACTACGCTGAGCACGTCCGCCTCCTCGGAGTCGGATTGCTGCAGCGTCTCCGGATCCAAACCGCGAGCGGGAGAAGCCGAGAAACTGGCTCCCGAACGAGGAAAGGAAGCGTCGGAGCCAGCGGATGAAGGTCGGGAAAAAGCCTCAGCCGTCCCGAAATCCTCCGACAGATCACGCTGTGAACCCCATGAGTGAAGCAGCCGGGCCGCCTCAGCGGCCGCAGGGCCCGCGCCACGGGGAAAACACATCCGGCCATCCTCGGAAAAGAGAGCCATGCTGTACCTCAGTACCCGCACGGAAAGGGCTTCGCAACGGGCACAGGCAGCCCCCTCGAGAGCTGCCCGGGCGTGCTCCATCCCCAAACATGAGACACACATCTCATGAGAATCTCCATCCGTGATGTACCGAGGGCAAGAAGAAAAAAAAAACACCTTCTGTACATCTGGTTGCCGGACATGCTGGTAGACTTCTTCTTCAGGTAAGACACACTGCTTGTAGGACTGGAGCTTTCTTCAAACAACATACAGAGCGCCTGCTGAATAGAAAAAAGCTAATGATGAGTGTGTACAGGTGTGCTTTATACTCCTCCGGTTATTCCGTCACACCTTACCGTTCTAGCAACAAGCCAATAGGATTGGAGTGATTTCATTCACGTTCAGACCTGCTTCGCCTAGAGGCGTTCCCATAGTGTCGTAACCGACGCAGTTCGAGTTCCCTCGAAGGGGAACCAGGGGGGCGATCACTCCTGAGTTCACATTATAAAACTGGCATATTTACACATCCTGTGGAAATAGACCAACATAAGCAACCCAGGATAGTCTATTTTAGCTTTGTGAAAATAAGTATTTTTTTTATAATTTCTCCTATAATTCATATTAGTTGGGACAAAATGTTACATGAGACACATGGGAATGTGGTAACTGCTTGACACAGCCTTACAACAAAGTTCAGGCATCAAGACCATGGATGTGTAACTGATCGGGCCTACGGGGCACAGACTCAGGAGGTCAAGGGCTCAGTGCTCCTGGGCCAGGGGCTTGAATTGATTGATGTGTCAATGAAATGGCTACAAATAGACACAAAACAAGGCGTAAAATGAGACACAACGACCACAAAGAAAAGCAAAATGAGTGCAAAGATGCCCCAAATGTACCACAAAAGAGACGACAAACTGCAACCTCATTTTGTGTCTTTCAATCAATGGGTCTTGCTCTTATGTGGGAGGGGAGGGGTCCCCTGGGGAACAGACATGTCTCATAATCCATCCGTGGTCACCACACAAAGGATCTGACAGCTTTAAAACAGTGCAGTGTGTGTTTGCCATGTGCAGTTGTAATGAGGAAATGTGGGTGTGTTCGACTGTTTATCAGTTTTAATAGTCATTTACATAACATGGTTTGGTTCTGGGGTGCTGTCTAAGCCAGTGTCCAGTCTAATCATTGTCAATTCATTCCATAAAATGCTGTTTTGGTTTGTTCTGTGTCTTTCATTTTCTAGACTGTGGGCAACTTGGCCGTTCAGGATTTTCATCAAAGGACTCTCTCCTCCAGCTCCGCGTCTACAGCCAGAGTCATCTGTTTCATGGCAGCAGGTGGAGTCATCATTGCCGCGGTTGCCGCTTCAACAGGTACATTTATGAGTTAAGTGCGTAGTGGCTTCCAGATTAGTAAATGCAGCCAATGCTTTTGTTTGTTTCCTGCTCCTTTATTTCAGACTGGAACTCCACCTCATATGGCTCTCCCTCTCTGTATGAACGAGGGGAGGCGGCTATGGCATTTCCCATCACCCTTCAGCATTTTACCCCGACCTACATTTCTGCTTTTGGCATGGGAGCTGTTGCTGCTGCGGTGATGTCGTCCGCTGACTCTTTCCTTTTGTCCGCGACCACCATCTTCACCGCCAACATCTACCAGATCATCAGGAGTCAGGTATTAGGAACCGGAGCACGGAAGTGGCAGTTTTGTGTTGATTCTCAGTACGGCAAACATTCCAGCAGAGCTGAAATTTGATAGTGAAGACATCATTAGACGTGTAAATATCCACTCAAGTATTTTTCTCCTCTGTAGGCATCAGATAGAGAGCTGCAGTGGGTGATTCGTCTCTCCATAGTGGTTGCAAGGCTTGTGGGAACATCCCTCACCTATCTGGAAGGTGGCATCTTGGTGTCCTGGATCCTGGGCTCAGACCTGACTTACACTATTATATTCCCCCAACTCATCTGCGCCAAGGTATCCAACGGCTATGGTGCAATCGCAGGCTACCATGTCTTCCTTTGCGGTTTCACTCTTGTTTAACAAGGGGATCCTTCCTGAGAGGTGGGACGTGTTCAAGATGAAATTCCAGGAAGCACCGATGCCGGCAGAGAGGGCGGTAGTTATGAGACTGATGTGTTGACGTGAAACATTTGCATCTGAATCAATGCTGGATACAAATTGTTTAAAAGTTTTAATTTCAGATGTCTCTCTTGACATTATCATTTGGTTATAGTGACAGACTTATTGTCATTGGTTATTGTGTTATTGTCATTATTAGGGAAGCAGATCATTTCTATAAAATAATTGCTATACCACCAGCCACCCCTAGTTCCAGTTGCCAGCTCCTTTGAGGGAGGCATGACCTTTCAAGAACTGGGCCAGTATTTATCAAGCTTCTCAGATTTACTCATGAGAACACTGCTAAGAATTGACTTAAGAGTAAAAAAATTCTTGGCTCAAAGCTGCACTTAAAAGGTAGTTATCAAGCATCATAGTCCTAATTTGAGTGAAGTGTAGGACTAAATCTTAGGTGTCAGTCTTAGAACTGATTCACGACACTTTGCTGTGCCGCAAACAGGATTTTGGATGACGATGTCGGCATGGACGGAAGAAGGAAATCTGATTTACTGAATTCTTTAAGAATATTCTCAGATAAATTCACATTGAATGGTGAAATTCCTAAGAGGAGTTTACATTCAACACACATTTGACAATTAAGAATTTTTAAGAGAATACATTATATACATAGGCTGCGTACACACTGGAAATGAAAGATAAAAAAGTTGATCTTTACATGAGTGCCATCAACTGCGCTTATTACTCCTGGGAAGCCGATGTGAATTATGTTTGCTTCTGTCAGATTACGCGAGGTGTTGTTGGGAAGTCAATGAAACGCGTGACAGTGTGTGGAGCTATAAGTACCAGAATTGTTTCCATGACAGTTCGGCTTATTGATGGTCAAAATCATCAGCATGCTGCATTTTTCCTGTGGCAAATAAACAAAGTGTCATCACCACCTTTAGTTTAGCGGAAAACGTATTGCTGCGTAAAGTCAGTAAGTGGTAAGATGACATCTCTCACCAACTCGCAGATAAAGATTATGCCTGCGCTGTCCGAACCCGTCTGACTAAGTGTGCGCCGTCTGAAATAATTCTGAAACATTCTTCCTCTCCTGAAATATACGTGCATGTCTCTGTCTCCACAGCACCATCACAAGCCCCTACTGGCAACTCCTAACCACTTGAAAGACCTCTGGAGTTGTCTTAAATTACTGTGAGAGTAAGAGTGAGTCTTAGCTTTAAGAAATGTGATAACTTGCTTTTATTCTTAAATTTAAATGTAGTAAATTTCATGAATTCTCAGGACTTAGGACTAAAATGGCACTTTGAGAAGTCTGATAAATACCGGCCCTGTTGGCTACAAGGATGGATCATTGCCTTCTCTCTCAAATGAGAGGTTTCACAGAGGGCTCAACAGTCACATTTTCACTGAGAAAAAGTTTCCATTTTTAAATTAAATGTATTAAATTGTAAATAGTCCTATCATGATCCTTTACAAAAAAACTGTTAGAAACTCACTGCTTCTATCCACTAGTGCTTAAGTCATGTCAGGGGGTAGTTTATGCACAAAAAGTAAAAAAGGACATAATTTAGAAGAAAATATCCTAATACCTGTGTGGGTCATTTGCTTTATCATGGTCTTAAAACCGGTCTTGAGTACTACAACACTAATGTGTAGTTATCAGAACTCACCAAGATAACATTATGCAGTTTAAAAATAAACTTCTTTATTGTTATACATAGTACTTTGAACAAAATTACAGCTGATTGCTGTGTCTTGTGGTGGATTTGAGGCTTCTAAACACTTAAGTTGCCAACAGGGGAGTTGTAGAGTGCCCTCTAGTGGACAAACTATGCAATGACAACACTCATCATACGATTGAAGGATCTGGCTTCCATTTCTGTTTTTTATTGTCAGTTGTTTAATTTGTTATAAACACCAATAGTGATTTATCTACAAGTAGCTCATAACATCAGTCGGGCACTGGTATTCATAGTCTGGGTTATTTCTTCACTTGATATTATGTCTTCCATATTATACTAGCATCTGTTTGGCAAAGTTAATGGGACAACAATTTACCAACCCTGTCACTGTGCTGTAATAGGTTTGCTTTATTTAACAGTTTGTTTAGCGGAGAGATTTGTTTCTCCGTCTTCATACAATTCAGGGTTAGAATGAGATGCATATTTTCCTTGTCTAGCACTAGTATCTGTTGATGTCTGCCAGTGAGGTGTCACATTCTATTTTTTTTTCACAAGCTGCGTATGAAATGATCTGCCACCTTAGGAAGGCTTTAAGCAGGTGTTGACACATCTGGTGTGCTGCTAATATCAAAGAAAGTGTCGATTTAATTGGAGATATAAAAGTGTATTACCATAATAATGGACCAATATGGCAGGTGTGATGAGGTACAATAGCATGGTGGGGGGGTATGTAAGTGGACAGGGCAATGGTCGGAAAGTGTACGTTGTTGGAATTTGTGATAGGATTAGAAAGATTTGCAGTGACACAGGATTAACAATTGCGGGTCATCCCAATTTAAGCCATACATATTATCTAGGACTACTTAAATTCCAAATAATGTTCATACTACAGACATACTGTACCTGCCTTTGGTGTCAGATTTTACTGTACTGTTTTGCTGTGCATCTACTTCTGTCTTCCTAACTGGAGTGGTAATCTGGTCCATCCAGTCTGTTTCCCTTTCAGTGTTCACTGGCCCTAGTGTTCACATAACCTCCAAAGCAAAGGATTTCCAATGCACAAAAACTATGCTTTATAAGATGATGCATGCCCTTAATTTTCCAACTTAAGGAACATTAGGCATAATCATGTATTAAGTACTATGGTAAGTATAGGACAAGACTGACTGGGCTTCTTACCATTGTTTCTTTCATATGTGGCTTCCTGTCACACTGATTTCCTCTGGTGGTGAGATTTATGGATAGGACTGATTAGTAGTAGTAGTAGTAAGATGTGGTAACCACCTTACGTATAGTATGTCAAGTAGGCCTATGCTGTATGGTTTCTCAGCCGCCATCCCCTTTGTTAAAATTTTAAAACTTTCCTTGCCTTTGTGGATGTCAAATGGGGATGGAGGAGTTCAGTTTTGAGATTCTGTCATGTAAAAAAAAAAAATTGCTTTAATTTCAGTTGGTACCACTGGTCATATTTTAGGCCTTTGTCGCACTGCAGTTTGGGAGCCTTGTGATGGTGTTTCCATGTCCTTTTCATTAAATATTTTTAATAATGTTAAAAAGAACAAAACTTGCACAGTATACACAACGCATACGCAATTTAATTAGCACACATTGTTCAACAACATCAGGTTTCCTCCAATGTCAGTGCATTTCATAGGTCAGCGAGACAACTGGTAAAATTCAAAACCAAGAAAATGTAAGAGTAAAAGTGCTTAGTCGACTTCTGCCGTCATCAAGCAGTGATTCTTAAAAAAAGAACACACGCGCACACACACACACAAATAATACATACGCCATTGCATCGGTCAGGTGAATAACTGGTGAAAATGCTGTGCTCCTTAGCTGGAAGACACAAAGTTTGCGTAAGGCACCAAGACATGGAGGGAGGGAGTAGCTCAGCAATGGCAGGGTGGATTTTCTCTTTCTGTAGAGAATGGGAACTACCCGATACTGATATGAGAATGTGAGTAACATTTTTGTTTAGGGGGCAGAAAACAAAATAAGGTTTATCACATGTACATCACATTTCAGTAGCTCGAATTACTTCCGAAAGAAAAATAAAATAAAAAATATCAACACAGATAGAACAAGAAATGTCTCTATACAAAAAGTGTTTCTAAAATTAAGAGCAATTAGAAATAGGGGATAAGCACACATTCAAAGAAAATACTTATTTGCATTACAAAACAAGCAAATTTGGTTAAAAGCTTTTTTCAACAGACATTTATAAATTGAAGTAATGCAGACACAGGAGTAGTATACTTGCTGCAATCAATGTGAACAGAGACACTTAGCTAGCATGCACGTAGGATTTTTATTTTTTTTTACCATCCACTGCAAAACCACAGAACTAAAAAAAAAAAAAAAAAAAGACATGAATGGTGAAGGTGGCAACCTCTTAAATGCATTCACAACATGTGACTAAATCATTTCATTATTTAAACTTTTGAGCTAGTCTACGCCATACCATTCCAGCAGTGTGACTTAGTCAACACATCAATTTCAATACAGCATTCAAACAACAACTAGATAAATGAGACTTTAGAGATAAACTGCGTGGCTTCATTACAGTAAGTAAATCTATATGCACACAGTTTACCAGATATTTACCAAATTAAGGCAGTACTATCACTATTGAAACTGTAGTGTGAACACATCAAGTTACAAAGTGTAAGTTGGTTAGAGCTTTCACCGGCTTTACGCGTGGAAATAAGCTAATTCAGGTGAGGACCACTGAGCCTGTGAAAACAGCTGTATGGAGTCCTGTATGGGGAGCTTTTGAAACAATAGCCCTGATGATGTCATAGTGATGTCATTTGGGTGAGCCATTTCCTCTTGGGCTCAGGCTTTGACTGAAAGCCTGCGTTACAGACTGGGAGTGTGTTTTTTTTATTTTTATTGTTGCGTATTTAGCCTTGAATGTTTGTTATAGGGAACTACTTTGATTTAAATCAAAGTTTTCAGGTTTACAGCAACTTTACATTCCAGAACACTAAATCCAATTTACAACAGTTTCACAGCATTACATTTATCAGGCAGTATTCCAATTATTTAAATTTTCAGTTTGTTGGATCTCTTATTTTAAAGAAGAAACTCCTCAAAAGTCATTTCACCTAAGTGTCATATCACAGCTTAAAAAAAAAGGAAGAAGAAGAAAAGAACCATGTCCAGGTTGATCAGCAGAACCCAAACTTAGAGCATCATTAGACTATCTTAAGGCTGTGTAAATAGAGTACCATTACCTGTACAAGAATGTTTTAATAGACATTGGATAATAAAAAAAACACAAACTGATCAGCAGTACAAAAGCTTGTACTGGGAGGCTTTGTGAACGTCATGAGTGAGATTCGAGAACACCTTCAGTCATGCTGTCTCTCTGCCCTCCCCATGTTGCATTCATCTGTACGTCAGTGCAGGTCATGCTCTCATTTCATAACCACATGTGCGCGCGCGCACACACACACACACACACACACACACACACACACACTCCTGAATCTACATCCAAGATAGAGACAAAGAAGAATCCTAGAAGAAACTAGGATTTGAATGCAGAGTTTTTCCAAAGTGGTTTGTGATAGACCCAACCTTCACCCTGGGGGAGAAGAAGAGACTAGTGTCAGAACATTACTTATGACTAAAGTACAAAGAGTACTGGGACTGGGAGTTGTTGCAAAGCAAATGCAGTAACATGCACAGTACAAGAGTTACAATATATTTTAATAAAAATATCAAAACAAAAACACCGTCAGTAGCATTGTGTTTTTTTTCTTTGCATGACTGATAAAACCCAACGTGACATCTGTCGGCAAACACAACGGAGACGGGGTCAGCAGCGTTTTAAAACTTCTCTGCTCTAAGCCCTGGACATACTTGCTTTTAACTACGCGTTTGAGTACTCAAGATGGCTGCCACGTGTATCCTGCGTTCTTCTGAGTGTAGGTTGTGCACATCTCCAGAAATAAATGTTACATGTCCGCGAGATGCAATTCAGCACATGAACATAGGCAGTGTGTTGATCTGACCACCAGTTCAGCAGCAGTCTACTGTTCCACACACCAGCCCAGGTGGTGGCGGTATGCAATTGGTTTGCCAACCGCCATTAAACGCAAATGAAGAAGGTCAGCAGCTGACTACAAAAACCAAAAAAAATAAAAAATATAGGAGATTTATGGCGCAATGTTTACAATAAAACTCCTGTAGCAAAAGTGACAGTGTTTATCACCCGTCAAATCTTGAAATTACCCAGATTCTGAAGACATTTAAAATAGTTTAGTGCAATGTAAGAACACTGAAATAGAGAAGCTGTAGCAGGAGCCAGAATTAATGCTCAAGGTGATTTAAAATGTATTCAGTCAGCGCGGCGGTGCTTTTTGTTTGTCCCGAACGCGCTTCTACATTACTGTCTTCTGCTGCAGCTTCCTGTTTGGAATGTGCCCTGGCCTGATCATTTTCAGGTCAGGGCACATGTAAAAATGCTGTCTACGGTTTCAACAGAAAAATGAATCATTGTTGTGATGAACTGTGGCCACCCCGCTCACCTCTCTGTCAAAGTATCTGGTCCTCCAAGCGGTTTCGGTCTCAGCACGGTGCCTCTCCTCTGTCCTCTGCCTCTCCTCGAGAAGCCTCTTGTGCTCCGTGGCTTTTTCGATATCCTTCTCCCGCAAGGACTCTGTCACATGCTGCCACAGGCGCCTGAAATGCAGTGAAATGAATAAGCAACTTCTAACTGGGGCTGGATTTGGATTTGTACGCCCGCTCCACAGCCATCATTCTGACCTGGATTCAGTTGGTCCCTGCTTCTCAATCGGCCGAACGCACTTCTTCGTGACAGGCAGCTTGGTGACGTCGACCATCCTCGTCTCTCCGCTGGTGTAGCTGAACTCCAAAACACCGTTCCACTCGCCCTGCACGCGACACACCACCGCATTGGTGGGGTTGTGCTTCACCTCTGCTGTTACCCTACATTTAGGCAGGACAATGTAATGAATGCAAGGACAACGTACTGATTATATATGTTATTTTAAGAAGCTGATTGAGGGAAATTGTTTTTTTGTGAAAAATATTCATGTCAATTTTGTAATATGACTTTCATAAACATGAGAAAAAAAAAAAAAAAAAATTCTATATTCTTAAACATTTTGAGTTTGTAAAATTTTGTTTTATTCCCGAATTTCTGGTGAAGTACTACAACACTACGGGTGGGAATCACAGGGTACCTCGCAATACGATACATGGCTCACAATACCAGCAAATCTGCGATAATCAATATATTGCTAGACAATCCTATAACGATGCATCACAATATCTAACTATGAATATGAAATGCCTGTGAAAAGTGCAGGTTCTTTCTTTTTCACTGTCCAAAGTCCAAACTGTTAGAAAACAGCACAATTCTTATAAGTTTTTCCCTCTGTAAATTTAAATTACAAAAGTATAGTCGGGTAGCCCCTCTCTCAGGTCTGTTACTGCTACTCCAACACAACACTCGGCAGCTCACACACTCCATCCTCAGTCCGCACGCAGTGTTGAAGCAGATTCTGCTCAGTCCTGCTCTGGATCCCCACAACCAGCATCTCCTCGTCCTCTTTTCTCCCCAACCACACTAATAATTGGTGACTCCATAACCAGAAACCTCCGTTTCTTTAACGCTACCACTCAATGCTTCCCCGGTGCCACCATGGCTGACATTTTAAAAAAAACTCCAGGAGCTGATGCCGTCGCTCCCGTCCTCCATCACAAGAGTGATAGTCCATGTCGGAACAAATGACACAGCTCTTCGGCAGCCTGAGATGACAAAATCAGATTTTAACCGTCTTTTTAACTTTTTAAAGCAGTGTGGAAAGTCCGTTTTTATCTCTGGTCCCATTCCCACAGTTGGTCGCGGTGCTGGCCGCTTCAGTAGACTCCTTGGCCTCCACAACTGGCTCCAGTCCGCCTGCAGGGCTCACTGTGTGTGATAATTTTAATATTTTCTGGCAAAGAATGTCTCTTTTTAAGACAGACGGACTTCACCCAAACAAACGGGGCTCAGAAATGTTAGCTGCGCACATACAGCATGTGGTGCGGTCCACACATGATTTACGTGAATGACTAATCATTCATGCAGCACACCTGGACACACCACCGCTCACTGAACACATCTCTGCCTCACTGCCACAAACAACTGTCTCCACCTGCTGGCATGTAAAGCCGTCTGCTCCCAGCGCTGTTCCACAGACTTCTATTCCTGTCATCATTACGCATAGACCAGTAAACTGAAATGTGCACATCCCACACAGAAATAATAGTAATCTCTTAAGGATTAGGACAACTGCACCAACTCCAGCACCCAGAACAAACTCATTTAAAATGGCTCTCTTCAATGTGAGATCACTGTCAAGTAAGACTTTTATCTTAAATGATTTTATCTTGTCTGCAAATCTAGATTTTATGTTTTTAACTGAATCCTGGTTGCAAATGAATGACTATAGCCAGCTAGCTGAACTGTGTCCGCCTCAATATGATTGTTTTAGTCAACCGAGGGTCAGTGGTCGTGGTGGTGGGCTAGTGAGCGTGTATAGGAAAAATTTTAAATGTCATCAAGTACGCTGTGATGAATTTAACTCCTTTGAAGTTCTCACTCTTAAACTTGGAGGGCTGCAACCTATCATATTTGTTATAATTTATCGCCCCCCAAAACCGCCTGGAGGATTTTTATCAGAACTTCCTGAATTTTTATCTACTCTGGTTTTAAATTATGACAGAATTGTTCTTTGTGGCGATTTTAATATTCATGTTGATGACCCCAACAATGTTAATGCAACTAACTTTTTAAATATGGCCACTTCTTTTAACTTCAAACAACATGTCAAAGGGCAAACACATAACCGTGGTCATACACTGGACTTGGTTTTTACCCTGGGTGTCAGCATTTCCTCTGTGGAATTAGTGGACATGACCATATCTGACCACAGATGTATTGTTTTTAGCTGCGATTTGCCTGTTACTCATGCCGCCTCACCAAGCTCCGTGTGTTCTCGCATCTTTAATGAACAAAGTGTTTCAAAGTTTTACGCATTCTTTCAGAGCCAAAGCCAACACCTGTCTGATTCCAACACCAACAATCTGGTCGATCACTTCAATCATATCTGCTTGTCGTCACTAAATATTACTGCTCCTCTAAAGGTTAGGCCTACGTCTAAAGCTAGCAAGCAACCCTGGATAAATGACAGCATTTGCATCCTAAAAAGGGAATGCAGGAAAGCAGAGCGCAGATGGAAAAAATCCAGTCTCCAAGTCCATTACCTCAGTCTGAAGGATTTATTAATTAACTACAATAACATGGTTAAGGATGCGAGAACACACTATTTTTCTGAACTCATTACTACACATAAACACAATCCCAGGTTTCTGTTTAAGACTGGATCAGCTGGTAAACCCAACCCCTCCTTGTGCCTCAGCTGGAAGTAATGATGACTGAATTGTTTTTAATCTTATTTTACCAATGAGGTGGTGTCAATCAGAGCCTCTATTACCCTCGTGGCCTCTTACTCAGAGGTTCCTCACCAGCAACAAGAGAGTTTTAACCAGTTTTATCCCATCGACTTGTCTGAGCTTTTAAAAACAGTATCACAAATGAGAGTGTCCTCCAGCCCACTTGATGTAATACCTACAAAATTTTTACTGAAAGTAATAGATTCTGTTGGGCCCCATTTGATCGGTTTTCAACAGCTCCCTATCTACTGGTTGTGTCCCTGATTATTTTAAAACGGCTTGCGTGAACCCACTTTTAAAGAAACCTGGTTTAGATCCCTCCCTCCCACATAATTTTAGACCAATTTCAAAACTGCCTTTTATTGCAAAGATTCTAGAAAGAATTGTGTCCAAACAGCTGCTCACTGTGCTGGAAAATAACAAATTATTTGAAAAGTTTCAGTCTGGTTTTAGGAAGTACCACAGCACTGAGACTGCCCTGCTTAAAGTCACCAATGACCTTTTAATGTCTGCTGATGAAGGTATGTGCTCAGTCCTTGTACTCCTGGACCTTAGCACTGCTTTTGACACCATTGATCACAACATCATGTTAGACAGACTGAGGCACTGGGTGGGGATCTCTGGTACTGCCCTAGAATGGTTTTCATCCTACCTGTCAAATAGGAAGTTTTGTGTGTCTGTAAACAACTATGTCTCCTCATTCTGTCCAGTTAAATATGGTGTGCCTCAGGGGTTGGTCTTAGGACCCATTTTGTTTTCCTTGTATCTGCTTCCCCTTGGACATATTATCCATAAACATGGCATTTCTTTTCATATTTATGCTGATGACACACAAATATACTTGCCCGTCAGATCCACAGACCCTGGAATGCTGAGTTCACTTAACAACTGCCTTTGTGAAGTTAAAAAATGGATGTCAAATAATTTCCTCCAGCTGAACTCAGACAAAACAGAAATCCTGGTCATCGGGTCTCAGCAGATGGCAAATCAAATACTGCCATCTGCTGGTTCCCTAGTAAATCACATTAAGCCTGTGGCAAAGAACCTTGGTGTTTGGTTTGATAGTAATTTAAATTTCGAGCAGCACACCACAAAGCTTGTTCAATCATGTTTTTAATCAACTTAGAAATATAGCTAAAATTCGATCTATGTTAACTTTTAAGGACACCGAGACCATTTTACACGCCTTCATCTCATCACGCCTGGATTATTGCAACAGCCTTTTCACCTGTTTAACCCAAAAATCTATTGATCGACTCCAGACTGTCCAGAACTCAGCTGCCAGGCTTTTAACCAGAACAAAGAAATATGACCACATTACTCCTATTTTAGCTTCATTACACTGGCTCCCAGTATGTTTTAGAATTGACTTTAAAATTCTATTGATTACTTTTAAAGCTCTTCATGGCCTTGTTATATTTCTGAACTTTTAGTCCCATACACACCAGCACGTACCTTGAGATCCTCGGGCAGAGGTCTGTTGTCTGTTCCAGAGTCTCGTCTGAAAACTAAAGGGGACAGAGCGTTTGCAGTCAGGGCCCCGAGGCTCTGGAACAGCCTGCCCGAGGAAATGAGGTCGGCTGAGTCAGTGAACTCTTTTAAGTCCCTTCTTAAAACATACTTTTATAGGAGAGCCTTTCCCAATCTTATTTGACTTTATTTTATCCCTTTTATTTTATTGTATTTTACTAATTTTATATTAATTTTTCACACTCTTATCTCGTTTTTTTTTTGTATTATTCTTTACACTTGTTAAAGCACTTTGTAACTTGTTTTTGAAAAGTGCTCTACAAATAAGGATATTATATATTATAAGTATAGAGCAATTACGAAAAATTAAGAAAACATTTCTTTACAAAATGTACATAAAAATGCTAATTCATTGAATTAACTGAAATTTTTTAAAATAGAGCTGAAAATACAAATTGCTGTTTACCACCTAAGTCTAATAATTTTTTGCACTGCCCTATACTACACCACCTACAGGAACTCCACAAATCAGAGATGTAGCTGGAACTACATAGATATTAACCATCCCCAAAAAGGTGCAGGATGCAGAACAGAGCAACAACATTAAACTTGTACCCGGGGCGGGGGATGGACTCACTTGTGTAATTTGCCACCGTAAAATGGTTTAGTCTGGAAAGTGATGATTGCCGAGTAGCCTGACTTAGCGCAGCTGATGTTGACTTTGCCGCCCAGTTCAACCCAGGGAACGGTGAGGATGGAGCGTGCATATGCGCAAGGCAGCGTGAAAGTGTACTCTTCATCGTGCTCCAGTAAAGACAGACAACCTGGAAAGACAAAATAGATGAAGACAATACATTTTCAATTCTAATGGTCACTTTATGAAAACGTTCTGTTGGGTTTTCTGCCCTAATTAACAAACACATTAGTGCTGTGATACTTTATCCATGCCGCGATTGAGGGTAATAATTCAGGGTTATAAATTACTTTGCGCAAGTAATATATTGCTCATGTGTGTCAAGAAATTAAATAATATTAATGTCAGAATGACATAAATCTGTGCAAATGCGTCCTACATGTATGCTAGATCTCAAGCATGCACACAATTAGGATGGAGCTAAAAGTAGTGGGGCGGCAGCATGCCCCTTTGTGTTGGCCTGCATATCAAATGATTTGATCCATTTTCTCTCATGTTTCTTAAAATTCTTGACATCCAGGATTTCACAACATATCAATCCAAAACCACACTGGGCTTACCTTCCCCTATCATGGATACTCCAATGGACATTCCCATAAACTTGCTCTTGGTCCACACATGCGTGTTCACGCACATCCTCCGCTCCTGGCATTCAGCATAGAAGCCAGACACAGGGGGGTGGTGGGACACCTGCTCCGCCACAAAGCGCACTTGGTAGGGCTCCTGGGGGGCGGCTGGGTCGGGGCTTCCCTGCGAGGGCTCCTTAGAGGCCTCTGGTCTCCTGGGTACCTTCCAGGAGCAGTGGAAGGTCTCGCCGATGATGGGGTTGTAGGGCTTCTTGGCGATGGCGCCTTTGCGGCCCTCGTGGAAGGAGGTGAGGTAGTACTCCACAAACCGGACCATGCGGTCCTCAGGGCTGCCTCCGTCGGTGATGGCCACAAAGAGGTCTGGGTGTGACATGAAATCGGCGTACATCTCCAGCAGAGAGCGCTTCTCTAGGATGAATGTTGGGAGGACCACCTGGGATGAGAATCCAAATGACTTATTAAGACAGCCATGTTCAAATGCCTGCTGCATTATCATAGTATTTACCATCAGTAAAGCGAGCAAATGACCCTGTAACGTACACTGGACATGACCCTGGGGTTACAGTGTCTAGATCTCCATCTGAGGCAGGCCAATGGATCCACCAGACCAGACCATTTACTGCGATAAATCAGAAACCCAAGAGGTGGATATCCAAATACTAGAACAAACTGACACTGGAAGATAGAATGTCGACTCGACTCTTGGTGTTTTTGAGTGTGTGTGTGTGTGTCATCAAGAGTAGTAATTACAAAGATAGAAGTGCTTACTTCAGCCAGTAAGGTCATTACACATCAGCTGACCTGGCGATGACTCCTGAGCATCCTCATTTATTCAGGACTCTTTAAAGCTTTAATTTTTTTAATTTTAAGAGTGACTTTGGTTGACTTTCAGTGCAGTGTCTGCCACCTACACCCATTTACCTATACCACTCTCAGTTAGATTATTTTTCATGACAGATTAGTATACAACTCATTGTTGTGATTGAACTCCAACCTTCTTGGGATTTCCCAAGAAGCTGTCAATTGACAATAACAATGGAAAACATTACAAAGGGAAAATAGCATATTGTCAGTGTAAGGCTGGGCAATAAAACAAAAACGTCTCTTCTCATTCCTCTTACTGTGGAACTATTTGATCTGAAATCACCAACAGAGAGAGGCAAAGAGTAGGAGGAGTTGTTTGGGTTGTTTTGAGGCTTGGCAGTATATGGAACTCGACCTACCCGCGTGAGGTCCATACCCAGCTTCAGCTGGGACAGCAGGTGTAGGATGACGCTGCGCTCCTCCTCCACAGCACCCAGGTCCTCCTCCTTGTCTGCGAGGCAGTCCTCCGCTTCATCCTCCACATCTATGTCTTCCTGTTCCTTAGAGAGGGAATGGAGGGGAATGCAATTTATTCAACAACGTACCTGATCGACTTTGCAGAAGTCGAAAGTAAGCGATTGTTTATGTTGTGGGAGATAGCATATGTGATCAAAAATAGCAAAAAATTAATAAATTAATAAACTGAATGGTTTATAGCTGGATCAGACAGCTTTAAGGGTAATAAATAAAGTCAATCAACTTCCTGATAACTAACAGGTTGGAACAACTTTTTCCAGAATAGATCTTAGCTGCTTCCTAAAGGAGAGAGGGGGTCATTCCCTTGGTCTTACCCCAGAGAAGCTGCAGGACTCGGGGGTACTGAGCTCCAGGCGGCTCCCCTCCAGCGGCTCTTCTGTTGTGAAGCTACCCATGGAGCCGCCGCCATTCTTCAGGATGTTGGGCAGCTTGGGCTCCAACCACTCAATGGTGGGTCCTGCCATGGGCCGGGAGTGCACAGTGGCAGGTTCAGAGGTGCTCATGGTACAAATGCCCCCCTCCCTCCCAAGTCCCCCCCGACACTCACAGCTGCACACACACCCGTAGCTCTAAACTCGACCTACCATTCGCCTAACAACACACCACAACTGCCCGGCTGCTGACTGGACAGATGGCTATTCCTCAGACAGCTCAGACCAAAAGAGTGTAACCAAACCCCTCCGGCGAGGCGAGTGTCAGGATACTCTGGCCCCAGGAAACATCCTCGTCCTCTGATGGTGTGGGCATTTTTTATTTATTTTTTTTTAAAATGTATATTTAGATGTGGGCAGAGCTTATTCAAATTCACCTTGTGCGTCATCAGACAACTTAATCTGATTGGCTGCTGCAATGAGTCTGACCTAATGAAATATACATTGAGTAATGAGATCTGCTGTGAAAGAAAGTGGGACATTAGCTAAACGTCTCCCACTTCAATTCATCCTGAATAGAAAGTGTCAAGATATCAACAAGTTCCCTCTGGGGTCTCTCGTACGTTTTTCAGTATGAAGCTGATTCAGAGCTGCATTCTGTCCTCAAGTGTTGCAGATGGATATTTTATCCATCTGAGATCTAATTACCTTCGAGACAGGTGGTAAGAACAGGTACGGTTCCCTATCAATAATGCACAATAATTCCGCTGTCCAGCTAACACAGACTGTTAGACTGGGTTCTGGCCTGCATGTGCACGACTATGATTTGTTGCAAGGACTGCAAGCAGCTAGGCAAACATTTACTTGTTCCCTTTGACAACTATGTTAGAATAACCTGCAGGTACACAAAACAGTCAGGGAAACAACAATGCCTTATTCAGACACACAATATGCACTCGACCCCTCCACTGACCTCCCAGGGTGCTTCTCTGCCTGGCCATCTGCTGCAGGTGCAGGATCTGCAGGCACTCGTTGAGGCAGTTCATGGTGGCCATAGAAGTGGCCTTTAGCATCAGCAGGTCCTGGTCTAGAGGGGAGAGGCCGGGGGCTGCGGGCAGGCCCTCAATGCTCTGGATCAGGTCTCTGTGCTGGCCCTGGGCCTGGCTCATCATCTGGAGGGGGGGGGGGGTCATGGGGGATGGTTTGGTTATTCTGGGCAAAAGAAATGTGTCAGGATTGGACTGTAACAAACTTTATCTGTGCAGGTTCTGCTGTTGATTTTTTAATCGGACATGCTTTTGAGATAACATTAAAAATACCCCTTTCCATTTTTACTACAAACTCAAAAATGTGAGGAACATCTGACAGATAGGGGGCAGCATTACAAAACATAACTTTACATTAGCTTTTGTATCTGCACTCACATTATAAACTAAGACTGAACTGTGCTGCTGTAGTCTACTTATACAGGGAAAGACAAACGTGGCCTATTGTGGACAAAATTTGCATCACCTAAACATCTCCCCTAGGCGAAGACAAACTTCTCATTGCACCTAGGGCTAAATCTGCACTGAGCATGAGCTGCTGACTGCACTGCTCAGAAGCACTTTGCGTTGGTGAGGCCACCATCTCAATTGTTTGAGTACTTTGGAACTTGTGTATTTGCTTGTTTTCAGTATTTAACCCTCTAATTCTATAAATCGAATTTCCCCACGAGGGACAATAAAGATTGAATTGAAATGAGTCAAGAGGGAAGATGAGAGTTCACCACAAAGCTAAATCAACAAAAGCCCTACTATAACCTAAGTCTTAAATATTTTACATTTAACACTGCGTGTCTTTTGTGGGAACATACTGTTGCTTGTACTTCTAAGAAGCCCTTTAAGATATCAACATTTCATTGTTGCACAGTCACATTGCCCTAACCTTTAAACATTAATGAAACAGTGTACGGAGAGGAGTGCCAGCCTTATTTTTTCCTACTGATTTAACAGTCCTCCACACATTATGATGACTGACTGTAACATTTATGGCTCGTTTCATGTTACTGTGTAAAGAAGAATTAGTTCTTGTGTTCGTGGAAGGAAGTGGATTAGACCCTCACCTTGGCAGGAATCTGAAGATGTTTCTGGCTACAGTTAGGTTACGTAACATACATCAAACCTCCCAGTGACAGATCGAAATTTAACAGCAATTTGATTGGATCAGATGCAGATTTTCCTCATTTCACTTGTAACCCACATTTCTGCCAAAACAGCAGACTACAAACTTGGCTGAATGTACTCAGATTTTTGCTTGCGTCCATCGTGTCCACTGCTGCTTGCACACTGTTGTGATTACTGTGGTGCAGGATGTGTGATGACAACATTAGCTAAAACTTGCACTGTAGTTTTCAAATGAAGGGAATAAAACCTATTCTTAGCCAATTACTAGCCCATAGCATAATCTATAGCCGGTCCTGACATTATATGTTTATATACGGCTCTATGGCAACGGCAGCGCACGCAGATGCTGCTTCTTTTACTGCTGAAACTCGAAAAATTAGCATATCGTGCAAAAGTTCATTTATTTCAGTAATTCAACTTAAAAGGTGAAACTAATATATTATATAGACTCATTACATGCAAAGTGAGATATTTCAAGCCTTTATTTGATATAATTTTGATGATTATTGCGTACAGCTTATGAAAACCAATTCAAAATCTCAAAAAATTAGAATATTGTGAAAAGGTTCAGTATTGTAGGCTCAAAGTGTCACACTCTAATCAGATAATTAATCCACAACACCTGCAAAGGGTTCCTGAGCCTTTAATTGGTCTCTCAGTCTGGTTCAGTGGAATTCACAATCATGGGGAAGACTGCTGACCTGACAGTTGTGCAGAAAACCATCATTGACAACCTCCACAAGGAGGGAAAGCCTCAAAAGGTAATTGCAAAAGAAGTTGGATGTTCTCAAAGTGCTGTATCAAGGCACATTAATAGAAAGTTAAGTGGAAGGGAAAAGTGTGGAAGAAAAAGGTGCACAAGCAGCAGGGATGACCGTAGCCTGGAGAGGTTGAGAGATTGTCAGGAAAAGGCCACTCAAATGTGTGGGGGAGCTTCACAAGGAGTGGACTGAGGCTGGAGTTACTGCATCAAGAGCCACCACACACAGACGGGTCCTGGACATGGGCTTCAAATGTCGTATTCCTCTTGTCAAGCCGCTCCTGAATAACAAACCACGTCAGAAGCGTCTTACCTGGGCTAAAGAAAAAGAGAACTGGTCTGTTTCTCAGTGTTCCAAAGTCCTCTTTTCTGATGAGAGCAAATTTTGCACCTGTAACACCTCAGCAGTGCCACAGGCTGATAGCATCCATGCCACACCGCACTGAGGCAATAATTCATGTAAAAGGGGCCCAAACCAAGTACTGAGTACATATGCATGATTATACTTTTAAGAGGGTTGACATTTCTGTATTTAAAATCCTTTTTTCATTGGATTTCATGTAATATTCTAATTTTCTGAGATTTTGAATTTGGGTTTTTCCATAAGCTGTACACAATAATCATCAAAATTATATCAAATAAAGGCTTGAAATATCTCACTTTGCATGTAATGAGTCTATAATATATTAGTTTCACCTTTTAAGTTGAATTACTGAAATGAACTTTTGCACGATATGCTAATTTTTCGAGTTTCACCTGTATTATGATATTACGAGAAATACAGTCAGATCAACTGGACCTCCAGGAGGAGAGGAAAGAGATATGCTGGCCCAGCTTGGCCTTAAGGCTGCTCCTGGCTAAGATCCGGTTTGGACAAAATGGGACTCAGTCAGGTTGGCCAAACAACAGAAAATCAGATCAATTGCACAGACCTGCTCCATCATCCTGAATAAAGTGCCCAGCGGGTGGACTGTGATCCGAGTTCCCAGAGCACAACAATGAAAATTAGGGCTCAAAAACCCACCCCAACTTGAATTTCGCCGTATAACCTTGTGTTGTATAATGATAATTAAACTACTTTGTTAACTGCAGGAATAGATTCTGAGCAAATTACAAAATAAATTTGTAAGTCAGCCTAACACGCTGAGCAGAGTGTCTCTGGCTAGCTGTACCTCTCTGGCGTCCAGCAGGTGGTCTGGGAGCAGAGACCGCTTGCTGGAGTAGAGCGACGAACCCTTGTTCACCTGCGACCAGGCAAATAAGTTGTTGGGGTTTTGGCTGGGCCGGCGCACGGACATGGGTGAGCTGCCGCTGCCTTGAGATGCCATCGAGTAGCTCCGGGACTTGGGTGGGGGATTGCTCTGTGCAATGCAAAATGTTAGCCGTTAGAAAACAATTCACAATGTTCGTGTCGAAGGTCAATTTCCTCATGTGACTGGTTCTTACTACAAGAAAGGAGGCTTAACATGTTTAACTGGTAGAAGATAGATTTCCTTCCAAGAACCATCTTTTAAAAAAATATCTCCTGACCATTTCTAACCACTGCTAAAGAGTTTTTCCACTGTGTTTTTAGTCCTCGTGTATCTCAAGACCACTAAAATAGAATGTAGGCAGCATAGTAATCTGTAGATCAATATCCAGATCAATACTAGTGATTACAGTGCTTATACACAGGGTAAAACCCGATACATTTTTACATAAAGCTTTACAGATTTTTTGCCCTGCTGCTGGCTTTGTTTGATTGCTCTTTTGGCATGTGAGGAAAGAAAACAGGAAAATGAAAACTGTTCAGCTCACATCTGCTCCTTGGTAGAGTCACATTTTTATATCTGATTTAAACATAAGGTCATCGCACACAGTGCAGCAGAACTTTAAGGGGTGTTAAAAACAGTACGTAAGAATCACAATGGAAAAAAGTACATATTTTCCTCAATTATGTGTACAAGATCTTTGCGCGCAGAAGCAAGTGATCCATGCATCAACATGCACCTCTATTAGTATGTCCTCATATGGATGCTAAGCACACCAGCTTACCTTCCCCATGGCCTCTGTGTGGTGCTGTGTGCAGATCTGCAGTCTGCTCACCCAATGCTGCCTCTCTTTGGCATCGGTGGCTGAGATAAGAAAAACAAAAGACAGAACCACGTTATGGTACTCTAGGATGATCTAATGCAGCGATCGATTCCAGTGTGTGCTCCTGCCTCACTGGCGGCAGATAATGGAAAGCATCCAGATCAATATTGTCTGAACCTGATGGATGGTGATGACACTAGGCCTGGAGGTAAAAAGGGAGCTGACAAGCAACGATAAGGTGAAAAGCTCTGTTCCTGGAAGTGACTGCAAACTGTAAAGGGTGCAAACGACCAAGCTACCAACACCTCTAAAGCTTCTGGTCATCCCTGTGGTCTGAGGGATGACCAGAAGAACCTGTTGACACGTGATTGTTAATCATTGACGCCAAGTCACTGTGTGTTTCTTGGTACCCACCCCTGAGCTTGTACTGCTCCCCACTGATGGCGTTGACAGTGAAGGTGTGAGAGTCCTCGTCGCTGGGGGAGATGACGGCCCCTGCCAGAGGGAGCATGCCTCTGGGCTTCTGTGGACGTGACTGTTCATTGACAAAGTACTCCAGCAAGCCCGCCTCATTGTTTAAGACAAAGAACCTGAAAACAACAACCACCATGACAATATCTGTTTCCCCTACAAACCACTGTGGCCTTACTTGGATTGGATTAGACTGGATTACAACAATGAAAGCTGGTGAATTCTGATAAGAGCATTGCTTGTTCTCACCCTTGACTGGGACGCCATACATTCTAGGTTGGCATTACATTAACTACAGGTATACAGACTCACCTGTACTGCCAGCCTGTTACAAGGTTGGTGTATTTCATCAAGTAGCCATCAATATTCTCCATGTGGTCACTGGTGTGAGAGGTTAACAAAGCAACAGAAGACAAAGGACACTTTAAAATACATGTACTGAGTACGCAATCATAAACACACAAAGGTGCGTGCACAAATCAATCATAGAGCTTTGACTAGTGACTGACTATGTCAGGCAGTGTTATTTAACTGTTACCTGTCTGATCAGAAAACAAATTTGATCATCAGCAACTTGGTCAGTTATTACAAAAACCCCACTATGTTAAAGTCACAACTATGCTGCTGGTGAATCGCTGGCTAGGTATAAATGGTAATGAAATCAGTGAACTAGCTCGACTGTACACGCGTTAGCAGGACAAACAGAAACCCACCTATACTGCCAGCCTTTAGCACTTGCTCTCCCCGAGCTTGGGGTTCTGTTCTGGGGAAATACATCCAGCTTGCCTTCGTTTTCCGTGATTCGTATAGCCGCGGTTTCCCCTTGCATAGTCACTAGCAACGAAACCTCCTTCAGACGCTAACACAGCTTGCTAGCGTTAAGCTAACCCGTGAAGCTAGCTAAATCACCACAGATTTGATTAAATGGACAAGCCTCCCTTATAACACAAAGGGAAGCTGTCGGGTCATCGCTTATCGAAACGCACCACCCACACAACAGACTCTGGACTGTTAACTGGTTAGGTTAAAAAAACGTCTATTCTGCTGATAGAAGGAGTAGCCAGATAGCGTGTGCCTGTTAGCTCCTGATATTTACTGCTTTGGCAGGAAAACAGTCATGTGACCAGCTCACAAGCTCAGACTTCCGTGTTCAGAGGAGAAAAGTGAAATAGTAATTAAATTAACAAAAGCCAGATAAATCCCTCAAACGTCCTTGTCACACTCCGGGAAAAAAAAGAAAAATATAAATAAAAAATTTAACCAAAACGGAAGTTGAGACATGTTTAATTCAATCGTTTTCTTATTGGATCCTAATGAGTTACATGTATTTTATTTAATAAACAAATAAGTAAGCAATCAAATACACATGTGAAATTGGCTTATACAGGTTCACTTAACGTTAACTGCCAACACCCGTGTTTTCAAGTGAATCACCCTGGTTAGATTCCCGCAAATGAGTACAATTTTGGAAAAATAAAAAAACAATCTTGACTGGTACTTTCTGTGAGAAGGAACAAGCAATTTACTTAAAATGGATTTTTTTTCCTTTAAATGTACTGACAGATTTAAGCTGAATAATAAAATAAATAAATGAGCAATCAAATCCTATATATATATATATATATATATATATTCTTATATTTACTTACCTTTTCACATATTTCGACATATGGTAAGTTGACTGCAAATATTAATTGGATATGTGTGTTTATTTGTTAGTTTATTGAGTGGTCGTCTTTTCCATTTTTCCTCCACAAGTGGACCACGCACGTGCGCAATGCTGTACCAAACACGACACAAAGAAGACTCACTTCCGCTGCTGAGATCACCTGATTTCCTGTCAACTGCGGAGACTCGCAACATGTATGCATAGGTACCTCTCGTATGTGTAGCAGCAGGAGCGGATGCAGTGCATTATTACATTATTCAGTATGAACATTGGTTTGAAAAACATCTTGGCCGGAAGTGTTTGTAAACACGCTGTCCAGCTCAGCCTCGGCTTAACGTCGGTTGGTTACGATAACGGCGCTGGTTGCGTTATGACGGCGTGACAACACTTAATATTAAATGCCCGGTAAAACGTTCATGCACATATAAGGTTTTCCTTTCTTTTCACTGTATCCATTCAGCTACATGAAGTAAAGCTAGCAGTGAATGTAACCCGTGTGTGCAAATGTTAAAAGCAAGCGTAACAAATGGCTGTGACAGGCTACTTGTTAGACTTGTTAGTTCCATTTTGGTTAAGAGAGGTGTAGCCACGGCGAGCGAGGGGAGGGGTGAATCGGTGGCAGAAATTTATAGGGCGTATGAGGAAGTTATAGACGTGAAAAAAGAACAGCAGTGTCTTCGTTTCAGCCAAACACTAGGACACACCACTTCTAAAATGCCTGGAAAGAAAGTCTGCATCGTCGGCTCAGGAAACTGGTACGTTTTCATCTTATAAGTGCATCTGTCATAAAAAAAAAATATAACGCGTTCTGGTTTCAAGTTATATCATGCAATCACCGTTTAATTGAATCTGGATTTTGCAATTTAGCAGATTTACATCCACAACGCCAATATGTAATTATTGTACTATCTAAAGGCTATTATATATCACACGCAAAACCGTCCAGCTGCTGTGGATCTAACGTTAGCCCGCCTCCCTTTTGGACAGCAGCCCTCATCGGCTGCAGGCTGCAACATGTACTTTTTAGACCAGCTCAGACAAGCAGCAAATGGAAGTATGGTTACTCTGGTGCCTCAAAGTTGTGCTGAATAATATTTGCCTTTTGTATAATTTTATGGAAGTTTTACCTCCCATTGTACCAACATTAAGCCATTAGATTATTCTTTACCGTGCTCTCTTTAGGGAGGTTGTAGACTGCTTTCCCCATTTCCCTGCAAACTAAAGATTAATTCACTTGATAATAAAGTAAAATACAAACCAGTTTTTTTTTAACCCTTTAAGGTTCTCCAAGACATTTTTCCCCCCCATGGTCCTGTCTGATTAATTACAGTCTGGCTCTTCAGTGTTTTGGTGGCCTTTGTGTGCTGTTTGGACATGACCAGACTTTCTTTAACTCTGCTTAATGGTGGTTTTATGTCCTTGTCCTTTGCTCCCTCTAGGGGCTCTTCGATTGCCAAAATAATCGGGCACAATGTCAAAGCATCCAACAGGTTCGACCCCATGGTGAACATGTGGGTTTATGAAGAAATGATAGACGGAAAGAAGCTAACAGAGATCATCAATACGGAGCACGAAAACGTCAAATACCTACCAGGTCACAAGCTGCCCAGGAATGTGGTAAGTGCTCCAATTTAGGGGGTTTTGATCGGCATAATTATCTTTTAATTTCACAACCCATCTTGCATCAACAGGTTATGCAATTCATCTTGAATGAATCTTGAAACATGCTGTGTACAGTGAGACATAACACTGATAAGATAACTGAACCTTGTCCCATTTGCCTTGTGTGTCAAACAAAGTTTATCTACTTGTACTATGCATCTGGGCACATTATCATATAATTTAGCTTTTCTTAAATGGACTCTGGCATTATGATATTTGTTGTGCATTTAACAGAAAGCCAAATAGACCTTATTGCAAAGTTTCCACATGTGCAGTGTTCCACTTCTTAGTGCTGTATGATCTGACATTAACTTTGTTGTTGATGCCCCACTAGGTCGCTGTTCCAGACATCACAGAAGCTGTCAAAGGGGCAAAGATCCTCGTCTTTGTAATCCCGCACCAGTTCATCGGCAAGCTCTGCGACCAGATGAAACCTCACATTGCGGAGGGAACCATTGGGATATCGCTCATCAAAGTAAGATCCTATGATCGCTCTTCCCGTCAGATTTCATGGCAGCAAAAAGGGGAAACCAGGGAAACGTTGTCACATGATCTTGCTTCATATTATTCTGTGACATCACGGGATGTTGTAGTTGAGCAATGCACAGGCAATCAACACAATGAAACATAAAGTAACCGTTCCTGTTACCTTAAGGCCACCGCCCTGTCCAGGCTAAAGGTTACAGCACTAAGTATAGTACAAAAATGTATGAACTGGCTCTTATCATTATTCTTTTTGTCATCCAGGGTATCGATGAGGGACCAGATGGACTTAAGCTCATCTCAGACATCATCCGAGAGAAACTAGAGATTGAGGTCAGCGTCCTAATGGGGGCCAACATTGCCAGCGAGGTGGCAGATGAGAAGTTCTGTGAAACCACCATTGGTCAGACACCGTTTTTTATTATTTTCATCAAGTTATTCCAGCATTCGGCTGCACGAAAATGTGCTGACGTTGCGTGCATGCAAGAGGGTGATTTAACATTAAAAGAGGATGTGGCGTGGTGGTCAGACCATGTCAGAAACATAGCGTTACTTGTTGTTGTACCTGTTTTATGAGAAGTTTGTGATCTTTTTCTTTTTGTTAAATTACATTCAATACAGGGGCAAGAAATGAGACAAACGGCCATATTTTCAAAGAGCTGCTTCAGACGCCCAACTTTCGCATCACTGTAGTACAGGAGAGCGATACGGTGGAGCTGTGTGGCGCTCTAAAGGTAAAGACAGCCACACTGGGAAGTAGTTATCCCCATTAATAAATACAGAAGGTTCAAAATTTCCAATCTTCTCTCAGTGTGTTAATCAAAAGCAAAATGTTGCACGGCAGAATATTGTGGCAGTAGGTGCTGGATTCTGCGACGGCCTCGGTTTTGGCGACAACACCAAGGCGGCGGTGATCAGGCTCGGTCTGATGGAGATGGTCGCCTTCGCCAAGTTGTTCCGCAAAGGCCAAGTGAGCTCCACCACGTTCCTAGAAAGCTGCGGCGTGGCCGACCTCATCACCACTTGCTACGGGGGACGAAACCGCAAAGTTGCAGAGGCCTTTGTCACAACGTCCAAGGTGAGTCAGACGGGAAGATTTACTGTTAGACTTTAAACCTTTTGGAAGTCACCCATTACATCATGAACTCTGGACACAAAAGAAACAGGGGTTGACTCTACTCAACAAGTAACTCAAACAAGTAACTTGAATATATAATGTAGAGGCATTAAAAGTTTGATATGTTGCATTATAGTATTAGTTGTCTGCTTTTTACTGAACAGACTACATGCTAAAGGGCTAAGCCAGAGCTCTGGAGAAAAAATCTAAAATATGTCCCCAAATAACCTTTCTTTTCAACACATCTTTTCTCCAGTCTATCGTTGAGCTAGAGGCAGAAATGCTCAACGGCCAGAAGCTGCAGGGTCCCCAGACGTCCGCTGAGGTTTACAAGCTCCTACAAAAGAGGGACATGGTCAACAAGTGAGTCCACTTGCTTCTACAGTAACTGTTTAACACTATTACCTATTCTGTATGGCTATCAAAAGAACCGTCACATTGGATATAATCAAACTTGACCATCAACTTTTATTTAACCCTCCACTTACAGAGCACAGAGGGCAGTTCAGGCAGTTACGAGACATGGCAGGACATAGCAACACCAACAACCACTATAATAAAAAAATAAATTGTAAAACGGGGAATTGGGTACAGCGCACTTATTTGATGTCACATGACAGCACCCGTGCGGTTGGTTTCTAGAGGGACAAATAGGGCCTTTCTCATTTCCCAAATTTCTTTCTCCTCGACTCCTCGATCCTCAAGCGTGTGACCCGGAAATCGTTCTCAGCACGCCATCTTGAAGGACATCTCAATTCTTAAAATGCACATTGAGGAGCGAGGATCAAGGATCGAGGAGGCTTGCTGGAGGAGCTATAAGCGAGGATACATCGGTGTATCTTTTGCGGAAGTCTTTTCAGCCGCTGTGATGTTTACAAGAGGCATAACAAGCAGCTGGACCAACCCATAGCCGGAGCAGGACGCTGCAGTGTTCCTGTTGTATCAGTTAAACCTATTAAAAATAATCAAATGCGTGATCGAACTTTCTGCCCTTCACTGTTTGTGTAGCGCCTCATAAAGCACTGTTCTAACCGCATTCCTTAATGTCATTTGACTTTGATATCACTGATGTTGTTGTTGTTGAATGTGATGTGTGGATGGGCAGCAGGATTGTAAAAATTAACATTAAATAGCAGTTGTATGAAGTGTCTCCCCAGTGACACTGCGCATTTATGCACGAGCCACAGCAACATAAATTAATAATAATAATGAATGTCTCGACGCGCCGACAGGATCGGTCAGGATCTGGTGTTAATTCATGTTCTGTGTTCTTCACATCCAAACGGTCTCACACAGAGTCCAGTTTCATACAGTAAAAGTGTTTGGAGTAAAGCAGCCGTCCTCCTGATCTCCATCAGAGTCTAAACATGGACTATAGAAGCTGAAAGTTTAATTCTGTTTCCTCTCTCTGTCCTGTCAAGTTTATTACTGCAGGTTTTTTCTGTTTTGTCCCATGATATTTGCTGTGACATTACTACACGGATGACTGACAGCAGCCTTTCTATTCATCAAAGTAAATCGTTAAAGAAAACACTCAACACATCAATATAACACACAAGAAAGAAATCGCCTGGAAAGCTACAGGGACCGGTGGAGGTGGGGGTTAAACGTCCATGCAGATGCTGGTCTCTAAATCGGATAAAATAATTAGTCGGTGGGGGCGGGTGGATGATTTATGCGTATAGGCCTATATAAGTTCCGTTAATGTCCGAGCCGATCTTCGCATCACACCAATTCAGCTGCTATAATCGTGACAAAACAGCTGCTGAAGTCAAATTATTAGGCTGTAATATCAACCAGAACATTCAGCACTGATCTGTTTCATGTTTTAATAATAGTGCCCATGTAGTCTGCACGTTATTCCAACAGTAGAGTCCTGTGATGACAGCTGTAATTGGGGCTATATGAGATAAATGTTACCCTGGACTGATGATGAAACACTCGTCTCATCAAGCTGAGGGCTGTAATGATCTCCTGTTTACAGACAAAAGGCGCACCGCAAAAAGTGGTAGGCCTAGTCTACTGTGTAGCCTAGTGAATGATTAGGATGCTGTAATCTGACTGTTCAACAGATGCTATAATGTTTATTGGAACCTCAAGATGTTTCTACATGTTATAATGTTAACAGTTTCTGGATTGTGAAGAAATAATCTATAGACTTTAGTGCCAAAAGATCTGACAGAAATCACAGTTCTAACAGTGGACAGATGATGCAGCTGCGCAACACGTCATATTTAATTGACGTCGCTTTAAAGGATAGGAAAGGAGGAAAGGACCTCTCATTTTGTTAAATGGCCATTTCCTCGACTCCTCTCTGCTTGCGACTCCTCGAGCACGCATCTCGGGTGGGAGGAACTAAAATGCATCTCGAGGAGTCGAGGAGGTGGAAATTTCTATGGTTAATTGGGTTTTCTCTACTTGTGAACAATTTTTTTAACATCAGCATACAGATAAATGAAAGTAATAAACAATTAAATGATCTGTCTTACTTTTTACTTTGCAGTTATATGTATAAAGTACAGTTACACGATATACAGCCATGGTCCTCTCACATTTTTTTTCTGGACTGAATGATGGCGACTGCTCGACTGACACATCACTTGCGCGCTTGTTGGTTTTGTTGCATCTGTGTCTTATCAGGCTTTTTGTAATTAGGGCTGAACGGCAGCCCAATAAAGCAATAAAAAAAAGAGACAATAAAGTTAACTCGTATTAGATTCTGTTAGGATGAAACAACTTATTTGTTCTTATTACTGTGCAGAGAATGGTGGCATTATGTAATTCCCAGTATAGCTCTGCCCACCTTCATCCTGAGCAGAGTCTAATCAGCCACCTGTGTGGGTGTGCAGTGTTATTAACATATTGCCACATTGTTTAGTTGCACTCAAAGCCATTCTGCCCATGACATCCAGGCACTGTCCTTTGCCAGATATCCTATAGAACTAAGTCTTGAATGTCCCTTTTCCTCTGCAGGTTTCCCTTGTTTTCTGCGGTCTACCAGATCTGCTTTGAGGGCAAAGAAGTGAAAGAGTTCATCACCTGTCTGCAGAACCACCCGGAGCACATGTGATTGGACCAGTCTGCTGCAGACATGTTCACGGCTGCTCCTTTAGTAGCAATGTACTACCACTAGAGGGTGAAAGACATTCATCAGATAGAAACGCACAATGCAACAAAGTAAATACACCCAAGAGCACTTTTACTTATGAGTATTTGTATTGGTGAGATATCAAAATAGATATTTTTTCTTATCAATATCAATTATTGATTTTGCTACTCATTTTGTGGTATGTTCTCTTATATTCATTTGGCTCTTGTGTAGGAAAGTAAAACATCAGTTCATATGCTTAAGTTTTAAAATTAGTTTTTCATCACTGGCACATTAAAATATAGAGGTCCTTCTAAGGCAGACCACTTCTTTTATTACCAAAATAATGTCATAATTTTGTATGGGGGTACATAAACACAACCCTGTTTGTCTCATTTACTTTTCACTACATGACAGTTTACAATCTGAAAATTAAAACTACGGGTAGTCCTTTTGTATCTTCATGTGGGATTGTTTTTTCCAATAAAATCAATTCATAAGAAACTGTCTTTTCATTTCTGCAGAACCAAGAGTCCAGCAAGCTATGGAGCTTTGTCATTTTGTTGATTGTTGTTGAATATTTTGACACAATGGAGCGCAGCATTCACATGAGTGTTTAAATTGCGATGAAGATGAAATTAAATGCAGTTTGTCATTTAATCTTGTGCAAAATATCATCCATTCGCTAAAATGGGAACTTAGTCCTCAAAGCTGATATCCACTCTGGTGTATGCAGCTCTGTGATTGAGTTGTGTGTCAGATCCCACAGTCAGGCTGTGAAGGGTTGAAAGTAATTCCCACGAGGGCCACAGTAATTCAGTATGAGAAAGCGGATTACAGAACAAACAGTGTCCTTGTCCCTCCATCTCAACTATGTTACAGGTTTGACTGGTGGAAACCTTTGATGGTCTCCCACTGTCTGCTGCTATCTATCGTTCTTCTCATGGTCTCTGTGCTTGTTACTTTAACTACATGGTTCCTGGCACCTATTTTCAGGAAAAACACCTAAAATAACATACCCAAAATAAATCAGTAATATCTCCTCAACCATTAGGCCTAGATGCATAATTCTCCATAAGTCTCCTTTGAAAGGTCAGAAGATATGGAATATAAATCCATTGTACTTTAACTTATATATTTTACCATTACAGACTACATGAATATTTTCATCCTCGCCTGGTAAAAAAGCTATATTTTAATGCAATAAACAATCAAAACCATTATAAAATAGATTATAATGCACCTGGAAATCTTCTAATACACCTGGAATACAACTGTAACTGTAAATTTGATGAAAAGAAACTGATATACAACAGTTATTACACAATCTTTCAAAAATATACCAGGCAAATATCCATGTTTTGGCCATATTTACTGTTATTATGTTCACTTTTATTGGGAGTTATCTTCAAAACATTATTTCTCTCCATACAACCACGTTCCTAATAACAAGCTTCCAAAACGTTGAAATATTGATAAACAGTCAATATTCCTATGACCAAAAGCTCTCCCATGCTTAATAGGCCACAGCTTGAGAACAGAACATCCTACAGGGATCTTTCTCTTCGTACTGAAGAGATGAATCGATTGATATCTGATTGTCTGTGTAGCTCCTAGGGTTGCCAGCAGAGGCCGATGAAGACCGCCTCCGCCAAAGCAAATTTCTTCTCTACATCAATCTGACGACAGAAACGAAATTTATCGGCTAAGCCGATCTCACCATAATGGCTGACCGCCAGACGGTCTCTGTTGACACAAAGGACCTCTGTTTTTGGACGGAAAACAGCTACAACAGCGAAAACCCATTACCGGGCAGGTCTGGTACCAAGAGCTTAAATTCAAATTTAAAGTAGTTGCATTATACAGAAATGCAGAAATAAAACCAGTCAAGTCCAGATTGATACATTAAGAACATCAAACTGAATAACAACAGTACTTTGCATACTGAGATTCTGAAACTGGACAGTGGTGGCTTGAGCTAAATGCTAACATCAACATGCAATGAAATTGCATACTTGCTTATGTTCAGCAAATATAACAATGTTTTACCATGCTAACCATTTGAGTTTAGTGTACTAGCATGCTAACATGTGCTAATTAGTACTAGACACAAAGGTAGCAAAAGAATGTGCATTTTTGTAGGTCATAAACCAATGTATAGTACAGAATGTGACCCTGATTATGGCACCAAAGTCAGAGGATCACCAAAGTTGTTCAAATTACCCCTAGAGGGGAACATGAATGTCTTACTAACATTCATTGTAATCCAGCCAATTCATCCTTGCATTTCACTTTAAAAGCGTTACCTCTCACTGGCACTAGAGGAAAAGTCAGGAGATCACCAAAGTTAGTAGGATTCATCCCCTGGGGACCATAAATATTTGCCCCAAATTTCATATCAATCCATTGAATGGTGGGCTGACAGACCATCATTGCCATCCGAAAGGACACACCGCCATCTTGACTAAAATAGGGAACATCTTTTTTCCTGACAAATTAAGGTAAGTGTTTGTCTTTTATTTGTTCCTGTTTTGGACTTTTTAATGACAATATCTATTATGTATCTGTCTTACAGTTTTGACAGTATTTGCAGCTTGGATGCCTTTCTCCTCTCTTCAAGTCTATCTTTCTCCTTCTCTATTGGTGGGTTTCAGCTCTCTCCCCCTACAGGCATCCATGTCTACGGCTGATCCCAGGACATCAAAGGGCTATCTGCAAAGCTCAGGGAGGGTGATGGAAGAGGCACCGGTTTCAGGGGGCCACGAGGACCGTCCACCGGTTCCCATGGGAGAGCAGGGTCTCGCAGGTCGATGTCCTCTGCAGCGGGGTGGCTCTTCTCATTTCCTAACAGCAACTGTCATCGGTGGGTTTTTGAACGAGTGCTGAGACCTTGTGGTGGTTTGACACATGCCCAGATCCACTGTTTCAAAGGGAAGGCCCACCTTCAGATGAGACCCAAGTTTGAAAGAGGAGCTTAATCACCACGGTAACTTGTCTGTCAGTACCCATGACCCCACGCACACACACTGTCCTCCAGTAAGAGGCTCTTTGGACAGTGGAGTGTAATAGTGTTAACAGCATGGATTCAGGTCAGTGTTGTTTTTGATGTACATGTACCTCTGCATCATTACATCTTAAAGGTAATATTTAGAGTTGAACTTAAAGCTGCTCAAAAACAGTTGTAAAAGTGGGGTTCCAATAGAGAACAGCATCTGATCAGCATCAAATCAGATTTTATTATATTTTGTTGTCACTTTAGTGTAAAGCAAAGACAGGAAGCTAGCCTGGCTCTTTCCAAAGTGGAAAAACACACCTTTCAACACCTCTAAAGCTGACTGATTAACACGTTGTATCTCTCCTGTTTAACTTGTATGGAAAAGAGAAATGCTAAAACAACAATTTGTGGTTTTAGGGAGAGTTATGTCTTGGAGTTAAATTACAAAGCGGCTACTTTCTAGTCACCATGAAGCTGTTGACATTTAAGTCTTCCAGAGTAACTGGGATGCTGTCTCTGGAAAGAGATGTTGTTGAATTTTTAAATGCAATTTTCTGAGTACCACAAACAAAATCTCAGTGGCAACTGTTGTAATGAGGTAGATGCAGATATCTTAAAGCTTCTCTAATCCAAAAGGATTATGTGTTTGTGAAAGGGGTTGCCTGACTCTGCAGTTAGGATTTATTTATTTTTTTTGCATTTTTCAGCTCATTGTTAGTTTTTTGTATCTCCCAACTTAAGTGTTGTGGCTCACTCGCACCACTCTCGTCAGTATGTTTTCAGCCACATTAGGCAGCTGTATTCATTAAAAAAAAAAAAAAAACTGACTGTAGGCTATCTGCAGCATATTTCTCACAGTAGTTGGTGGAGACCTAAAACAGAGCTACAAGGAGAGAAAATATTTGATTTACATTTACTAAGTGGACAGAAAAGTGACTACAAATAAATGCTAATGTCGCTTCGTATTTGCTGGATGTATAAATAGGCAAACGTTTGCTAATAAGTTTGTCACATTAACTTTTTTAATCAATAATATGTCGACGTTGTGTTAACAGCTGGCTTCTGCTGCCAGCAAGTGGCCAAATAATCGCTTAATGCAGCTTTAAAACACGGACAGATAAAACCTAAATTAGCTGCCTGACTCAATACCACTAGTGAACAGTGAATTTAGGTGCACTACAATTGGATAAGCTAGAAAATTTGGGGCCATTTTGAAGAATGTCTTAAATGTTCTTAAGTGGATAACGATGCACCTCTTTCCTGCTGTGTGACATTGTGTATGAAGTTTTGTGCGTCTGTCATTCAAAGGTGCTTTAAAAAGACAAACAATCCACCTGTAAATGTGTTCCGCTAATAAGAATGTGCCTAAACTGTATTAATATGGATTTAATCCATTACAGCCTTGTGTTTTCTGGACCATACATACTCAAAAAACATATTAAGATGCTTCAGCACATTCCACATTCAGTACGGATGTGATTTATGAGGTGTAATGAGACTGACCTATTATTCACAGTCGGCTTATCGCACCTGTGTCTCCCATGGATGAATATCTCAGTTGTGCATCCAAACTTCTCCCCTGAGTACTCCATTTAATTTTTTATTTCAAATATGTGGGCCACCCTGGGCTAGACCACATGGTTTATGTCTTTAGATTTATGCCGTCCAGAGAAGCTTTGCGTCAGTGTGCAACCTCACACGTAGGCTAATAGATAACTCATCAGATTACCTACAGGCGTCTTGGCAGTTTGGCTTTGTATTTATACTGTATGTATTTTTATCTGTCTTTTATATCTTTATATGTGGATACGCCTACATTAGTGGATGTTTCTGTTTGACACGGAGGGGTGGGAGTCTGTCCTACATCCTCAGCTAATTACAGGCCGCTGATCCCCTCAGCTGTCACCGGCACACTCTTTTTACATGTCAATGACAGCCAAATGGGACCTCATATCCTTCCTCCAGCTCACACAATGCTCTCATTGACAACACAAGAGATGGAGAGAAAACCAAAAGAGAGAAAGCAAAGGATGCCACTCCTCATCCCAGCTGGCAGTGGCTTAATGGCGCGAGGGCATGGAGTCTTGTCCGTGAAATAACAGCCACTCCTACGCCTCTCCTCAAATCCTCCGCGTCATCCTTCACCTCTGCCTGGTCGCCTTCATCATCGCCTCGGCCCAATCTGGGCAAATTTGTGGGGATGTGCACCCAGACTCTGCCTCTCTGCCTTCTTTTGTGTTTGCCAGCGCTCTGATGAGAGAAAAAGAGAAACAGGAGGGTGCAAGGGGAGCGGGGTCGGAGGTGAAGGCAGTGGTGGCGGTGGTCACTCTGGTTCGTCTTTTGCTTTTGGGCTCTGGGGGCAAGAGGAGGAGAACTTGGCAGGATGCCTGGCTATGGCATTGCATACAAACGGGGGGGGAGCACAAGGCCTATTTGTTTGACTCTCCCATCCTCTTACCTCAGGGAGAGTGGAAAAAATTGCATGAGACAGCCATAAGATACAGCCCGGTCCTTGCTTCCTCGGGACAGCCATCAATTCTGTGAAACAGCTGGGGGTATGGACAGAGACGAGACAAATGGAACGCAGACCACGTCAGGAAATCATTGATTCAATTCAATGAAATGAAGTCAATTTGTATAGTAAAGACTTGGCAGGATGCCCGGCATTGTTTGCTACGTAGAAAAAAGCACTTGGTTAAATATAAAATACTATCAGCCATTTTGTGAATCTACAAAACTGCATCAGGAGAGTAACCACAATTTATCACTACAGTATGTGTCTTACTAGACAAAGGCTGACAAAGACAAAGCTGGATCATGTCCCTTCCCTTTTTTCTACTCAGCATTTCATCTTGGTTCATCTAAATCTCCTTAGCTTGACCTCCCGTGGACTAAAAGTCACTGGCGTCAGCACAAACTCCAGAATTCTTTCTGATTTAAGGAAGATGAAATCTTTACCATATGTACTGCGCTTGTCTCTCTTGAGTACATGCTTACATGCACAGAAAGATGCTTGCCGGGGCCGCTGATGTGAAAGGGGACAACGTCAGGTTCCCAGTGCAGCTGCAAATAACATTGATGAGGCATTCCAGCATGTCAGTGTATAGCTTGGGCCACGGACTTCCTGCTCCTCAGAAATATTCACGTGGGAGACTTAAAGCAGCCGGCAAAAAATTTTAATTTCACATGTCTGATCAGATTCAAAATGTTTTCCAACATTTAGGGTATGTAAATTATCTCTGGGCCACTACATTAGTGGTTTGAGCCACATCATGCATGAAACTATATCAGCAGAGAAAAGAGTTTCATGTCAGAAGAGAGGGTCAAATTTGTTTTCTTCATACATTTCCATCTATGTTCTGTCTCGACAGTGCTGCATCACATCTGGACCTTCGGGATCGTCTGGTGTTTCGATTACAGATGTTTGTGGCTGCCTCATTCAAAATGTCCCACTGATAGGAGACAATGCGTGCTAAAGGGCTTTTCATATAACAGGTACACTGAAGGAGCTCTAAGTATTGCAACAAGCCGCAGAGTTGACTGCTTTATGACCGCTCTGGTCTTGACCGCAATTGCAGCTAGCAATCCAAAGGGAGACACTGTGGTTGAATGAAAAAAGCAGACTAACACGTCTGGAAGAAGATGGAGTGATACTGAGACGCGTATTTATCTATTTATGCATCTGTTCGTGTTTAAGTGTTTCCTGTGTGTTTTCATGGAGGTCTTGCCGTATTTGACCTACTCACCTTCGAAAATCATACTAAGATAATCACCATATTCACTGTGTCGTCTCCAAAGCTGCAACAGCTTTTGAGTGGTTCTTACACTTACACGTAAATTTCTTTTTTCTTGTAGTTGCTCCTTCCATATATGTTGGTCTACCTTTTTTTTTAATAAACTGATTATCCCGTGTTTAATTTCCCAACACTGTGAGCTGTGGGTTTCTCGCTCAGGCAAAGTCTGCAGAGCTGCAGACTCACAGAAACTGCGGAGAGCCTTCATGCACATGACGATTTGATTGTGGGACAACCCTTAACCCTTGCGGACTTTGTGAAGATTGGGATTGGGCCTGTGTCGTGATGTGGTGTGCGGGTCTCCTCTCATCAAAAAAAATGCTACTGCAGGAATTAATAATTTAAAAATGTTTCTGTTAACGTTACTTTCATCCAGTGTGGGTAAACGCAAGTTCAGCTCACTCAAATTAGGAACTTTGGGTATAAAGACATTAGAGTTGCATGAGAAGTCAGAAGGTCTGTATTCACATTGGGAGCATCACTTTACACATCAGTCAGATAAAAGCAATGAAGCTCCCTGATTCTGATATCACTAAAGCCTGAAAGTGTGGAAAGGACAAGATGTCTTACATTATGTAATTTGGACTGGCAGATTTCAAAAGTTATGTTAAGATAAATACGGTACATTCACTTAACTTGCAAGTAATTCTGGGATTTTTTCCTTCATATCCATTTTTGCCAGTATGAACATGAAATAGGTCTTAAACTTGTTGAAACCTTGCAGAAACCTATCTATCAGTCTTTTTTCAAGCATACAGAGGTTGGTTTCCCTACAGTTAGAATATAAAAGTAGAAAAACAAACCCTGTATGTCTTTGAATATGTTGACGGTGTGTCGTCGCCAGTGGAAAAAAAAGAAGGCCAAGCTGCACTATGTTAGCAATATAACAAAAGGATGTCCTTGACGGAGTGACAATTTCTTCCCCCGAGCGTAGGCATGGTTGCAATGTAAAGGACTGGAAGTCCTCAAGTCGTTGCACGCATACTCAATGCTTTGACCCATCTCTTTGCATCCTCTCTGAAGTGTTGCAGAAAATATATGGCTTTTCTCTCTACTGTGCTCCACACCACTCGTTTCCTCAGCACTCCTGCAGGGCTGTGACCTGTGACACAAAAGTGTTGGACCTCATGCCTGGAATGGATCAGGATGTGCCGCAGGTAAAGACTTATGTTCGAGAATCATTAGTCATTGCCTCTGCACACTCAGGGCACACACACGTGCACGTCAATGTACAGTATGTGCAAGGTTTTGACCAAAATAGGATCCTTGAGCCTGCTTTGTCTTTTACTATAGCTGCCGATAGGTCACATATATCTGTGCAAATATACCATTAATACTGACCAGATTTATGACCCACAATCTGCCCTGACAGGTTTCTTGTGATGGTGCCAGAATGATGAGTTAAGTTCCCTGACGATAAAAAGGAAGAGCTAAGGAGAAATGTTTTTCTTCCCTTACTTCAATATAAGAGCATGTCAGAGGTAGTGGAGGAAAAAAACTATTTAAAAAAAATAAGACAAACACATGTGTTCACACATCCGCACACGCTCACAAGACACACATGACTGTTCTCATGATGATGCTACCTGTAACAGGTAGCAAAGTGCACATGTTAGGTGTCAGGCATTCAGCTTTATGATGGACAAAACTCAAACTACATGATAAAAATAAAAGTTGTCTTTGATGTTTTGTTTTACGGATATGAAATATAATATTTAATGTATAATTATTTTAATTGAATGTTTCTGCATGAAAAATTGCATAATTTAAAAATGTTAATGTGGCAATCCTTTCATTCAGGACATTTGGTCTTTTCTATTAGATTAAAAGAATACATCACAAGCTTCCAATTAAGAAATCAAACATTCCCATTATCTAATGCTAACTGAAAATGACATGGTCAATCTCCTCATATTGTTACCCTTCTACTTCATAACATTTGATGCCGATCAGCATAATCCAGCACCGCTTTTAATCTGATTAGCTCCTGACATTTAGGTTTAATTGAATGCCGGTGATGCTCACGTTCTTTTGTTTGGCCTGGCTGTTCGCCTAGCTTCAAAACGGCGCAGCAATTGTTTTCAAAAGATTTTTGCAATCTTTTATCTTTTTCATCTCTTGACAGCCCAAAGTCTTGCAATGCCGTCAGTCCACTCTGTCTCCGTGAGCGAACAATGTTGCAATACAGTGAGTGATTTTAGAGGGGAAGAATGCGACAACAGAATGGAATCACTGGAAAAATGATTGCATTTGAGACCACAAGGAATGCGCCAGAGACGGGTTGAAGCGGAGCATTTGTTCATAGTGGTTAGGGATGTCAACCAGTGGGCGGCCGCTGCTATGCTCTGCAGGGCTCTGACACCCAGGCAGCCGGCTAGAAACATGAAATTCAAAGTTTATTTTAAGGAAAAGCACATTTGAGAAGAAAATGAAAACTAAATATGTCATCTAGGGATAAGGTCACTTCGACATCTTTGCACCTTGTGAGCTACAAGGATGGGTGGCAGCGAGGAATGTGGTGCGCTAAGAAGTGCCCTGCAGAGAGGCCCAATGAAAAGCAAAGCGCTGGTGGCTCCTGGCCTGCATAAAGAAGTCAACTTGGCAGTAAACTGAGAGTCATGTGCCTCCATTTAAATGAGAAGGCAAAAAAGGAAAGAGAGACAGAGAAAGGGAGGGAGAGAAATGCAGGCCGAGCTTAGAGGCTGGGGACTCTGCCAAGCCGAGACACTTAAGGAATGCATCAGCAGCAGCAGCAGCTCTTGCTTCGCAGTAATACCATTACAGTTAGTGCTATCTGAGTCAGGAAAACAACTCTTCTAGTCTAGTCAGCAAGTCTCATAGCCAGTGTAAACAGGTGACAAGTAACACCATCAGGCCAAAGAAATAGCAAAAAGTGAAGCCTAAGACAGAAACTTTGCTGAGAGCACATACGCATTTTAGTTTTTTTTTGTGTGTTTACCAAAAAAAAAAAAAAAACATTCCTCCATGTGTCTGCAAATTGTTGGTACTTGCACCTAGCTGCATGTCTGTCATTCCAGTGTTTTAGATGCAAGTGGGCATGTTGTGTGTGTGTGAAAGCGTGCAGCATGTGGTGTGACTCCCCTCAGCCCTGGCAGTTAGTTAATAAACACAGGCCTGTCAACAGCTGCTGGTGATGTAATGTGGAACTTCTCCTCACTCTCCTTATCCTCCCGCCCCACCCCGCCTCCCTAACTCCCTCCAACACCCTCCACCCTCCCTTCTATTTACAAGTCTTACTGGGTGTTGCTGCAGACTTCCAGCACTGGCAGCACAGATAGTGTGTTTAAAGAGTGTGTGTTTTCGCGTGGCTTCCCCTCTGCAACACTTCCAGGGGAATTTACGACAGCATGTTTTCAGCTTCCATCAAAGGAAATTCCACATCATCAGGTTGTCTCCCTAACCAAAACACCTCTGAGAGTCTGGGAACTAAAGAGCTGGCTGCAAACCTGTTGAGTGGAGAGGATCCGGCCGGCGCAGAGTGAGTTTGAATTCCTGCTTGTTTGTCTTCTCACATTATGGAAAGCTGAACTTCTTCACCTTTTAAGTGTGAGAAGTGAGCAAAAATGGGTGCACAGCATTATGGGACAGGTGTCAATTAATGATTAATGTGGTAAGTAGAGTTGAAAAAAGTTATCAGTTTAGGGTCAGAATTTTGACAATTTCATTTGTGTGTATAGTTTAAGTTCATCCTGACAAACGGATTTTTTATTCAAAAGCAACATACATCAGTGTTTTCCTTGTTGAGTAATATTAAAGGTTTTCCTAGCCTAACTTCAGCCCTGCTTTTTGACTTTTAGAGTTAACGCAAAGCATGATAAATGTTTGTTTGTTAATTTATTTAACAGGGGCCATGCACAACACATCCTTTGGGCCAGAATACAGCTGTAGTCTGGGCAGGAAGATATACCCTGAACAATAGCCTACAAAACAATACAAGGAGTATAATACAAAACAATTAAAAACAATACAATTATCAAAATGTACTTATCACATATAAAACAACATCATACAAAATTTAAATTAAATATTCTCCACGTTGGAGATTCCATACAAAGGTTTAGAGTAGTGATCACTCAATGGGTTTGTCTTGAGCCATGTTTTAAGTGTTATACTGAATACTGAAGCGCATGCTATTTCTATAGCACTGTTTAAACACGCAAGAAGCAACTGAAAACGCTTTACATAAGAACAAAACCCCATGAGATTTAGAGTGGGAGACTTGAAACATTACAAAAGGCACTGCTAAATTTGTGTTAGCTAATGTTACTCTATAACTTCACACCCAAAAAGATGCAGCAGCTTAGCTTATTAGCTGTTAGCAGTAAGTTCGACTTGAAATGGGCATTTGCTAAATGATACTGAAATAACAAATGAAAAAAGTAACTAAATCAATATTAGCTAGCTTCACTAATTATCTGTTCTCACCTTAAAAGATGTAGCAACTGATAGATAATTGTCTAGTTTCATTTATTTCAAGATAACCAAAATGATACTGAGTAAATGAGGTAAATGAATGTCAGCTAGCTATCCTAGTTATTGCTTCATGTGTAGCAGCTTAGCTTATTTGCTAGTTGCAGTAAATCATAATGAAAATTAAAAAGTAGGCTAGCTAAATTATAATGTTGGCTAGCTAAAACGTGTAATGCTATGTATGTAGATTAACGCTAGCTAATAACTTAAGATACTGTAAAGCATGATTTTTAAATATAAAATGCTGATAATTATGTTTTGTTTAAGCACAATAAAGTGTAAAACATACAACTATATTAACAAATCACAGTCAAAAAAGTCTTTACCACGGAAAACCTTTAATTTTTTACTTTTTATGGAGAACTATGATACACAGTGAGGCGTTTGTGCTTGTTTTCATATGCTGTCAATGATTAACTGTGGAAGCTGCTGTCTACGGAACATTTCTGTGTGAGAAAGCATGCAGGAAAACATTTGAAGAGATAAACACACAAACACTCTGTTGTTTCTCAAGCTGTCAGCTGCCTGCTGATGAAATATGTGTGTTCAGTTTTTTGTGAGCTGCCCATCGCATGACGCTCACATACCAAAGTGGGAGGGAGGGCACAGTTGTGTATTTTGATAAGGGTCAGAAAATTCTTCTGCCCTCTCTTGCCTTGGTGTATCACCCCTGGGCCTTTGGAGTATATTTTTCTCGCCTGTTTCTAGCTGAACCGCTATCATGAGAGAGTTCAGCAGAGTGTCACGCTGTCGGCTGAAGCACGCTGGGTTGCAGTGGATCGTCCCTCGACAGGAAGCTCAGGAGATTTTTTCCCCAGGATATATATTAAAGCATCCTACACATCTCGTGGGATCAGCGCAGGGAATTGCAGGGACTCCCCTCGTGAACAGGATGACGACATTGTACTCATTGTTTTTCTTTTTTCCCTACTAGCTGTCCCACCCCTCCCTCCTTTTTAACTCCCCCCACATTACATTGCCTGCTAAGTACTGCTGACTAAACAAGATTTAAAGCTGCTCAGACAAGTTCTGGCAGATCTTTTATGATGAAAAGTGTCTGAGAAACACCTTTTCTTGTTAGCAGATTGGTTCCCTTTATCTTGTTTGAAATGCTTTTAGTTTGGAAGTAATTTAGGTGTTTGCCTAGCATAACATGACAACCAGTCTTTTCAGTCTTCTCGGTGTCTAAGTGCTGATTGATTGCGGTCATTTCATGTTTTACAAGCTTTGTTGAACATATAGGCTAAATCAAATATTGATAATACTCTTCAAAGAGACAGCATGGCTGAGAGGACCATATGCAAATTGTGTCAAATGTATCACTTACAAAACAAACTAAACAAATCCCAATGTGAAGAACACTTGAGGAGACAGAACTGGAGCATCTGGTGATGAGCGCAAATATAAGCACAAGCGATTGAAAAATGCAGAACTAGGTGTCACATATCTGTCTGCTTACTGTGAATGCGCACCAAATGATTTACAAATGCCTCACGCTCCTCCAGCATGTCTCACAGCTTAGTGACTGTAAAAAACATTATGAGGAGCTCTATTTGTTCCATGCGGATTAAATACACAAGAGCTTACTTTACTATGTCAGCCCCTGCCTTTAAGCATTCGGTGGAAGCATGGTGGTCTTGTTGCAACAATAAGTGAATTGATAGCAACATAAATAGAAAAATTGTCAACATTTGCCAGTTCCAGCTTCTAAAAATCAAGAATGTGCTGCTTTTCTCTGTTTTACAATATAGTAAATTGAATACCTTTGGGTTTTAGACTGTTGGTCGGACAAAACAAGCAATTTGAAGACTTTAATTTGGGTGTTGAGAACTTGTGGTGAGACTTTTTTGACAGGATACAAATTAGGACCAGTTAATTAATTGAATAGAAAATGTGAATAATCATTAGTCGTACTCCTCTCCCTGTTTGTCTGCACACATTTCTCAAACACACTTAATACTTCTACTCATTCTCATTGTGTTCGAAGTACATTAAGTTTTTTATTCCGCGATGTAAAGGCTGTCCTTGGGTTTTTATAATCACGATGACACTCGAAACCAAAGACATAACTAAATAACCGTCTGTACAGGCAGCTAGTTATGCAGACAAAGCTTCTATTGTCACATGTGAACAATAATGTGGCTTTTACAAGTCCACACTTCTCCTAATTATGTGGTTCCAGTGCCTGACACACAAGCTCGCACAGCGTGATATTTAAAGTGATAAACATGTGAACATGTTCTGACTTGTCTTGATTAATGTGACAAAAATGAGTTACATTAGCACGTAGAATGTTGATATGGACCTTCCCCTACTTTCAGCATCAACATTCATTTTAAAGGGTATGTTAAATTGACCCCCTAGCCTTGGCGTTAAGCCTCTTGTTTTTACACTCATGTAATAAATGCTTAAAAGTTAAACTTGTTGTGATGACCAGCATGGTTTAAACACTGATGCACTATATGGCAGCAGCCATGAGCAATCACTGGAAAAATTCAGAAAAAGACATTCTGCTTAACGATTGGTTTGCTGACTTTATAAAAACAACAGACCAGTGTAAAATATGGCTTATTGTCCGAGGCAGACACAGTAATTCCATGTTAGGCTCTGCCAGGCTACAGTTGGTTGTGCCAACTGTACCAGGACACATGCAGAGGCAGGATCAGACAGGCTGGCCAGCAGAGGGACTCAAAACATCCGATCAGCATAGACCATCTGTGCTGCTAGAATACAGATGGACCTCTCTCTCTCTGCACATTAAACCCCACATCAGACACTTGCATGCTTCAATTTTCTCCTCAATGAATGGAAAGTAATAGCACCCCCAACGTCACCCCTCCCGCACTTCCCCTGGTGTAGCAGGCAAATTAAAAGCGAGACTCAAACGTATAATCTTCCCGGTCATTCATTCTTCTTCCAGGACATGGCAATCTGGATGAATCATTCAGAAGAAAAATAAAGGGCTCTGTACCGTGGGGGATGCCTCTGTGCTGACCCCGTTTCAGTCTCCCCCTCATTCAAGGCAGGCACAGGGCACGGGGACAAAATGAATGGGTTCCTGGGGCAAAGGGGGTGCACCAATCAATGTCCAACCTCCCGTTCACCATCCATTCTCAGACCCTGGCACTTCCTGGCATTGCTCTATTTTTGGGGGGGCGGGTATTGATCATCAAGGTCACTATTTGGCCGAGAGGCTTTTCTTTCTGAGAACTGTGTGTTTTCTAAAGGTTTGTAATAGATGTGTGTGCTAATTGAAAACTCATGCAAAATGCAGGTCTGGAATCCCCTCTTAAGTCCTTGGCTCTCCCTCCTTCATTCGTCTCCTCCAGATGGCCATGTAAATATTTGCTTAAATTTATTTCCCCCATCATTTATCGTGTAGTTTAATGTATAATCCATGACTAAATCAATTCACAATGAAAAAGCAAATGCAGGACATTCTTTTATTGCAAATTCCACTGCAATTACTCTTCAATGAAAGGCTTCCTTTCATGAGAAAAGGGACAAAGTTCAAGCCACACACTTCACCCAGTTGATATCTCTGTTTGAATTACCGCAACAAAGATTTGTTACGTGTTGCGACTCTTTGCACTCTGTGAAATGAGAATATGTGTCGGTGAATGCCTGACTGTATTGGGTACAAAGGGCAGTATTACAGCTTGTGGCAGAGGTCTCTGTAACACTTCGAAGTCAAAAGCCAGAGGCTGAAGCAACTGTATTTCTTCAGGAGACCTTTACCATAGAATTATTCTGGCTACAGACTTGAAAAAATGCAGATGAGAATGCCACTAAAAGGCTGGTGATTGCAATAAATGCACAGCTGCCTAATTCTTCTCAGCTTACAAAGGAAGAGTATCAAATCTGATCCAAGACAATCCATATTCATGGACAATCTGGGCTTATTATCACCATTTATCCATGAGGCTTACAGTCTGTTTTTTAGTACAGTGAGCTAGCAATGGGTTTAAGTGTTATCATTAAGCTGTTATCCCCTCACATTATCCCTGTTGTAGTTTGGAGCTGTCTGGGGCTCTGTGACCTCAGCTGGCTCCTCCCTTGTTCCGAGAGCAGATGTTAAAAAGAGAGCCCCCCCCCCCCATCCCACCTAAAACAACCTCCCCATTCTGGTTGTACAGACACACACACACAGACACACACTATCCCACTGTGCCTCCTCCCTTCACCCTGGCATCTAATTAGGCATACAGCACAAAGACTCCCAGATGTCAGCGTCCTCCTGGCCTCCTTTGATTATATTCTTTCCACCCCACTGGCTGGCTTGCCGACTGGCTGGATAGCTGGCTGGATGACCATGTGGGCTATAGGCGTTGACGCGTGGCACTCTGCGTAGGTCAACACCGAACCGGTTTAACATATCAGTAATTGCTTTTGGTGTAAATCACAGAGAATCTGAAGGGAGGGAGGACAGCCCTGAATGGGTTGCAGTTGCAGAGGGGTGCTTAGATTGTCATAAACGTAAGCAAAGGAGCATTTAAATGATTCAGTTCTTTGAAAAAAGCTGTGAAGCTTAATTTAAACACAAGACAGTCACATCTTTTGAGGGATACTGTATGGCATTATTTGGTCTTTGGATCACTAGTTAGTCATCAAATCAGTTCTCGTTAAACCATTGTGTCACTGCATATTTAAAATGGCATTAGTCACGGCCAGTATTTCATTTCCTTTTAAATCAAGCAACCAAGAAACAAGACAGTCAACAAGTTTGTCGGTGGAGGAAAATTGGCCGTGGCGCTGCTTTTAACAGACATCAAGCTTTCAACAGCCAATCAGATTTGCACGCTTCTATGAGAGCTGGTTCTGACCAGTGAATACTTAATGGATGAGATGTTCATTGCCAGTTATGTATAACATATGGGAACGCCTAGGAATAAATGCATTTCAATAGAACCTCATTCAAAATTGTAATACTGCAGCATCAAAAAGTGCTTTTTCAGAATTGCGATCCAAACAATCTTAAGCAATGACAGCATGGTCGTAAAAAATGTAAAGAATATTTGATAGTCCAACTAATTTGTGCTTTTTAGCAAGCCACATTTACTCTTGATAACAACCATTCAGAATAGAGTGGCCTATTAACCTGGACCTGGTCAAACCAGCATTTCAGATTCCAAAATTTTGCAGTGAATTCAGTTTAGTCAATTGGAATTGGCACAATAAGTTGATTGAGAACCCGAACATGCTGTAATGCAAAGTATAAATGTTCAAAATGCTAGACAAGTGAAATTTTGTCTGATTTTGGTTCTTTTACATCTTGCCTTATACAACCCAAAACAAGTTCACGGCAATTTAAATGTACACAGCGCCATGGATACACCTCTCTATGCATCTATCCTGATTGCAGGTTACCGTGGTAGCGACTTGTCAATCACAAGGTAGCCACAACCTAAAGCAGGGTATGCTTTATCCTCTATTTAAATGAGACGATGATAATTTTCTAAATGAACATCATGCTCAAGAGGAAGAGGACAGCGATTGATACCTTTAAAAATAAAGTATTTACTGAGGTAGGCGAGAAGGGTAATTTTCTCATGGACTATGGCAACTGGCAGCGCTTGTAGAAGCAGCAGCTGGTAGCCCATGTTGGCCCAGCTTGGACTTAATTCTGCTCCTAAAGGGACTCATGTTGACCAAGCAACGGAATTCAAAGACGTTGTGCCCACATCGCTACAGAGACCTACCCCATCAACATGCTGGATCAAGCACTCGACAGGAGGTCCATTTTCTGAGCTGTCTGAACTTGATTGATGCTTGGAGCTCAAACTCAGTCAAGATTGACTCTGCTTCCCAAATGTTTGTTGACTGTTGTGAAGATGAAACCATATTATCATCTGGTTGCTGCTGTTTACATTAAACACCAAAAGCAAATTCAAAAAATGCACTGCGGAACATTCTTGGTGTATACGTGTATATATGTAACTCTTTTTGCTACTAGTGGAGTCGCCCCCTGTTGGCCATTATTTGCTGGCTCAGTCTTGATAACATTTCTTTAATATTTTGTTATTGCCACATTCTTTATCTGAGCCATTAATGGATGTTAACAGTGCATTGAGTTTTGCTTTATTTTGCTCCAAGACTATTTGACAGTTTAATGAGTTTTAACCATTTCTGTAATGCTCCTTAAACGTATCGGCCAAATGAATTTGATGATGACAGATAAATTGCTTCTGGGTCTGGGTGGCTGAGCTGGGTGTTGAAGGGTATAGCACAGTAGATTTGGAAATAAGTCTACGGCATTCCAAAGTATTTCTGCACGGCAATTATTGCATCTTAATTTCTTTTTTGATCTCACATGCAAACTCAAATCAACTTGTTGGAGCTTGAGTGCAGCTGACTGCAAAAAGACATCATTTGGTTTGTTTAACTGTCAAAGGTAGGAGTGTTCCTGTGTTTTATCGCCTACCTTTATCTGAATGCCCCTGATATCTGACATCTAATGTGTTTGCTTAATCTTTATCATTTCCGATCCACCTACTACCTCATCCCTCGCACTTTCTATACCCTAAGGAAAATGTTGTCAGTGTTCACTACATTGGGTCTTGGCAATCAAGCACAGTGCTATAATCCATTTTAATCATTTACTTTCAATTTCCTATAACCCCCTATATCTCTGAATCCAAGGGAAGCCGTGGGCTTTACTTCCTGTCCTAATCTCCAGCGGAAAGGGACCAAACTGAAACAGTCTAAACATAGACCATCTGATGAAATAAACTTGCACAATTAGTCATTACAAAGCCAGACTAAGAGACAGGCAGGAGTCTGATGTTTCTGTGTCATTAAAGACACTGTTTCACATCCTGTTCACTGATTAGGCAACCAAGACACCCAAGGGTATTCAGAAATGGGGCAGAAGGAGACTGTGTCATGTTAAGAAATATAACATCAGTTCTGGATGAAAACATAATGACTGATCCTGCATGCACTCTGATGTTTGCGGCTTGATGTCAATAAGTTTGGACTCACCAGATTGGCAGTGGATGGAACATGTCACGCTGATGTGTGGGGATGTTTGACAAGTGCAGTCACGCTGTTGAAGCTTCAGACAGGGTGTAACAGATATAGCCTGCAGCGGATGCGAAAGAGGCTTTGGGACGCTGTTTGGGAAGTGTGGTTGCATAAGTAGGTTTGCAAGGCAAGCAAACATAACTGACCTTAAAAAATGGAATAAATACTATCCAGCCTCATTCTGAACCGAGTCAATTGTGGCACTCAGCCGGCATGTTATGGATCTCATGCTGAGTGTGTCATGAAATTAATTTTGGGAGGTTTACTGTGGATTAAATGTCATACATGCCATTTTCATACTCATTATTTGTTACCTTAGAGTTTGCACCCTTAGATTATCTTAAAATAAAGGTTCACTATCTGGTACTCTTTTAATGGGTTGTTACTGGCAAAGAAACGTGGCAATAGTGGACATAAAATATCCTGATTCATTCAATAAGCAAGCAGGCTGCTCATTGAGTGGACTGCAGTGAACATGTGTCTGACCCTGTAAGATTTCTTCTGTAGAAACGTTTCTTGGTCATAATTAGGGAATCTGAGCAGTGTATTTGTCTTTATAAGTAATAGTTTATGTGTTGTCTTTGAATTAAAACAATAAATCCTTGCTCTAATTTGCATGATTTATATGGTCTACTTTAACTAAGTCATGCGGGTGATCTCTATCTTAATGACGTCCGACACATCCAGGATTTATCCGTGCATACATGCACATGGTTCTATAAGTTGTGTTGCGCAGACAGGGTCCCTGACCCTGAGGCGTCCATCAGCTGACCTTTGACCCTGTCTTCACCAATGAGGAAATGGTGTGCTTACTCTGTGCACCACAACTGTGAGTCTAAAGCCCGGGCTCTTTGTAAAGGAGTAGTATGCGTGAAGTGAAGTGTTTATCTTCTGCTGTGGCCTCAGTCAGGCCAGGTCGGACTGGTTCCCAGCGCTGTTTGGAGAAGCCTAAAACAACAAAAGGACTGAAGCTTGTGGTTTGGGGTTGGGTTGTAGGGCGGGATGCCTGGGTGACGCCGAGAGCAAGCAGTAAGATCTAGCTGGAAGATCTAGCCAGAGTCCTGTCAGGCCTGAGGAGAGGGCCACATTTCCGCTCCTGTACCAGCTTGAATTCCAAGAGAGGGGAACACAAGCTGAAACAAATGGGAGAGAAAGAAAGTAGGTTATTAAGTGACAAAAGAAGACAGCTGCTGTAACCATGTCTTAAATAGCTGCCTCTGTTGCTCTTGACTTGGACTCTGATCTCATGTAAAAGGTGAAAGCCCTTTTAACAGTGGAAATGAAACCTACTGGACATGAGGTATTCCTTGTTGACTTTCTCGCTCTCCTTCTGTCCTCCACTCCTCCCCTTTTCCCTCCCTCCAGGGTTTCCCAGGTGTTTGTATCGCTGCAGGGCACAGGGACCATGTTCAGACACCTGGAAAGGAGAGAGCAGTTAAAGAGATTGTCTCTGGACAGCGTCCTGCCGGTAAGTCAATCCCCAACACACGCTGTGTTAGATTGTTCAGTAGTTTGGAAACTAGCCAGACATTGTGGAATGTCCTCATTTTGTCTTAATGATCTGTTGTACTATGCACTTTTTGGAATCAGCTCTTAAGTTTCTTGACACTTTGGCCACCACTGTGGATACTGTCTATCAAATCTACATTTACATTTATTTAAATCTCTAAAAGAAGTTAGTCATAGTGGTGTTTTTGTTAATGATGTTGTCTTTGCTGTCACTGCTGTGGCTTGTTTGGACTGCGCTTCCCACGGAGCATTTGTTGATGAATCAATATTTTTCTGTTTGAGGTTCAGTAGGTGGCGCACTTTTGTCTCTTTAAACATAGTGGCTAACTACCTCATGCTAACTACCAACTCTGTGTTTTGTTTATTCCATCTGCTAGGAATGTAAAATGCTTAATTTCCTGTTTTGAGGCAAATCTTTTCCCAGGAAAGATCCACTTGTGTTGAGTGTTCAGAATGGAAGGACCAAGTAAAACCTTTATAAGAATTCAACAGACACCCTGAGATTCAAGCATTGAGACTAAGTTGCAAGAGCACACATCCACGTGTCAAGCAGCAGAGAGAAAAAACAGCCTCCACCGAGGCTGCCGGTGATTGACAGGCTTATCTTTATGCCGGGCGTTCTTTCGAATCACAGGAGTGGAAACTTGTTTTGGCTCAGGGTTAACTGAAGGTGAATCTGCTTGCTAGAATGTCAAGTGTAGCCTCATAGCGGCTGCTGTGTTGTGTCTACATGGTGGTGAAGAAGCTTAATCCCCCACCCCACCGTGTGCAATGACTTCATACAGTGCAGACTGCATACAGTGCAGTCATTGCACAGGAAATAATAAATCAAGAGTCTTAAAATAGCATTGCCATAGGATATGCTGAAGCCATCAAGGACACATTTGTTGCAGATTAAATGGTTACTGTTTAAGACTGCATTCTGTCAGTGTAACTTATTAGAAGGGTGTATTTCGTCAAAGGACAAATACACCCTTAAACACAATAAACCTTTAAGTAATATATAGTTATAAAGTTAAATTTCCGGGGGAATGTAGTTGTTTATGGTGTACTTTGAGGCTTTCGTGACTTGACTGGCTGACTTTATGACCTATCTTAATCTTAACCCATGGCTGACATGCATGTGAGCCTTATGGTGCTTTCAGACCAAACGCAAATTTAATCCTTGCGACGCTTTCCTTGCGTGAGTACATTCACTGCAAGTGTTCACACACAACGCGAGAAGGCGATTAGAACCCGCGAAAATTCGCTTGAGTGGGAAATTTTCAACTCACGCGAAGGCCGTCGCATTGCCCTCGCGTCGCGGGCACCGCCCCCTTCGCTTTGCTTCACGCCACCCGACAGGAAATTGCAGCTCTACGCATCTTCGCATTGACTTTGTATGTAAACTCACCGCCCCGAATGCTCACTTCGCTTTTGGTCTGAAAGCACAGTTAGTGCTTAAAGGAAAACCCCGTGCTGTCCTTGTGAGCAAATATTATATAGTTCCTTCATATCTTTTTTTCCATCCCTAAGGTTTTTGCATTGTGTCTGTTTCTCCCTTTTATATGCGTTACTTTGAATAACCATAAATGTTCATTCATCTAACATCCCTCTTTTACTCAAAGCAATGCACATATAAGTTACTTCTCATTCAGATCCTCTTGGTCAATCCTTAGAAATTCTAGGAAATCAACGACAAGACTGATGTAACATAAATACTCTGAATAATAAATACCCATCTGGAGATAGCTTCTCTAATCCACAGAACATCAACAATTAATCTATCAGTATAAAAAATATCTTGATTTCTTCTTTTCCTTTGATTTGGGACATAGTCCCCTAAGTCTGTCAATCATTTCCTACTTAAACTGTGACTTGAGACTGAATCCAGAAGGAGCACTGCAGTGACTGATTCAAAACCATCTGGGTGAGACAAGACTTTGTAGTGTGCTCACTTCATCATTTATCCACATCTTTGTGAATGTGTAACTTCCTGGGACACAGTTTTTTGGTGATGTTTACTTGGTGATGTGGTTTGCGCTGTTTCTTATCCGACGACCGGGTGATACTTAAAGAATTTCCAAACATTACCGCTATCATTTATAGTTATTGGTTGTTATGAGATTTACTGTGTCTTTAATTGCTTTAATTGGATACACGGCGTCCTGGTTTACTGTGAGCCTGAAAGTAGGTCATATTTGTGATATGGGTTTATGATTCAACATGCTCACATTTGTCCACTCGACTATCCATGCATGCATCCATTCCTCCGTTTTTTTATTTTTTCCTTCTTTTCACCTTTCTCCCCTCTTGTGCACTCATTTGACTTTCTCTTTTTTGTCCTCTTGTAACGCTCACCCACTTTCTCTCCTCTCGCATCTTTACTCAAGTCAGTCTCTTTGTCTTACTTTATCTCTTTCCTCTTTCTGTTCCCACTCTTTCCTCCCTTAATGATGTATTCTAACTCGGGGCGGCAGGAGCATAAGGGTTCTGGCTTGTTTTAATAGTGGGACATGAGGAAGCCCGGGGCCTTTTGGGAAAGGTCCAGCATAGATCTGGTGGCAGTGTGCAGATTCGATTCAGTGGCATGGGCAACCATGAAAAGTGCAAGCTGCTTTTGATTGGTGCATCAAATTTGAGGTTGAAAAGTTTGTTACCATGTTTGATTCAAGTTAAATGAATGGAGCTGCTTACTATGTGCAGGAAATATGACTTCTATGACTGAAAGACCCTATGCACACCATAAAAGACAGATTTCCTATGGTATTGCTTGATTTCAAACAATTAAAAGAAGCCTTTATTTTGTTTTCAAAATCATGCTGAATGAATGACAGCCATCATCATCAGACATCATGGTTATTATCTCTGTGGTCAAATTAGCCTTTGTTCCACCACAGGTCACTTAGTTTGAGGCCACTGAGTTTGTCTCTAAACTAAAACCTGGGTATCTATCCTTCCAGTGCTGATGGGGGACATGATGTCTCTGGCCCTTGTGGCCCTACTGGCCCTGGCACTGATAAACCTACTAAGCCCTATAAACACTCCTTTTCCTGGGAGGATATGAGCCTCCGATACATTTATTTTTTCAGGCATCTGAGAAAACACAAGAGGCTGTTTCTGACATTCCGTCGGACGACAGGGATGAGCTTTCATGATCTGTTTTTTTCCTCTGTGTCACCTGTGAAGCAGTTTCGCTCAGTTTTCAGAATTTACATAACGCAGAGCCACATCTGCTAACAATGCACTTTACATAACCTGGTGTGTGATCTTGACAGATGACCCTATGTGATCCACTATTTTGACAGAGTGCTGCTCACTCAGTTTTGTCACACATTTGTCACCCTTTTAGCTGAAGGTTGCACTCGCGTTTCATCCAGAAAATGGTTGGCCTTGTTTTGTTGCTTTCACACATTTTAGGCTTTCTATGTGTTTCATGGTCTGTAAGGATGATGGAACAAGAGCGATATTCCATTTGGGACGCCCCTGACAGATTTCCACTTCACACTAGCACACAAAACTAGACAAAATACCATATGTCAGCTGAGGACCAGGTCAAATATTTATGTCTACTCTTCTCTGGATGGATGTCATGGCCTAGCTTTATACAAAGCTCCTATCAATCGTCTCTGGGTAATTTAGTGAACATAGGGCTTGAGTGTCAGTCAGGACCACTACCTAACACATGCATAATGCATTGAGCCAGCATATGTTTCCTGAATGTATGCAGGCATGGTTTAAGGGAATTCTCCTGTTTGCTCCAAAGCTGCTCAAAGCTCCAGGCTTCATTCAACTAAATAATTGCCTTTTTTTCCTTTGTGTACATTTGTGTGTGGCCTGGCACATTTGTAAGTGAAGGGGACCCTTAGTCAGCGTTATCAGCATCTTATTGATGCGTCTAATTACAGTGCTCGTCTCCTGTAACAGGAAATAGTTTGGGTACTAGGACCACCTAATCTGGATCAGGTTATGCAGCTCAGGGACGGCCCAGAGTAGCAGCAGATACAGCAGCGCTTGCGATTAACTGGGGCGCCATTTACATTACATAACTGCAGTGTTGCTGGGTTGATTCTGTGCCTCTATTTATTTTTATCATTTGATGCCGGCCTGCGGATGAGACTCTCTTCGTCATGCAGGGACGCGCACGGTGAGCCTGATGGCCGTGGACGGTCTGTGAGCTGTTACTAGCTGCTGCCAGCCAGCTTTAACTAGGTCATGGCAGAAGCTCTGTCAGGGGTCTATCCTATACAGTCGAGGCTATTGCAAGGGTTTAGTTAAATATGTGTATGGAGGTAAACATGGTTTATCAACAGAGAAACGGAAGGCATTAGAAAGTGTCATCTGTGGTACAATAGAATAAGAAGATTTCTCTTATTCAACTGCTAATGCTTAAGGGGATATGTGAGTATGTCATGGACTGTAGAAAAAAATGTGGTTTTGAAACTGTACAATGGGTGTAATGCTTGCCAACATCTTTGTCAGCTCTTGGAGCCAGGGTTGTCCAAATGTGATCAATAGAGTGGAGGCGGGAAAGAGCTAAGGTGGAACAAGCAAGTGGTAACCACAACAGGGGTTCAAAGAATTAGGAGCTATTTCGGGGCACCTCTGGTTTTTGGAAGTAAAAATCCAATTAATTTTCTTCATAGACAATGTTAGGTGACTGACAGTTGGAGCACTTCAATGCTTGGATGGACATACAACTCTCCTGCTGAATCGTTAGTACAAGTGATGAGCAATTGTGCTGGTTCTGAAGGCACAAGCTTGTACACCTAAAAACGTAAGAAGAGACGTTGAGTCTTGATTGTGAAGCACTGCAATTTGTATCTATAAACTTGTGACTTAATTTATTTACTTTCTACAACTCCCAAGGTGCATTTCGTTAAGAAACATCCCATCACTGAGGTAACATGCGGACATATATAATCTAAATCTTGAATAAATAAATTTTTTTTTTCAGTTTTGGGGGAATTCGTCCTGCAA